TATTAGTGCCACTTGCACACTTTACTTTTTTTTAATTTCTACACTTTAATCTGTAAATTTTACACTTTAATCTGTAAATTTTACACTTTAATCTGTAAAATTTACACATTAATCTGTAAAATTTACACTTTAATCTGTAATTTTTACACTTTAATCTGTAAATTTTACACTTTAAAGTGTAAATTTTACACTTTAAAGTGTAAATTTTACACTTTAATCTGTAAATTTTACACTTTAATCTGTAAATTTTACACTTTAATCTGTAAAATTTACACTTTAATCTGTAAAATTTACACTTTAAAGTGTAAATATTACACATAAATCTGTAAATTTTACACTTTAATCTGTAAATTTTACACTTTAATCTGTAAAATTTACACTTATTTTCTACCCCTCTCTGTATTTATAAATTGATTTTTATATATAGAATGTAGGATAGATTTTATAGAATGTTTGCTTTAGGTAATTTTTCGATTTGTTGGTATAGATCTTATCGAAATAGAAAATATCGTATAGAAATTTTTATAAAATGTTAGTTTAAGCAAATTTTCTGAATTGATAGGATAGATTATATCACAATTGTGTCATCCATATATTATTTATTTGAAAAAAAAGTCTTCAAGCACCTGTGATCGGGAATATGTGCATGTATGTTTGATACGCTGTTCACTTTATAAGTGAACAAAGAAAAGTTTAACTTTAAATAAAACATCAGAATTAAATTTTATCATGCACGAAACATGGTCTGTTGGCATAAAAATGTGTTTACCGAGGATGTGTGAAGATGCTAAATTGACTATGTGAATAAACAAATAAAGTGTAAAATTTACAGATTAAAGTGTAAAATTTACAGATTAAAGTGTAGAAATTAAAAAAAAGTAAAGTGTGCAAGTGGCACTAATACACTTCCGTACCTTTTTCCTACAGCAAAAGCCATATATTTTGTTGTTTTACGCTGAATATTACCCTGCCCTAATAATTGCGAAATCCCATCATTTTTCCTGTGAAAGCACATTTTTCGTGTTTTGTGAATAAAAATTTCAGCGAAAACTTTATCGAACAAATCTTTTGTGGTATGCTTAGCAAAAGAGATATAAAATTATTGAATTAATATGTTGATTTCATCTACTTTACGTTGCTAACTATCTCTGCATATAGAAGTTTTACTTTGAATCTTTTTTGAAATGTGGAGATAACGAACAGAATTGATGCTTCATTTAAACTTCATGAAAACAATACAAATCGGTGGTGGAGTTAACATAGACCTCTAAAAAAAATACAGAGATTGAATCAGGTGGTTGCCATCGAGGAATAAGCATCCCCATCCGAACCATCAAAACCGCCGTTGCTCCTTGTCATTATAATGAAAAACGGAAATCCCTTGTCCATTCAGTGTGTAAATATAGGTCTAATAATTAGCATGAAAAACCTCAGACAACATATCACCTAATGATATGTTGTATTTGATTATCAGGTAATTTCATCGACCATATAACTTGCAAAATGATGACTTCAAAAGAGACTGTTGATCCTTGTTTCATCAACTTGTTTGCCAATAACCTATCTTGTTTTAGAAATCACTCATACGTTTATATCGCATGCTCTTGCGAAGAGAATCAACTGAGAGACATTACTTCTATACGCAGGTTATTAGGGTACATTACTGCATAAATAAGGGAAGCTGATGATTATAATGCTGGCGACATTGCGTGAGGTTACCATAAACGCCCAGTACAATATTTAAATATGAAACATGGTGACATCCGCTGTGGTAGCTTTTATTTTAAGCTCACTGGGATATATGCATAGAAGTAACTGTGTATTGATAATAATACGTCGTCAATATTTATTAAATTGTCGAGTTGAAGACCCAAGCAAGTGTTTCTCTTATACATTTAGATGTTTTGGAATGAATTCTGCTTCATTTAACTACAGAAATAGGTCTGCTAAAGCGGAGAGCGATTGATACTGATGGGAATTCCAACAAATTGTTTAAAGAAGACCTGGTCTCAAAAAACTAGATAAAAATTGTCAATCAGAAACTAAGTCTTCTTATTATATCAACTTCAGAGCACTTTTGAGTACAATCAGATTATTTTTTATTTATTAACTTATTTATTCATGTTAATTTTTGTTCATTTATCTCAATTAGCAGCGAAGATTTTTTTTTGTATTTCCTTTAAGTACTTTAATTAGCTCTACTGGTCAGAGACCAGAAGAGCTTATGCGATAGTAAGATGTCCGTCGTCCGTCCGTCTGTCTGTCTCGCTGTCCGTCTGTCTGTAAACAATTTTTCAAAACGCTACTCCTCCTACAGTTTTGGTCTGATTTCAATATTACTTGGCACACAAGTAGACTACACTAAGATACATAAAATAGTGCATCAGTTTTTGATTTCGATGAACGGTGTTGCCATGGTTGCTAAAAATAGAATTTTCTGTGAAATTCCTTCAAAACCCTACTCCTCCTACAATTTTGGTCTGATTTAAATATTACTTGGCACACAAGTAGACTATACCAAGATACATAAAATAGTGCATCGGTTTTCGATTTGGATGAACGGTGTTGCCATGGTTACTAAAAATAGAATTTTCTGTGAAATTCCTTCAAAACCCTACTCCTCCTACAATTTTGGTCTGATTTCAATATTACTTGGCACACAAGTAGACTACACTAAGATACATAAAATAGTGCATCGGTTTTTGATTTCGATGAAAGGTGTTGCCATGGTTACTAAAAAAAATGTCTGTGAAATTCCTTTAAAAAGCTACTCCTTGTACAGATTTGGTCTAATGGCAATGGCTTCTTTTCTCATCCTTTGTTATAAGTACAAACCAGTAGAGCTTCAGTCTCGACAGAGACTTCTGGTTTTTTTCTTGAAATTCAGATATCGATTCTGTCATATATATATAGAGGATATACACACATATGAATGCACATATATATATACACATTGATTAATAATATGACCATTTGTCCCACAGTCCATTTGCAAAGAACTATATGCGGTATATTGCATATGTTTGCCCCCACAAAAGTAAAATTTTGAAAACTTCCTGAAATGTGCTGAATTCAATAAATTGTACGAGAGAAAATATTATAGTTCCAGAGCATTGTATTCACAATTTCTGTTTTTATGACGTCACAAACTAGTCCGATTTTATATCACACAAAATATGTGTGTTCAGGAACAATATGACATATTTCATTGATATATATATACTACATTGATTAATAATATGACCATGAAATTTTGTCCCACAGACTTAATTAAATATTACTCCATCCATTTGCATTTGTATTAATTGCCACCTTCTTTTTATTAACAATATAAAAGACATTATCATTTTGTTGAAAAATGTATTGCTGATGTTTTTATTTAATTTGCAATTAGCGTGCTCATCTTTAAAGAAAAGGAATTTTAAGAATTTATATTACACCTCTAAATACAGTTCATATTTTAGCAAAAGTTAGACACTGAGATCAAATAAATTATTTGATGATAGGACATAAAAATATAACTTAATATTTATTATACCAAAGTAGATTTTCCACTTACTTATGGATTGTATGAATATCCAATGTAAGCCATCGATTTTATGGATAAAGAAGTTTTTTCTAAACATGGATTTATAAATTTTGAATGTCAGAAATGCCAATATTTCCATTAAAGGGCAGTAAATCTTTCTTTAAAAATTCAATTTCTCACAAAACGTTTTCATAATATAGATTCGCCTATAATTGATTACTGAGTATCTAGTTTGTAAAAAAAAAAATGCCCAGTGTTTGCTGAAGGTTGTGAATATTGTGTAATTTAAAAAGATTTTTTACATAATTTTATTTTTGAAAGGTTACAATTACAACTTTGATGTGGCATTTGTTTGCGATGAAGCTTTAGATATAATTGTCCACTTGGAAAAAGTTTAAACAGTCAATGAACTGCAACCAATAATGTTCTTCATTTGTGGTATTTGCTTAACGATCTCCGATCACTTTTACAACGCCTGTTCACATCTGCTAACAAAAACTTCGATCTAGCAAACGATGTGGATTATTTGATTGAAGTCTTTAATTATTTCATTCTGTTGTTAATCGTTTTTGTATCGTCTCGCAATTATATAAAATTTGAACAAACATGATTGATTTTTTCTGTCGATACTTTTTGATACTTAGTTCAGAGCTGCGTCATTGTATGATGTCCATCGGTTAGCCATCAAGCGTAGATTTTATCATCTTCATTTTTGTGGAAGCTTTTTGATTTTATATTGTTCACCATCCGTTATGAGGGTTTCTAAAATCATATCAATTAGCTCTTTCACTGTCGTGAGTCCTCTGTCGATTTATAAATAGTCAAATCGCCGGCACATATCCCGTGAGGGAAACCATTGTTAGACCTTGGGACGTCTAGCTTGCAAAAGCTTCGCAAATTTCGGTCCGTGAACAAAGTCAAGCGGTAATGCATACTCTCCGTGAACAGGATGAGGATTGATGGTACAAACGGTTAATGAAGTGAAAGGAAAATTGATGTGATGTTCAATTAGGGCGGCTCTCCCAAAGTTGAATATAAACCTACTTAATTTCGGCTTATTAAAGTGTATAGAATTTCATTTTTGGAAAAAAAACCTTCAGGTTTGTTAACTTAATAGGAATAAACAGTACTTTTTGTTTTTGTTTTTTTTCCTTTTGAAAAGGTGGTATGTTCTTTCTTAAATTGCGCTAAAAATAAATTGCTTATTTTAGACTGAATCGTTTGCTTTTTTTGTGTAATATGATATATTTTTCTTTAACGAAAATGTCTTTTTGTACAATTTTCACAATATCTTATTTCAAATATATATTCAGATTGTGCAACGGATTACCATAATTTATACCAAAATCTTAACTTTTTGTGGTTATTTTTAAAAAAGGTGATTTAACTTACATACAAGATTGTATGTTGTCATATTTTTCACAAAAGCTTTGCCGCAGATATTACATTTGCACTTTCTGATTTGTTTTAGAATGAATTCCACTGAAATTACGACGGATGTTGAAAATAAAACGTGCCATGCCTGGTTAAAAGATGCTTTAGGTGGATCTTTCGTTAATGTGACACTTGAAGAAGTCAATGACCAGCTAGTGAGGAGAAATCTAGGGGGAATCAGTCTTCTCTGTATATTGAGTGTGATTGGACTCATCGGAAACAGTCACGTGTTGTGGGTCTACACCCGCCAATTCTCAAAATCTAACTACCGTGTATATGTCATATGGCTTGCCATGTTGGACATTTTCAATTGCGTTGTTGTGGCACCAATGGTTGTTTCTTACTTATTTTTCCCAGTGACATTCCCGTCTGAAATTTATTGTAAAATATTTCGTTTCTTTAACTATTTTGCAGCAATAGCGTCCACGTCTTCTCTGATCTCTATAGCTATTGACAGGCATAAGGCGATATGTAGCCCTCTGAAGGACCAACTAACTAACACACAAGCAAAGCTTCTCTGCTTCATGAATGTAGTTGTGGCTTTACTTCTGTCTTGGCCAGCTCCTTTTCTGTACGGAATGAGGGATATTGAAACGGGTGTTCCAGGGCTACACGGTTATCGCTGCTTCACAGAACTGAAATATGAAGAAAAGAAATATCAGATCTATTACAACGCGCTGTTGGGTCTCTACTTTGTCGCGGTGTCGACGATTATGGTCTTTGTTTACATTAAGATTGGCCGTAACATCCATACCCATTTTGCATTTCAAGACACCATTCGCCGCCAGTCTACTGTACGTACTGATGAAAAGTTAAACAAAAACCCAACAATGTCCAATGCTCGTCGGTCTACGATCACCCTTTGTCTGGTCACCATTGCTTACATTCTCAGTGCATTACCACACCATCTTCTCGCGGTGATGATTTTCGTTGTAAAAGATTTCGACTGTAGTCTCTCGCTCGCAGAGTCGCAGATATACTACACGTTTATTTGGTCCTACTTTGTCAACTCGATGGTCAATCCTTTTATATATGGAATCCGAGACCAAAAGTTCCGCTCTGCTGTGAAGCATATTTACAGAAGGTAAACAAGGGATTTTAAATCCTTAAATGAGTCAAATATTATTACCATCCTTTGAATCACTATTACAATTAAAGAATTGTTTTAATATATGAATATTACTTTTAAACTGTTGCCAAGCAACTTAGTATATGATGCTGTCATCAAATGAACTTAAAGTTGGATTAATGATAAATAGAAATATTAAAATTTAGTGCTTTTTAATGCCATTCCGTTTTATATCTAATAATGAGGATATTATATGGCTGTCAGTTGATAGGCTTACTAGAATTTCAAATTCTCAGAAGAAGAATAAATTATTTATCGTAGCAAAACCTGTGAGATTGAAATCTAGTTAACAGCTAGCTGTAGAAAGTAGAAACCATTTTCTTAAGCAACATCCTATATAATCTTTATTCAATCTTCAACGCATCAACTTCTTTTTATATATATTAGGAAATATACACGCTTCTTCATAAAGCAACAATTAAAAAAATTAACAAAAGAGCACTATCTTTGTTGACTTTTACAACTGTTAGAATCGGATTTTACCCTTAATAATTTGCATGTTAATGTTGATACCGCTGTACATGTACATGAGCGTAATACTTCAGGACTTTTGAATTCTGCTTTAAAACATTTTACAATAGGTTATTTAAATCCTATTATTATCTGTCTGAGCTTTGATCTTTCTGTTGCAAGTTACATATGTTAACTATTAACTATTATCCAATGAACAGCTGTGTCACGTTTGTATTTACACACTACTACGCTGTCTTGGCAGCATGATTTGATTATTAGTTTGAACCACTGATCTTTTATTGAATAATTGGTCAGGAAAACAAATAAAACTATTGAAAATATATTATATATTACATAAAAATGAGTTTATTGCATTTTTTAAGTTTATATTACGGTGATGTGCATATTGGTGGTGCATACTGTATCAGAATCCATTATAGTTCTGCCAAATGTGTTCTGCGGCACTCATTTTTATAATGCATTGCAGCTGTGTTTTATTATCTGATATATCATTCAAGCAATAAGCAAATCCTGACAATTTAAATACCAATGGGTATTTTTAATTTATTATTCTGTATTTTTCTGAAAAATGTCTTACAGTTAAATTTAGCGAAATTTAATTCTGTGCAGTTCTGCTCAAATACATGTAATACATGTCCTTATAAATTACCCGGTAATAAAAGAAATTAAAAGTGGAAATACCCCTTTGAATTTCGTATTATGAAACCACTTCGTTATAAATAAGACAAGGATTTGAATTAGATCACATGCTTCAGATTTATTTTTTCATCGTCAGAAAAAAAAGACCCTGAAACATGTTCATCGTGTGTATCTTGATATCAATATATGCTAAATCGATGCTTTTTTGAATCTTCAAACCAAATTACACTATTTTGATTTTTAAGATGCAATACGGGATACCACATTCTACAAAATATTTTTCTTTCATACTACTCACTTAATTTTATCACGATTTCCAATTAACAACCTGTTCGACACATCTCAGTTTTTTACAGCTAGATTGCCGTAAGTTAAGATTGATGATATCAATAGTTAAAGTATACATGTGGTCATGCACTTTTTAGCAATATCTACTTTGTTTTATTAATCGATGATTTGATATGATGAAGGATAAATTTGTGTACATTTGTGCTAAGTCAAGTTTACCTCCTTGGTAGGAGTCTTTTGAATGATTTGATGTTATCCGGTGAATGTCTGCTGATGTTCTTTCTCGTATTTAATGATTTTTTCAAATCTTTGATGTCGATGCATTGTTGGTGCAGTAATGCTTCATTATCAGATTTAGGTGTATAAAGATACTAGTACATGTGTTTGTACAAAAGAAGATAACATTATAAATATTATGTTGCTTTAGTAAGTTCCTCAGAAGATAGATTTTACATGGTATGCAAATAATTCATCGATAATTCAGTTACGATCTATATAATTCAGCTATGATCAAGAATACCGTATTAAATATGAAAAACGATGTGTATTCTGAATGCATTTGCAACTTTCTATCTTTTAAATGTTCATCAAATATAACTATATAATAAACAAGTTTTCCAAAATCTGTCATTAATTGACTTTGTTGTTTATAGATATCTATATTGACTTTCTCGGCTTGATACTATCGCCAAATTATGTGTTATTGTTCGGCATCTGTTTGCTGTATGATTGTTATCAGCAGGAATATTGAATTCAGAATGTTCATAGCATCAAATATCTGGAAACCAGAGAATAAAATGGCGTAGGACCACGGCCCCATTGTCAATTTTGTTACTATCACTGCAAAAAAAATCTATAGAAACCCTTTTTTACGATGGAAAGAAGCCTTTTTGGACTCAACCTCCATCAGATTTATCTGGGATCAAAAAAATGTGACGTTATAGGTGACAGGGCGGAAATGAAATTATATTGAAAATAAGAACATTATTAAATCACTTACATGTTCAACAATTTATTATTGGTGAAAACAAGAACAAAAAGAAACTATATAAAAAATTTAAGTTTTAATATTTTACTCTATCTTTTATATTCGTTTTGTCTATCGAAATGTCATTTTCTGAAGAAAGACAAAATAGTATTTATACTTAATGCACTTATATGGCTTCATATGATTGTCTTCAACAATATTGAAATCTACATGTGTATGTATATTTCCATTAAAATCTGTGAAAATTTTTATTTGATTTTTTTTAACAAAGAGAAATCTTAGATGAAGATATTTTCATTGGATTGCAATGAATGAAAATAAAATAAGACGGATTTTAAACAGCTTGCAGGATTATCACAAATCATCGGAGTTCTTTCAGCATCCTTTTTACACCTCGTGTGGAAGCACGTCGCTTTGCAATTGATCTTTCATACACTTTTATTCTTATTTTTAGATTTATCAATATTCTATAATATCACGGTTCTTGGTAGAAAATATATTTTGGTAAGTTTCATCTGTTATGATTATCATTTTATGTATTGTTTTTGAGCCATTTACCTCCAAGTCAATTTTTAAAAGTTCAACATATTTGATGAATACTTAATTTATATAGTTTGGTTTGTGTTTTTACAAATAATTATATTGAATTTCATAAAACATTACTTATTTGCTTTCCATTTTCTTTAAATAAATGGAAAACAAAGAGAGATAATTTTAAAATTTTGGTCCAAAAAAAACCTGTGTTTCGACAATTCACTTATGTATTATTAATTATTTACGTATATAATGGCCTAATAATCGGTATGAAAAAAAAATGTCAGTCAGCATTTGACAAAATGATAAAGAACTGCCAATGATAGTATTGTCCTCTACAAATATTTGAAAATATTTTTTGAAAAATTCAAATATAGAGGACCCCCCTCCCGCCCCCCTCCAAGTCAATTTTTAAAAGTTAACAAAATTCTTAATATTTTTTTTTATATTGAATTTCATAAAAATATGGAAAACAAAGAGAGATAACTAGAATTTTGGTAAAACTTGTTTCACAAATTCATACCAAAGCTTTTTGTGTGTTATTTCACAAATTCATACCAAAGCTTTTTGTGTGACACGGGGGGGAACATATGTTTATTGACAAAAAACGATAAAAATGTTTATTTTCCACCAATTTCAAAGCGATTTACAAATAAAACTTTATATTTTATTGATATATTCATGTTTTATTTATTTGCCTAAGACAAAAGAAAAGATATAAGGAACATTTAATCATATCCAAGACTATTTCAAAATATGGTGATGCCTGAAACTCCGATTTCAATGAAAAATATCGTCTACCCCCCTTTTTTCAAGAGCTGGAATTATGGATAATTTACTGTTTAGTGCTGGTATTAAGACAATTCATCAATTACCATTGAACTGTTCTTTGTATTAAACAAAGATTTTATGATCAAATTACTGTTCATTTTGAATTAAATGGTTCCAAAATGTAGGCGGGAATCGAGAGGTAGCGTGCGTATTTCTTGTATTTGCTGACAAGGTCATTGTATCAATCATAGAACTTACGAAAGGATGTCTAAATTCTGCTATGATTCTTCTTTCAGCAGCTTGTTTATTAATAATTTACCTCAAAGTTCAAATCATTTTCATGCTGCAACATTTAAAAGCATAGGTGTTAAAATGAAAGATTGTCTAAAAGATGCAGGTGAATGGTTAAAAAGATATGTGAATGAAGTGGAAATAATTGCCTAAACCTCGATGTTAGTTACATTTTTGTTGTGTAGTAATAAAAAAATATATAAGGTCAACCCTAAAACCTTATCATTTCACTGCAATAGTTTGTTTATTTGTTTGTTTAAGAATATCCGATCCTCAGCCAGGAAGGATAACTCCACAAATTAATATTTAAATTGAAATGCATCAAAATGAAGCTTGAAAATGAAATTTTTTCATGCAACAATTTTCATTTTATTCATCTTTATAAGGTTCAAGGTTTTTGGAAGTCTTAGAAAAGGTCTTATAAAAGTTGACATCTGTACCCTATAAAAGGAAAAAATTAATACAGTTTAAGAGAAAATAAGATTTTCATGATTCTAGCCTTAGATACCAATGCTTATTAGCATGATATGAAATGAGAAGTGTTTTGTGGCATCTTGCAATGATAGTAAAAACCTTTTACACTATGCATTGTGGAATACATGACGGAAATAGAAGACAAAAAGTACCAAATATAAGGATAAAAATCATAATTTTTTTGAATGCCTGGATACCTATCGTTTTTTAAACTAAAATTTATTTGTTGATCAGTTTGCAATTAAAAAATGCATTGCTGATATTCCAATTCGCTTTTTCTGCAAAAATATCGGAGATTTGACAATTTTCCCTATGTAATATGATTAACTTTAATTTTTAACTTTAAAGAAATACTGTGGATAAATACATAACTTTGTGGATTCAGAGATACTTTTATGAGTATTTTTGATTACTTAACTGCTAATTTTATAAATCTGAGGATCGGACTACCTTAACGTCCCTTATTAGAATTTTTCACTCATGTGGAGATGTGTTGGATTGTGTTCTCACTCCATACTTCCTAATAACCGTTATAAATAATAGGCTTGTCCAAGCAAATGGAAGAGATTAAAGGTACATGTTAAAAAATGGAAGAATTCACAATTAATAATCTTGTCCTGTCTTATGTTTCGTAAAAAAATATTTAAAATTCATAAATATTAGATTTAGAATATCCCTTGTGTTCAATTTGTAAATAATGTTTTATTTATGATATCTTACACTTGAGGATAATAATCCACTTATTACACCCTGCATAAAAATTACATCGACTACAGTGGGCAAAAGAAACACAGACATTGGCAATGACGTCGTTGAGGTTCTGTTCTCTTTTTGTCCCCCGCTTGAAAAGTGGGGGATATTAATTTGGGTTTGTCCGTCCGTCCGTCTGTCCGTCCGTCCGTCTTTCTGTCTGTCTGTAAATCGTTTCCACACGATATTTTTAGAACCCTTTGAGCTTTTGCAATGAAATTTAGTAGCAACTCCCTATGGACTAAAGAAGACCCCTATTGATTTTGAGGTCAAAAGGTCAAAGGTCAAGGTCATAAATAAGCAAATTCTCTCTGTTAAAACACTTTCGTTTCCACACGATATCTCGAGAACCATTTGAGCTATTGCAATGAAATTTTATATAACAACTCCCTGTGGCCTAATGAAGACCCCTATTGATTTTGAGGTCAAAAGGTCAAAGTTCAAGGTCGTAAATTTATACATTCTGTCTGTATGTAATACTATCATTTCCAGGCGATATTTCAAGAAGATTTTGAGCTTATGCAATGTAATTTTATACCAAAACTCCCTAGGACGTCTCTCGCCCCTCTCAAAGTGCCCCGCCCCGTTTGTTTTATTAGTATTTATAGTATTACATGGCGCTATTTTTAGCGCAGGGGCATGAGGAGAGTTATTGCGTATAAAACATTACACGGACTTTATGTTCTTATTACATCTATTAGAACTGTTTAATAAAGGCTAAATAAATCAAACACCATGGATTGTGTAAAATTTTGAAAACCGAACATGAAAACATGAATATATACATGTATGTGACTTCAGTTTGCATATACTTCTGAACTATAAAGCGACTCCGAGAGTGGTTATGTCTCTCTTCAAACGGGAGAGGTCCTGTGACATTGAACCTTTCATTTTTTTTTTTTAAATCCTTTTTTTTTTACTAAATGATAGTATTGAGCATGTATGAGGTTATAAAATCATCATTACAGTGTGATAAATATTCCATATAAAAAAATCTTCTATATACATAATAAAGAATAAGCAATCAAATCTTTGTATGAATATTGACATACATGTATTTTATTTCCTTCAGTATACATGTATACATTTAATAATTCTACAAATTCAGTCTTTTTCCCTAAGCGGGGGACACGAATTCTCTGAATTAGCTTGTCAGAATAGTCGCGATTTTATTTTATCATGATGGCAGAGGGCTTGTTTGGAGAGTAAAGAGGGAAAGGTATGACAATTGTTTTATTTATGAGCATGATAGATTAAATAGAGGTGGTTCGGTGATGATTGCAAAACTGGTCTGCACATTATTAGGGCTAAATGACAGGTTTAAAATACCGTGATGATATTCTTCATTCTATTGTTAGACCTATTGCAAGTACTCTGGTGGAGAAGTTCATTTTAATGGACGATAATGTTCCACCTCATAGAGTCTGAATCGTAAACGGGTACTTGGAAAATGAAACAATGCAGAGTATGGACTGGCCAAGTCGTTCTCCAGACCTTCCGAAAAATCGACGGGAGCTTCAGACAGCGTTACAAGAGGAATAGCAACCGATTCTCAGGCTAGCCTTGCAATGGTGATGGGCAGCATGGTTCGGTACTGTAGGGCAGTTATTGCCTTGCTGGGAGGTCATTAAAAAAATCCTGAAAATCATATTTTACTGACAGGATTCGACTACTCTGAAAAAATCATTATATTCTGGTCTACGTTCAACATGGCTAATTTTAGAGTGACCATAAAGAACAATTCATAATGTGTGTTAAAACAAATTTATTTTACCTCTACTGATTTTTCCTAATATAACATTAGATCGTTAGATGTGATTATCACATCCATCGTCGTGATTATATTAATCATTCTGTTTACTGGCAAAGAAAGTGAGTATTAGGTATCCCGCGGAACGGGGGTCGAATAGATAGTTAGTGAAATTCTAGATTTACTAAGATTGTCCAATAAATCTACCCAATACCTAGTAAAAACAACTTTTAAGACAATAAATTTACTAGTCATCTTAGTGACTTTTACTGGGGTTTTTTTTCAGTATATAATGAATTTCTAGTAGAAGAACTATAAGAAAGAGACCTTTTAGTAGATATATGTTTACACTGAGGAATTTCCTTCATTGTCTTTGTGTCCAACTTTGCTTGTATTACTTTTTCCATAATAACCTTTGCGTGCCGCTATCATGATATCTAAGGTATCCAAAGTGCTCTTTTGTCCTTCTTCACTTTTACTCAGTGATTTGATATTGCTTCTTTTCCTTAGATACATCGCAGATAGTTTTAATGTGGCAATGGATTTGAAGACTTCGCCATTAGTCGGATGGTCAGAGAGAAGATGGGACTTCTTCATGGATTCCACGTGAGCTGGCGCGATGGCCATAACGTCCTTGTGGCTGGTGGGAAAGCGGTCGATGACGGGATTTCCGAAACTCTCCGACTTTTCGACAATTCGGAAATATTCCTTGAAAAATTTAGGACGATAGCCAATTCCTGCCATAATGTAAATGACCTGTAAATTTAAGAATAATCGTATGTTAACGACATTTTTTTGATAACTCTGATATCACAGCCATATTTATTCTTTATCATGCGAATGGAGAAACGATGATTTTTTTGGCTTTTGGTAAGTAAACATTTAAGCAGTTAAGTATCTTATCCAGACGTAAATTATCCGAAAAGTGATCTAGGTATAAAAATTTCCATCATCAATGAAAATGCAAGTACATGTGCTTTTGAAACCCTTTTATCATTTGACAACAATAATACAACACAAAAGCCTGCAGAGCTCACCTCCGTGCCAATCAGATGTGGCCATGAAAACCAAGCAACAGATACTGATAAAATTGGAAAGCAGATCAACGACAGGATTACGAATCCACAATTCTTACAACATGACTCTACGGTTTTTCTTCTCTTGAAGAAGAACATGTGCAGAGATTCCCAATGAGTAACACCTACAACGGGGACAATTTGTTTCATTTTTATGTATTCAATAAGAGCTACTCTCTAAAATAAAACATGAATTTTAAGATTGAATCTTTCTCTCAAGCATTTAAAGCTTCAACGAATATTCTTGAAAAAAAATAAATTTGTTCACCTGTAATAAAAGCTGGAATTTGTGATTCTGTCATATGAGATGACGCCTGTAGAAAAGAAATCCCATAGCTCCATATGAGAGGATTGGTGTACCAGTTTGTTGGGTTATACCAGGGGTTGTTCTTATTCCGATAGCTGTAGTACCACAGGTTTCCCGCCATGTACAGTACCGCTAACACAACAGTAGTAGCAATACCCCACAAGACACACTTGCGGATGAAGCCCATAATGATATAGGCAAGGCTTAAAACGCCAAAGAGAATAAGTGCACCATTGACAGAAAACGCATTTCCATAGCAAAGCTCTCCGTAAATATTGAACTGGGCGAGAAACATCATGGACAGCATGACATTGGTTGGAATTGTGAAGAAGTGAACAAACTTAGCCAGCATGCCTTGATGGAAGATATCAAAAGTGTACATCTGATAAAGGAGGTCGAAAAAATCCCACTGGACTCTGGGAACAATTAACCAAAAATTCAAGCACTTTTCGCAGCAGTTATCTCCCTCTATATTCTCGCATCCTGGAACTTGACCAAGATTCTCGGCGTGGTCGTCGAAACTCACCGGATCCCGTTTGAGACACACTGATTGCTGCTTTAAAACTTCCCTTTCCAGTGTTGCGAAGTTTTCTGTCAATTCCTTGAAGATGTTCGACGTCAAGAGCCTATTTCGCCTCTGGTCATCCCAATGCTTCAATGAGAGCAGGTAAAATTCAATGGAATATTTCCCTGCATCGTTAGTTCCTGGAGGGTGAGAGAACAGCTGTCCTTTGTAGAATACGATCCCGATCTCGTCATCTCCATTGTTCAACACTCTGTTGATATAGGATTGGAATCTTTTTTCAGCTTCTGCTCTTTCTTGTACATTTGCAATTATTCGAAAGGTTTGTGTATATATGTGTAATTCGGCAAGTTCGTTTCCTTCGAATTCACCCATTGTTGCGATTTAATAATTAATATAGTCTGGAACAAATCATAGAACAAAATAAAACGAATTTTTTTAGAATACATGAGGAAAAAAGTATACCGGTACATATTTTGATGAAATGCGATGATATATTTAATCTAATTAGAAAATGCTTTTAAATATTTATCCTTCATAAATGAAATTTTGATTTTCAAGAAAATGACTACATTTGAAATCATTTAAAAACCATTCCAAACGTTACCTCGTATTGTTTTCCTATTTCTCAAGTAAAAATCAGAGTCTGGTATATTTCTTTCTCATAAAAACTTGACTGCTTTCTAAACAATCTGTTGTAAGTCGTTAGAGCTGAGGTTTTTATTTATATTTAGTTTACCATATTAATATATAATACCATAGAAACAATTGTTTGCACTTGATGTCGAACATTTAAATACATCCTGTTTCTGTTCTATACATGTATATAGATAAGAACGGACGCGCGTTTTTTCCAAATTAATAAATATTAAATTTGAGTGAAAAGAATTAGACCTTATCGAACATCCAGTATGCAAAAGCAGCCATGTGTTCAAAGAGCTGTACTGCTACAGTCTAAAAGTCTCTTAAATATTTATTTTATACAAGTTAAAGGGAATTTATGGTTCAATAAATAAGTGTGCTTTTCATTCCAACATTTCATTACAATTTTAGCATTACTTTAATTCTCTCTAGTCTACAATTAAATAACTGATATCTGACTTTCTTTTAAAATATCATGGTCAAGGCATTTATGAAACATTATGTGATACTGCATTTCACAAGCAATTTTATTTTATTCTGAACTACAGATTATTGTAGTGTTTAATACTAATACATTTTTTTTATTATACTTTTCTATAAATATAAGAAAATGTAGGAAAACTCGTTTTGATATTCCTATAAAGCCGAATGTATTCAAAAATTTCTACCGAGGAGAAGCAAACACTTGCCACTACCTTCAAATTCACAGACAGATCTATCGACAACGCGTTTTATCAACTGGACTTCCATTCTTCTGTCGACTCGATCTTAAAATAAAGTATAAAACTTGAAATAAAAAACACAACAGAATCTGCTTCATCTGCTTCATATTTGGGTGTTTTACTGACCAATACCGTATAGACGATAAGGGCCAACTATCAACTAAATTGTATGATAATTAAAATGACTTCAACTTTTCCATCGTCATCTTTCCTTGTTATTGTAATAATACTCAGCTATCATCTGTATATGGTGTTTACGTCTTCCAAGTTATTCGATTCAAAAGCAGACTCTGAGTACGATCAGTTTTAAACCAATGCAGGCCACTGACAGATAAGTTGAGGATGCAGGGATTTTCTCAACCCTGTTTGTTGTTTGATGTTCCTTTACAACTCCTTGTAAATAATGACCTTATAACCAAGCATTGGGTCGTATTTTGGCGGATCCATATGTTTCATCCAATTGTTAGGATTTCAAGCCGATCTTTAGGTCTTAACATGTGTTTGTTAAGCATTATCAGTTAAATAAAAACTTTGACACCTGCATGGCTTTAGATACAAACGTCTGCTCTTGGAATTTAGAGTGCTTCTCTAACGAAAAAAAAAATAATCTGACCGAATTGTAGTATTTATGAAAGGTATATTATTAAGATAAATGATGAGCTGTCGCTTTACTTCTAAGGTTCATGGACATGAACTAAGCGTTAGGAAATAAATAAGTTTTTAACTAAGCTTGTAGTTCACGAAAGATAAAATAAATAACATGTGCATTGTTTTTGTTTTTCAATTTATGGAAGTTAATATTAAAAAAACTTTATCGTCGGTTCTCAGAGAATCTTGATGCATCATAGAAACTTGAGACCTATTGACACAAGGTCTCACAAAAACTATCTTCTTGAAGTCTGTGATCTCATTTTTTGAAAACCTGTTTGGATCAAACAAGAAAAAAACAAAACGCACCTTTAAAAAAGGTTTAATTATGCAGAAAATGAACAAGAGTGTCTTTTGAACGTTTTTTTAAAGATAAAATTATTTCCTTTACATTTATATTCCTTCATTTAAATTGTGTCCCTTGTTGTAGCCCAGCCCCTAACGGCTCATAATTTGAAGAAACTTCAATTTACACTGAGGATGGTTTCATATACTAGGCAAAATAAGTTAAGGATCATATTTTTACACAAGAATAATATTTTCATACCCATGAATTTATGTGACAGCAAGGCTTAAGTAGTTTTAAAAACATGTCATTTACACGATTCGATACTTAAGTCAAACGTGTTTAATGAGTTTTGGGATTGGTCAAGAAAGTACGTGGCGTTAAAAAAGTAAGTGGAACAATGGAAGCATAGAAGTATCTAAGAGGGTTTTCTTTAGTGAACATAAGAAAATCTCAGTAAATCTGGCCAGAACTGATGATAAGACGCTATGAGGAGGCATATGAGTATGGACGAACACTCCATGGCAGCAGGGATGCTGGAAGCTGGCAAAACGCAACGTCACGTTTCAGAAAGACTTTATCTTTCAAAAAGCGGAATTAACAGTTATGGAACCTATATTTACAGGGAGAAAATTGTCAAAAAAAGGCTAAAATCGGGACGTCCAAGGTGTACGGCAGTCCAAAAGGATCGTTATTTGGCCAATTTTGCTGAGACGCACCGCTTCCAAAGTGCTCTTAAACTTAATACTGAGCATCAGAGAGCAACGGGCAGACGGATTTCTACTCAAACAGTTTGAAACAGTCTCCAGGAAGCAAATCTCAAGGCTTGCCGACCAGCCGTACGTCCTGTATTAAAATTAGAGTGCCGCAGAAATCGACTACAGTGGACAACAGAACACAAAAAATTGGCAATAACGTCACTGGTGTTCTGTTCTCTTCTCAGACAAGTCGCGATTTTGTTTTGACTTCCATGATGACAGAAGACTTGTTTGGATCGCAAAGGGGGAAAGATATGGTGACTGTGTCGTTTCTGAGCTATACAGATTAAATGGAGGTTTGGTGATGATTTGGGCAGGCATAAGTATTGACTGAAAAACTGATCTGCACATTACTGAAGGAAACCTGACAGGTTTAAAACACCGAAATTATATTCTTCATCCTTTTGTTAGACGTATTGCATGTACTCTGAGGGAGGATTTCATCTTAATGGACCATAATGCTCGACCTCATAGAGTCCCAATCGTAAACGACTACATGGAAAGTGAAACAACTTAGCGTATGGATCCGCCTAGTCATTCTCTAGACCTTAAGTTAATTAAATGAACATGCCTGGAACATTCTTTAGACTCGCATTTCAGTTCGTCTTACACTTCCCCAAAATCGACGGGAGCTTCAGACAGCATTGCAGATCCCTCAGGCTAGCCTTGGACGGCTGATGGGCAGCATGGGTCTGCGCTGCAGGGCCTCGCGGGGAGGTCATACAAAATACTGGCAATCATTTTAGTGACATAATTTGACTCTTCTGAAAAAAATCTCATTTTCAGGTCTACCCCCAACATGCCAAATTCTAAAGTGACCATAATGAACAATTTGTAGCGTGTGTTCAAACAAATTTATCACATCCAATGTTTGATTTTCACTTTTAAAATATAAAATATGAAACTAAAATTAAAACTGCATTCTGTTTTCTATGATACAGTATTTTTAAAACATATTTAATTTGATGATCCTTAACTTTTTTTGTCCTGTATATAACTATGACTGATTATGATTACATAGGCAGAAAGAATACATTGTGAAAGCTTAAAGACATGAGATAAGTTCTTTTTTTCTTTTTAATCATGACGACCCGTAGCAGGGTGAGGTGTCATAGGAGATTAAGTTTCAAATGAAAGTTCACAGGAAAAATCTTTATTGTTCTTTTCCTCAAGAATGCCAGATTTTTGATTACTAGTATTAGTCATATTGTTATTCGAGCATCTTCAGATACTGCAGATACAAATTTCTTCTAAGCATGGTCAAAGAGGTAGGATGAAGCCACAATAGGAGATTAAAATTTTAGGTATGCATATACAAGACTATATCTTTTTAAAAAACTCCACCTCAAAAACAATGTTGCCATTACATATGTAAGTCATGCCATTTTTAAATCTTTGATAGCCCACTACCCACAAACCCTCTATGAGGGCTAGTGTGTTTAGAACAGTAGTGTCTAGAGAGGATGTCATTGCATTTTTTATATTGAGGTATCCTATTGGTAGGTGGAATTAATACAGGTGAGGTTAATTTGTGACCCAATTTACATTCAGGTAAGTGTTGTGACCCATGGGCACTGTGCTGTGAGAAATATATGAACATTTTACCTTGGATGTTTTCTTAAAGTATTAAAATACTCATATTTGCTAATCTACATTTTATTAAATGTATAAAAGAAAAATGTAAACAAATAACTCAAAGTTGGTGTTATGTAATCATAAAAGAAATGGACGGAGACTTCGTATTCTGACTGCCAGCAGTCAATGTTAATGAGTCCTAGGATAGGAAAAACTGAACTACAAAATTAACAACAAAATTAACATTGTCACTGTTAACGAGGACAAAATATCACAGATAAATCACTGGTCTTTTTGTGGTTGATGTGCAAAAATAAACTAAGCATATTAATTTGTTTTTCTTTCAAAAATATATTTAGTATAATTAACTACAGTATTTAAAAAAAGGTAAGTCTTCACAACCAAAAAATGGGGGAAAAAACATTTTTAAAAAAATTAAATGAGACTTTCTACCATTGTTGCAATAATGCTGGATATTTTATCAAAAATGTTTATAATAAATAGATTGTAAAAGGAGTAACATAGCTTTATAATCACAGACTAGCAGAACAGAAAAAAAATATATTAAATATATAGTACATAAATGCTTTACATATGTTTAATACAGGATTAAAATATTGCATCAACATTTGTCATTGATTTGTTCTTGAATCAGCTACTGTTACAATTAATTTTAAAAAAGATGACAAAAATGTAATTATCTTAATTAAAGTGCAATCATATGATACCATTGGAAAAATACTGTAAATTTGGAAATTCATTTCAGTCAAAGATGATCTTTTTTTTTTGTATAGAACCTAATGTATCCATTTTTTGATTCCTTAAAGAATTATTACAATGTTTAATTCAAAACTAAAAGGAAAGGTTTTTTTTTTAAATTCATTTGACAGAATTCAAACTTGTTCAAATTAAATGACTACATCATTGTGTTTTTATTTAAAATGCAAAGGTTCTGATATTCTGATGATTCTATGCATCACTCGTAAATTTTCAGATTTACAGTATCCCTTATACATGTATCTAGTAAATAAGCAGGATCGCATACTGCTACATATAACTATGATAATTATGAGGTCATACCAACAGTTACATATACATATATTACAAGTCTACATTATTTTAAAATAACATGAAAATAAATCAAATATAACTTTGCAGGACGGAAAAGAAAAAAGATAAATATCAAAATAAAATGAAAACAAGTATTGCAACTAGCCATGACAAAAGCAGTATTATAGGGGTATTTCTGGAACACTTCTGAAGCTGTTTATATCTTTTTGGACAGAAATTAACAAAATTCTCAAGACAAAAACAAACTCACAAAACACATGCTCAAGTCCTGCTCAGCATAAAATACAGTATTACAAACATGTTACTGTATGCAGGGTTATTTTTGCCCCACTCTATTTTTGCCCTTCAGCACTTGCAAACAATTTGCCCTGTTTTAAATTCGCCCAGTCACAGTTTTATTTAAGAAATTATACTGCATTCTTTTCATTCATCCAACCGAGGTTAGGGGGAAAGGAGCAAAAATGAACAGGGGCAAAAATTTCCTGCTATACAGTATTTAAAGTAGGACAATGACGCTGGAGCTTCTTGAACAAGACATGTCATCTAAAAGTATGCTTTCCAATGCTGATAAATGTAACAGTGTTGTTGTTTTTTTTTTAAATCAAGCTACTTGAAAGAAAGGGTTGTCATTTAGAAACAATTCAAAATTCACTTATCATCTCTATGCAAATAAAAGATAGATTTAGTCCTTTCACACATGGAAGCCATTATCCATCAGTTCCTGCTTGCTGTCCTCTTTAACTTCTTTTTCTTGGGGAGGGAGTCATCACTACTACTTGGGGAGGGGGAGGCTGGGGGAGGGAAATCGTCCGCAGTGAATCCTGATCGAGTGTGGGCACTTCTTCTCCCACGTACCTAATGAAGAAATTCAATATATTTACATTTCAGTAAAATCAAGATTTCTTATCAAATTTTAAAAAAGTTTTAATACTCATAGCAAGACATGAAATAAACTAACCCCGTGAAAGCTGGCCTGTGACCCCATAAGATTCTCCACCCCTCGGGCTCCTCGCTCCAGGGCCGTCTTCATATCTTTGTCCATTCCAGGGATAGAGATGTCTCCAAATACCTGTAATACAATGTATATAAGCTTACATCTATACACATGATTAACAGGTGGATCACAGAATACCTTGCGTTAAAAACTCAATGACTAAATGTTACACCAATAAAAAGGGGAAACAGAAAGTGATATTCGGAGTTCCTTTAATATGCCAATTGAAATTTTGTGTTGTTGTGTAGGGGGGGCAGACAGAATTATATTAAATGCTGCAGTACATTTCTATAAATATTCTTGTTGTAACTGTTAAACAGTTACATCACCATACAGACATATTAACTGGGACAAATACTAACCTCAACAACAGCGCCATCTGGCAGCCTTAGGAAGTGTCGGTAGAGTTCACGGAGTCCGTCTAGGTGAATCGTGTGGATGGAGACGTGAGTCGTGATCTCCTTCTTCCCCTTCACCGTCTCCTTGTGTTCCACTCCACTCTCGTCCCAAATACTCTCCTCCACCTTAAAACAAAGGGAAAAATACATAATCTAACTTTACTTTTCCTTTTAATAAATAACCAGAAGTCTCTGTCGAGACTGAAGCTCTACTGGTTTGTACTTATAGCAAAGGAAGAGAAAAGTACTTAAGCAGTTGGAAATTGAAACTTTTCAACAGCAATAAATAGAATAATGATCCTCGATTAAGTCTCTTTATGTTCTTAGTGCAGTCTACTTGCATGCCACATTTATATTATAATCAGACTAAAATTGTATTTGGAGTAGCATTTTGAAAGAATTTCACAGAAATTTCTATTTTTAGTAACCACGGCAACACCGTTCATCGAAATCAAAAACCGATACACAGAATTATGTATCTTAGTGTAGTCTACTTGTGTGCCAAGTTATATTGAAATCAGACCAAAACTGTAGGAGGAGTAGCATTTTGAAAGTATTTCACAGAAATTTCTATTTTTAGTAACCACGGCAACATCGTTCATCGAAATCAAAAACCGATACACAGAATTATGTATCTGAGTGTAGTCTACTTGTGTGCCAAGTTATACTGACATAATTGAAATCAGACCAAAACTGTAGGAGGAGTAGCATTTTGAAAAATTGTTTACAGACAGACAGACGGACAGACAGACAGACAGACGGACGGACGACGGACGCATTACTATCGCATAAGCTCTTCTGGTCTCTGACCAGTAGAGCTAAAAACTAGAACTGTCCAATAGGGACAAATACTCCCGCTGGGTTTTTCAGAGTAGGTGCCAATTCAGAAATATTTTATGGATTTAGTAAGAGGTGTTCACTATTGTCTAATAAAGTGCCCCGCCACAGCATGATACCCCCATCAAATATTGTTCGATAATCATAAATTGGTTAGGGTGCAAGAAAATCAAGTAACCTTGATTAACAGATTGACACAGATTTCAATGATCTAATTTCCATTTCTTATCATGCTTAAAATATTGTACATACATCTCTAAGAGTCTTACAGTGTAGGGATTAATTAAAACAAATAATACATCATATAATTCTAAACTGGCTGTGTTAGAGCTTAATAAATATCCATCTGCAGCTTTCAATTGTTTATTGCATATTTTATGAAATAATGGAAATGCTACAGTCTAATAAAAAAAATCAAAAATTAATTATTCTTTAGACTATAAAATTCTAAGTGAGACATGACTGCAATTTGTTGCAAATATATAACCAGAAGTCTCTGTCGAGACTGTAGCTCTACTGGTTTATACTTAAAACAAAGGAAGAGAAAAGTAGCAGTTGGGACTTGAGACTTTAAATCAGCAATAAATAGAAAAAGGATCCTTGCCACTCGTCAAAATAAAAACCAATAAACAGAATTATGTATCTTAGTGTAGTCTACTTGTGTGCCAAGTTATACTGAAATCGGACCAAAACTGCAGGAGGAGTAGCATTTTGAAAGAATTTCACAGAAATTTCTATTTTTAGTAACCATGGCAACACCATTCATTGCAATAAAAAACCGATGCACAGAATTATGTATCTTAGTGTAGTCTACTTGTTTGCCAAGTTATATCAAAATCAGACCAAAACTGTAGGAGGAGTAGCATTTTGAAAGAATTTCACAAATTTCTATTTTTAGTAACCACGGCAACACCGTTTATCGAAATCAAAAACTGATGCAGAGAATTATGTATCTTAGTGTAGTCTACTTGTGTGCCAAGTTATACTGAAATCGGACCAAATCTGTAGGAGGAGTAGCATTTTGAAAGAATTTCACAGAAATTTCTATTTTTAGTAACCACGGCAACATCGTTCATCGAAATCAAAAACCGATGCACAGAATTATGTATCTTAGTGTAGTCTACTTGTGTGCCAAGTTATACTGAAATCGGACCAAATCTGTAGGAGGAGTAGCATTTTGAAAGAATTTCACAGAAATTTCTATTTTTAGTAACCACGGCAACATCGTTCATCTAAATCAAAAACCGATAAACAGATTTATGTATCTTAGTGTATTCTACTTGTGTGCCAAATTATACTGAAATCAGACCAAAACTGTAGGAGGAGTAGCATTTTGAAAGAATTTCACAGAAATTTCTATTTTTAGTAACCACGGCAACACCGTTCATCGAAATCAAAAACCGATACACAGAATTATGTATCTTAGTGTAGTCTACTTGTGTGCCAAGTTATACTGAAATCAGACCAAAACTGTAGGAGGAGTAGCATTTTGAAAGAATTTCACAGAAATTTCTATTTTTAGTAACCACGGCAACACCGTTCATCGAAATCAAAAACCAATACACAGAATTATGTATCTTAGTGTATTCTACTTGTGTACCAAGTTATACTGAAATAAGACCAAAACTGTAGGAGGAGTAGCATTTTGAAAGAATTTCACAGAAATTTCTATTTTTAGTAACCACGGCAACACCGTTCATCGAAATCAAAAACCGATACACAGAATTATGTATCTTAGTGTAGTCTACTTGTGTGCCAAGTTATACTGAAATCAGACTAAAACTGTAGGAGGAGTAGCATTTTGAAAGAATTTCACAGAAATTTCTATTTTTAGTAACCACGGCAACACCGTTCATCGAAATCAAAAAACCGATACACAGAATTATGTATCTTAGTGTAGTCTACTTGTGTGCCAAGTTATATTGAAATTAGACCAAAACTATAGGAGGAGTAGCATTTTGAAAAATTGTTTACAGACAGACGGACAGACGGACAGACAGACAGACGGACAGACGGACGGACGCCGGACGCATTACTATCGCATAAGCTCTTCTGGTCTCTGACCAGTAGAGCTAAAAATTGAAATGTAATTTTTTTTTTTTAATGAACACATGTATAATTAATTTTAATTATATTATTCAATACTAATTCAGTTTTAATCATACACTAAAACATCAATTTGTTTTAATTACATTACACCAATTGAAAGATCTTTATCTGAACTTACAGCCATCAAGAACTCTTAATTAACACAAGCAACTATAAGGCCATTTCTTTTTGCCCAACTCCCAAGAGATAAATTAAGATAACACAGCATGATGCTCTTGTTAGTTAACTCCCGACAATGAACTCATTAATTTCTCTCTAATTTGACATGCACATTTCTGCTATCAAAATTTCTCCTTGACCAGTGCTTGATAATTATGCCCATGGGACAAACTGAATTCCTTTCAAATCATTAACATTTGTTACAGAATTTGCTGTAAAGTATATGATAAAAAATAAGTTTTTACTTAATTTAGCATTTTTTAATAAGGATACAACTATATTTTTACATTTTTTAGGATTATGAAATTTAAAATTTTAAAGACTTTTTTTTTTTTAAAAAATCACTTAAATTAAAGGTCACAGTGACCTTGAAATAGGTCGTGACACACCGTCTACCCAAGATGCATAAATTGTCCAAGTTTGATGATTGTAAGTCTAATAGTTTTCTAGTTATGAGCCAAACAAAATCACAAAATAAACTAGAACTGTCCAAACGGGACAAAATACCCCCCGCTGGGTTTTTCAGAAGTAGGTTTTTCCATAATAAAGATATGTATCAAACACGAATTATGAAATTTTTCTTCCAGGGACCTTGAACTTCCCCAAATGACCTTGGGTCAAGGTCATGACACACCCTTGGGTCATGGGCAATCTTTGTGTGAAATGAGAACCTACCAAGTTTATCCATAAGAAAGATATGGACCGGACACGAATTATGAAATTTTTCTACCAGTGACCTTGAACTTCCTCAAATGACCTTGGGCCAAGGTCATGACACACCCTTGGGTCATGGGCAATCTTTGTGTGAAATGAGAACCTACCAAGTTTATCCATAAGAAAGATATGGACCAGACACAAATTATGAAATTTTTCTTCCAGTGACCTTGAACTTCCTCAAATGACCTTGGGTCAAGGTCATGACACACCCTTGGGTCATGGGCAATCTTTGTGTGAAATGAGAACCTACCAAGTTTATCCATAAGAAAGATATGGACCGGACACGAATTATGAAATTTTTCTTCCAGTGACCTTGAACTTCCCCAAATGACCTTGGGTCAAGGTCATGACACACCCTTAGGTCATGAGCAATCTTACTGTGGAGTAGTAGATTCTAATGTCCCTCTGTAAGAAAGATATGGACCGGACACGATTGCACAGACAGACGGACAGACGGACAAGGTGATTCCTATATACCCCCCCAAACTTTGTTTGCGGGGGGTATAAAAAGAAAAAATGCCTGTAAAATGCAGAAAAATCATCCAATCATGATGAAAATCCCAGGTGCACACCTTCATACGGTGAATAATAAGTGTATAAATTTTCAGACAAATCCATCCAACAGTTTCTGAGAAACAGTCCGGACAAAATCTTGTCTACAGACAGACGGACAGACAGACGGACATGGTGATTCCAATATACCCCCCTAAACTTCGTTTGCGGGGGTATAATTAAACCTGCAGATCAAAATTTAAAATATCTTTTTTTGACAATTCAAGTATTTTATCTTTACTTCTAGCTATATAAGAAGATACTATACTTTTAAGAAAGCTTCACTTACATCTTCCTCTTCCCAAATATAGTCATACACAGCAGTCTTCCTCCTCTCCCCTTCCTCCCCTCTCCATTTTTCTGCCTTCTTCACAATGTAATTCAGCTCCTGATTAGAGACTTCAAGGTCATACGGCAGGAAGAAGTTGTCCTCATCACCATGGAGACGCCAGTACACATCCAACAAACGGCCATTATTATGGAGCCTACAATTTGAGGAACATTTTTGGCTCTTATGTACAGATGTACACTTAATTAAATATTTTCATAGGGTTCAATTGAAAGTTTAGTGGTTACAAAAAGAAATAGGTGTTGGTAGGAATTTGATTTCATGGTTGATGAATTGTGACATATTGCGGTGTTTTTGATGCCTTAGAGGGTCTATAATTATACAAATTAAGAAAACGACAAAAAACAAATCTACTTTCACAGAAACCAACCAAAAATTTTGTCAGTAACATACAATCCTTCACTTGTGAGAACCAAATATTATGTGTATTATAAATGTATTGGTTGTCTGTAAAGTGGGCAATTTCATTAAGTGATAAATTTTGCAATGAAAATATGTCAGACTTTTAATTATCCCCCTCTCTTTGCTGTTGAAAAGTTTAACATTTTTTATTAAATAATCCCACTTATATTGTACTAGTTTACACAAGTGAAACATACCTTTTACAAATGAACAAATTTGTACATAAAGCTGCAAAATACTCTTCAAAATAATTATGATATTTTACAAGTATGCCTGGGTAATTCTAGATGCCCTTATTTTACCTGAGGAAGTACATATACAGGATAGAGGCCGACATAAACATGGTGAAGGTGTAGAGGAAAGCCACAATGAAGATCCCAGCCAATCCTGACCCCTCCAGTCTCAGGAAGTGGTAGTACAGCTTCACCACGTCAGCCTGGGGGTAGATCGAGGTGTCCTCGTATCTCTGAAAATAAAACATAAAGTATAATGTCTGTACTGAAATCACCATCTCACAAAACACAGCTGGAGAAAAATTGTCTAGAAATATTTTAGCAGCCATTATTAAAGCATAGTCCATACAAGAAAATAACATAAAAGTCCCAAGTATTTAAAAAGATAAAGTATGCAGCAATAATGAAACTTTTTGTGCAGAATTTCATGAAATTTGAACTAATAAATTAAAAATTTCATCTTCTTGTTCCACAAAAATCCATGAACTACTGCATATACAGTATAATTTGTTCAAACCGGCTACCGCCGGTTCCATAAAATTTGGCCGGTTTAGACAGAATCCGGAGTGCAGGAAAAATGCAGGAAAATATCAATTTCGAAAATTTCGTTGTTTATTTACAAGTACATCATATACATATTATAAATAAAATTAAATGATGAAATAAATTAATATTTTGGAGTCTGAAATTATAGAATAGTCTCACATGACTTAAATTTATTTTCTTATTTGTTCAATCACGAAGTATGAAAGTCGGGTGAAATGTTACCTCAATCAAAATATACAGGACAGGCACGCATAATATAGGCCTACTATGTATCAAGCGGACCGGGTTTCGCTTGTCAAAGATCTCATTCAATGTATTAACAGCAATGCGCAATTATTTACGATGTGCTAATTATTAGATTGAACTTTTAATTTTTATGTAAAAAAAAACTACGTCTTCCCCCACAGTGTTATGGTGCCATTTTGAAATGCGTTCGATTTTCGATCCCGATTTATATATTGATTTGTAAATCGCATACATATATTTTTGTGTTTATGTTTTAATGTAGTAAAAGGAGTTAAAACAAAGTTAATTTTTTTAAATTGTAATTTAATCATATAATATATTTTTCAAGTGGGCTGCGTCACCGCCGCATTTAACAGAGTACGTCTCATGGCACTAATCATGCTAATGTAAACACGGATTATCACATCCACCACGAAAGGTGTTAATTGCTCTGAAGTAACTCAGGTGTGGCCGGATTAGAGGGAATAATTACCGTTAATTATGAGCAGTTGGGACCAGTATGGCCGTTCGGAATACAGAATAGACAGTATCCGGACTACACAGAATTTTTTTTATTGAATTTGTTAAAGAAGTGCATGGGACTAAAATTTGTAGACGGAATGGACAAAAGTCCGGAGTACTCAGAGTCCGGATTAGACAAATTTTACTGTAATAATCTATTTCAATGCAGACTAAAAGAATGAATCAGGATCGATATGCATAATTTATGCAAATACAAGTTCTATATCCCATTCAAATTTCTGTCTCACTTATCCCTACCTTTATGCTCATGTCCACAATGAGGATGAGGAGAGGGTCTAAGAAGGTAAACAGTCCGTAAGCTACGACAAATTTACAGCCGATGTCCGGAAACAGTCCAAATAGCTTCTGACAGACCCAACATAGGACCACGAGGAGACAGAAGACGACAATGTTAGTGATGGGGCCCAGCCACACCACCCCTATCTCCTCCCGTGTTGCCATCAGCGTGCTCTGGTAGTTCAGCTCCACAGTGTAGGGCAGGAAGTTAAATCTATAAAGACACAATTTTAATAATTTCAAAAGAGAAGAATAGTACCTGTACTATAAATGTCTAATTCAATGTTTAAAATTTTATATTATTCATGATTTTCTGTATTTACAAAATTCATGAAATCTCAGTTTAATTTATCTCATTGTAAAAATAAATATTCAGACACTTTAGACTTTATATTATAAATTTCTCCTTAAAGACGTACAACACATTTGGGGAGATAACTCTTGCGATTTCAATTGAACGTTTGACGTGACGTCAAATTTAACGTCAAAAATAAAGCGTCAAAACGACGAGTAAAACGATCCCGATGTATATCAATCATGAAAGAAAATTGGGATATGGGGCTTGGCTGTGATTGTGCGTACCATACTCAATCAATAAGTATAATTTGTTTAATCAATCCGATTAAACTCCGTAAAAAGCAAGACATAAAATACCATCCCTTAATGTTTATTTCATTTCATTTCATATAGGCCTACAATAAATTGTGTGTTTGATCAAAGCGCAGCATTTTTTTTATTCTGAAAATTTTGTTTTACATTGCCAAAATTCTCATTTTGTACAATTGGTGATATAACATTCCGATTAATGGTCTTCATTACAATTTGTGCATACACGATATAAATATTGTTTTTCTTCTTTAATTAAATAAAACAACAATTTAATAAACAAAAAACTTTTTACAATGTAAAATCGATGTTGTTCTCAGACCCTTACTGATCAAAGAGGAACAACTCTGAAAATGTAGGAGATGTTTATTTTCCTCCCTTTATTCACGGTTTTCCACAGAATCAGATACATTTACAGCAAGACCTGATAAATCCGAGAATTGAATACTATAGACCTCATATATCGCCAGGATACACAATGTAAGTATAGAATTGAAAAGAATTGTTCACTTGTACTGAAATTATCTGCATTTATGAGTATCCTATTGCAGCAAAACGTAACTTTGACTTTCTGTCTACAATGTCGGTTCGCATTTCCTTGAATCAAAACAAAACGTAGCCTATAAGATTTTAAAAAATATCAATGTGCGATTTGATATAAATTGAAATAGATGAAGAGTTTAATGTTTAATATTTTGAAGTTAATGTGGACGAATACGGAATTTTCATTTTAACTTTAGAAGCGACGACATTGAAAGAAATGCGTACAATATCATGAGGGGTGCATGTACATCTAATGCAAATGTCGATGTATCCCCACGGCCACATACTGTCTCGTTTGAAATAATGACATGAAAGAAACTACAATTATTCCATTTATATCATAGGAGAGTTGAACATACACCATTTTTTAATGAATAAAATTAAAGAAATAAAATTAAAAATCAACATATTCAAGTTCAACAAAACTTGAATTCATATCCAGGTTTCGTGTGATATGGAATGCGTAACGCATACGTATATGGACTAAACACTAAAATCTTTCAGTAATTTTTTCCTGATACATATAAAAAGAGTAGTCAATATTTATTCTGCATTCATGAATTTAAAAACTAATGCATACCTCCGGGATTCTTGACGAAATACCAGTATATTTGCACTGTAAACGACGTTCTGTCAAACGATAATGGTATGCGACGCAAAAAAGGAAGGGGTGGGGGTGATAGGGGTATTTAAAAATTGCTTAAAAATCTACATTTAAATACGCTTTACATATGAGAACTTTTAAATTTGTAAGTTAATATATTTTTAAAGCAAAAGCAATATTCAAATTTAATTTTTTTAATGTGTATTTGTAGATTCATATAACAAAGTGATCGACCCCCGTCTGAAAGACGTGCGGGAACGTGATTTATTGAGAAAGGGGGAGGGGGTATTTTTCCCCTATTAAATCAAAACTGGTCGTACAAAAATTATACAAAAAATTATGAAGATTATTTTTACTACCAGCTACCTAAAGAAAGTTTTTTACAAAAATTAAACGACAGGTTTTTTCACAAAAAAATTTTGAATTCGAAAAATACACAATTTTCAAGGCTTAGATAATTCATAGTTTTTCAGTTTAAGGTCTTTAAAAATTGTTTTGATGATATGTATATAAAAAAAAATGACTATGTTTTTGTGATAAATGGTTAAAGGAATAAGCCAATTAAATTTTACATTTATATCTAACCTGGTTATTTTGAAAATCAAGGTTTAAGTAGTTCATTGATTAAAAATTTTCTCTCCTTGTAAACAACTAAAGGGCGGTAACTTTCGGAAGTTCCTGTCCAAAACACTCTCGAACGATTTTGTCCAAAATATGCATGCATGCAGTAGATATAGTCATGTACTAAATATACAAAAATAACGAAAATTAAACGACAGGAATTTTTTGGGGTAGGTGTGTTGTACATCCTTAAATAAACTATGAAAGTCTATTAAAAAAAATTACTGATAGAAAATTAGCTTCACTCACTTGTTGACCGGGATGTTGATTGCGTTGAGGAACATCCACTGACCGATGTAGTGAATGTACATACGTAGGAAGAAGACAATAATAAACATCAACAACATCCCCCAGAATTCCCTGCTTCTCCACTCCGATAATCCCAGCTCCGCCATAAACTGACGACCCACGTACTGCAATTTCTTGTTGGTTCCACTGGAGGTGTGGCCTTTCTCAGCAAAAGGAGGCCTATTTAGTGATGAAAATGGTGATTTAATGATTTGGACATGAGAAAAAACATAAAATTTATTCTGCTAAGTTCAAGAAGCTGTGATTTTTTCCATATGCAGTAAATCTTTGATTCTGTTTTCATAGACATTTGTGAAGAAAAGGCACATTTGTATAAATATGTACCATTTATAACTGCATTAACTTGACCTATAGGATAAAAATCAATTTTTTAGTAATACACTGTGAAAACTCACTGGACAACAAATGAGTGTTGCTCGAGTTCCTCTACATGAGTGAGTTTTTTGCGGTTGACTGGTGGTTGGAGGATGTGAGTTCGCGGTAACAGGGAGTACAGCTTGTTATGGTACACCTCCACAGGGTTGTTCAGGTATTTCTGTAAGATAAACATGTACATACTACTGTATCTAATCATTTCAATCTATATATATCTCTTAAATTTTACTTATTGCTCCTACAATGCACATTTTTTTTTCTGAAATAAAAAAGATATCTCTTTCTCTTATCAGACCAAGTTTCTACTTTGCTGCATCAGATGCCTCTGAATTACCTTATAGTACATCCCTGGCATTCCATCCACGGGTCTGAAATCCTCCTCTTTACGGATGGCTTTCAGATCATTGAGGTCAGCCAAGGCCTCGTCTTCAGCATCATCCGAGTCAGAATCCAGATCCACCTTCTTGTCTTTGTGGATAATTCTTGATCCGAAAGTGGTAGCAGCAGTGGAAGGCCTCTGTTATACAAGAAATAAAAATTTTATTTTTTTTTAAAATGACACCCCTCATCTCATATTTCTCGTTTGTGGAGATTGGAATTCAGAAGTGTGTACCTTATCATCTGATCCAGCTCTTTCATTGAGCTTGATTTTGGTTGCTGTGGCGTCTGACTTGTTGCCATCAAAATCTGTCCCTGTCGGGCTGGTCAGACTGACTCGAGAGGTGCTATAAATCAAACAATCTTAATTATAAACAAATTATTAAACAAAAGCTGCTTATAATCAAACATCAGTGTAAACTCCACTTAGAAATTGTTAACTGAACTGGTTTTGGGATCAGAACATACTTTCCAGCTTATAAAACAAGAATGTTAATTTGTAGATCAAAGTTTGAGGGTTATACCTGGGGTCAGAGCTGATAGATGACATTGACCCAGGGATGGGTTCCTCTCCATCCCGACACTCCTCCCCTTGGTTGACACGACTGGGAAATCCAGTAATGGAGGACGAGAATTCCAGCTCCACTTCATACTCCTTCTGGCCTGCCAGGTGTCTGGTAATGTAATCAAATAAACTTGTATTTTAATCTTTTTTTTGGAGAAAGCTATAGTGGTGTCTTCATCTTTTGTAAAATATCAATTTTCATCATCTTTCGGGTTGAGCCAGATCAAGAAATTAGATAAACAACAAAATACTCACTTTTCTAATGGAATGTCAATACGATTTTTTTAATCCAGCATATAAATTTATCCCCATGAACATTGACGAAACCAGTTTTGAAGACTTTTTTGACAATTTTCCAATCACTCAAAATGTTATTCAGAAGTTACTCAGTATCATTTAAAATTCATATTTGACTCATTAAGAACAGTACAAAGCAATTTACCAGTGGTCTTTTAACATTTCAAACTTATCCCTCCACTCACCTAGGCAGCTTTACGATTTCAAAGTACATGTTACAGAGCCAATGATCCATGTCTGAAGCCATTAGTTCCTCTATCTTCTCATGTTTGTCCAGAACATAATCCATTTCACCTCGCAGGAAGGGGCACTTGTATCTGTATAGCATACAACAATTAGTGATTTTCATTTTCCATTGGTTTATAAGATATTGAAAACTTAATGGATATAATGAATTTTAAGTAATACAATTTAATCAAATCTGCTGGTCTCTGATATTCCACTATTAAGGTTGTTTTGCTGTGTTTAAAGTGAAATATGATTTCAAAAGATCATTCACCAGATGAGTATTATAGAGTATTTTAATAGAATACCAGATCAAAGTGATGGTTATATTACGGATACCATTGATAAAGAAAATATTTTTATAGTTTTTTAGTGAGATATAGAAGTATATGAGTTGAAGGTACATACTTTCCCTCGATGATATCAAACTGTCCATCACAGATAGGGAAGCAGCCCCAGCCCACCACGTGGTCCGTCGCCACGACAGCGCCTCTCAATAAAAACAACTCAAACATCAGCACCATTCCGGGTCTCAGAGAGGCTTTAGCCGGGAGGACGGTAAACACACTCTGGTCCATCTGTCACGGTAATTTAACATTTTTACAAATGTCTTTATGATGCAGTGGATTCAATATTTCTTTTGTGGAACTTATGCTTAAATATGATTTATATTCATTTTTATGACGTTTATTTTTTCTTTGCATCCATTTGAAGTTGTATGTAAATGAAAATAATTAATGTACCGGTACAATTTTTTGGTGAATAATTTAAACAAAACTGACTTTCATTTCTACATTGTAATATCTGCCATCATGGTTTACAGGCAATGTTGCTGCACCCCAGGTTTGACCTTTCAACTTTGACCACCTCATGTTGTGACCTCCAAGTCGATTGTACAGGGACACCATCATAACATATCTTCCACCTGTAAATGTGTTAAAAAAGAAAACTATGATATTTAATTCATTTTTTGTTCCAAATCACTTGAATGTCAATACTAAGAACCCCATGAGGAACACGAATGCCAATTTGCTTTGCAGCTATTCAAAATCTAGTTTTTCTTCAGCAATTTCTCAAAAGGTATCAGAATATCTACCGTAATTTTCAGGTTATAGGTAATTTTTTTTTCAAAATTTTGGATCGCCCAATATACGAATTCAACCTTTTTGTTTACGAAAAATGCCCCAAAATCAATAAAATTTACGTAAATTTCAGAGCAAATCTATGCCACTTTTATAACCATTATTCTCAGAAAAATTAATGCCAGGTAAACAATAAAATATTTATTGGCTATAGCTTTCTTACAAAATAAATTCCATTAAATATCCCTTGATGACAGTCAAAGGAAAAAACTGTGCTTCATCAAGTTAATAATTCTGCAACGTGTTATCCATTGCCATCATGCGGTAGCCATCTTGTGAAGTTAGGAAGTCGCTATCGTTTACTAAAAGTAAAACCGCAACCGTATCAAAAGCACACGGAAAAATTGGCTCAAGATCACAAGTGTAGTGTTTTACCATTAATTAGTAGATTGATAAATTGAAATAGTATTAATTTTTCTTATTGTAAAAGTCTTATATTTATTTTAATGTAAAATGAGGGAAATAAATTGTTGCCAGTCAATTCCTAAAAATCGTTTTGAAAGATAGTTTGAAGTTTTACAAGCAATTATGGAAATATACATGCGGATGATAAAAAATTAATTTTATTGATATGGAGTTTTACAAGCAAAGAATTAGTAATAAATGCAGGTTACAGAAATATGATTTAAGACAGAAATATAATTTTAACTGATATAATAAGGTTTATCAAAAGCTTCTTCGTACACAAGAAGTACACTGAATTACCGCTATACAAATTAAGATTGGCTTCTGACGAATTTTAATTGTCTGACAGATAAAAGGATTTAAACTGTGTGTACACGCAAAGGTTTCAACACCTGTGTTGGTTTAATACCCGCAGGGCATGATTAGCAAATCCACGTGCCGTTATAGGATATTAGTGTTACACATCATTGAACAAACAAAGCCATGAAATTCATAATGACTGTCAAATTGTGGATGTACCGGTACTCTCAATTAAATTTATAAATTAAACTTTCAGCGTGGTAACATTATTTCAATTCTTTACTGTTGCTTTATATATACATTCGATGGTCGTTTGCAGGTTTTAGCAAATCCCTGAAGAAGAAAAATGAAAATGGCGGACATCGAAGCAATTGTCGTCCACCGGTAAATAACTAACTGAATAAACGATATTAGGAATGTGTCCAAGTTGTTCTGAAATCAGAATTATTATTCTTTGATCTCGGGTATTTCCTGAATTATAGCTTAAAATAAGAAACGTATTTACGTGTTATTTTTGCCTCTGGTTTAACAACAGTATGAAACTACGGAGGCATTGAACAGGCAAGTTGGAGAAAAAAAAGTAGTAACACAATTCAAAGAAGTTTTAACTACATTTTTTTTAAAAACTTTATTTAAATTCTGTACTCATTAAAATACCTGTTTGTTTTCTTGATACGTTCATGTCACGGAATTGCCCCGGTAATTTTAGAGGTTTACCTGTTCTGATACGTTGTATCTGCGTGAGAATCTTTAGAAAACGGGAAACAAAGCCTCGTCCTATATAGTAAGTTCGTCCTATCTTAGGATTTTTCAAAAATTAAGGCTGAAAATGAGCCTTTCGACCTATATACCCCATCGACCTATAACCCGAAAATTACGGTAGTTCCATTTGTTCAGACAATAAAAATTTTTCTCAATAATTTTGGATCTTCCTCATGCTTATTTTGTTTTTAATAACCACGAATTTATTGGTTGATTCTGACCTGGAAGTTTATCCCTGACCCCTCTCAGACACATCAGCTTGATCTGGATTGGTTGTGGCGTTTTGTTCCAGTCTACCTTCCACCTGCGGCTCTGACTCCCTCCATACACCCCATCAGCCAGCATCAGGTCCCCGTAGAATGTCTGGACCTCCCCCTTCCTCCGCTCCAGCACACTGATCAGCTGACTCTCCGCCCGTCTGTAGGCACGGTGGAGACGGTCCATCAACAGCTTCTCTCTCTGTCTCAAGATCTCCTAAAAAAAAAAAGATGCATAAATGAAACATATGGAGATAACAAACAATATTCAAGATCAAAAGTCCACAAAATGATACAAAATAGGAGCAGAGCAAAAAGTGAGACATGCATAAGGCCAAAAAAAATTAATCAATAGTTTCTAAGGCACCGCCGCATCACTTCAAAAACGGCCGCATTGATCAATTTTATCGACATATTGAAAAGGGAAATAACTCGATTTTCTATTTTCCAAGTTGAAAAAGAAAATTGAGTTATTGCCCTTTTCAGAAATGCTAAGGTAGACGTTTTTATTAGAAAAAAATATATTTCTACTAAATTTACAATATTTTATGAATTAACTTTTAATAAATGTTTAGAATAACATTATTTAAAGTTAAAAACATATTATAACTAACTTCAGAGAACAAAAATTAAGAATTAGCAGACATTATCATTTTAATAAACAAATGGCTACAAAAAAGGTGTAAAACCTGCTTCAAAAAAAAAAAAAAGCCTGCCTGCCGCATTGAATTTTGAATTTTTTGGCCTGAGAAACTATTGATTAATTTTTTTTGGCCGAAAGTGAGACAAAGTGGGAGGAAAATATAACATTTTGATCCATCTTTGAGACACTTACTGCTCTAGGGAATTCAGAAAAATTTCATAGCATATGACACTATAAGGAGACTTCATGAAGTGTTTGACTGACCTCCCTCTTGGCTATGTCTGTCCTGCTGTCCTTGGTCACTTTAGCCATTCTCTGCTTGGCTTCCTCCTCACGTCGGAGAACCTCCTCCTGAAGTTTTCTCTTTCTTTCCGCTTCCTGATCCAAGTATCTAGACAAAGAAAGACAAAGTCAGTCATATTGCTGCCACTCTTTAAGCTTGGCATTAAGCCAGTGAGTGAGATGACTTGCTAAGCATACAAATCCTCATCTGAGTGAGATCTTCCATATCTGAATGCATTCTCTACCAAAACTTAAACAACTACATATGACTCTAGGTGCTCATCTCAAACTGACATCTTACTTGAGCTCATCTCATAGAGTGGACTCATTATGCTATTTTAAGTGTTCATATCAATATCTTAGTGAGATTACTGTTTGTAAATCTCATAATAAGAAACATGTAACTTATTGTATATGAATCTACAGGGTTAAATAAATTACTGTATTTAAATTTCATACTGAGATAATTTACACAGTAGCTTTCTGGTCGTTCATCCCAATTTTTTCAGACCACTGAGACCAGTGAGCTAAAGATCTGCAGCTAACTTACTGTATGTGTTATTTAGTACTTACTGTATGTGTTATTTCGTACTTACTGTATGTGTTATCTAGTACTTACTGTATGTGTCATTTAGTACTTACTGTATGTGTCATTTAGTACTTACTGTATGTGTCATTTAGTACTTACTGTATGTGTCATTTAGTACTTACTGTATGTGTCATTTAGTACTTACTGTATGTGTCATTTAGTACTTCTGTATGTGTTATTTAGTACTTACTGTATGTGTTATTTAGTACTTATTGTATGTGTCATTTAGTACTTACTGTATGTGTTATTTAGTACTTACTGTATGTGTTATTTAGTACTCACTGTTTGTGTTATTTAGTACTCACTGTTTGTGTTATTTAGTACTTACTGTATGTGTTATTTAGTACTTATTGTATGTGTCATTTAGTACTTACTGTATGTGTTATTTAGTACTTACTGTATGTGTTATTTAGTACTCACTGTTTGTGTTATTTAGTACTCACTGTTTGTGTTATTTAGTACTTACTGTATGTGTTATTTAGTACTCACTGTTTGTGCTATTTAGTACTTACTGTATGTGTTCTTTAGTACTTACTGTATGTGTTATTTAGTACTTATTGTATGTGTCATTTAGTACTTACTGTATGTGTTATTTAGTACTTACTGTGTGTTATTTAGTACTTACTGTTTGTGTTATTTAGTACTCACTGTTTGTGTTATTTAGTACTTACTGTATGTGTTATCTAGTACTCACTGTTTGTGTTATTTAGTACTTACTGTATGTGTTATTTAGTACTCACTGTTTGTGTTATTTAGTACTCACTGTTTGTGTTATTTAGTACTTACTGTATGTGTTATTTAGTACTTATTGTATGTGTCATTTAGTACTTACTGTATGTGTTATTTAGTACTTACTGTATGTGTTATTTAGTACTTACTGTATGTGTTATTTAGTACTCACTGTTTGTGTTATATAGTACTTACTGTATGTGTCATTTACTACTTACTGTATGTGTTATTTAGTACTTACTGTATGTGTCATCTAGTACTCACTGTATGTGTTATCTAGTACTTACTGTATGTGTTATCTAGTACTTACTGTATGTGTTATTTAGTACTCACTGTTTGTGTTATTTAGTACTTACTGTATGTGTTATTTAGTACTTACTGTATGTGTTATTAGTACTTACTGTATGTGTTATTTAGTACTTACTGTATGTGTTATTTAGTACTTACTGTATGTGTTATTTTGTACTTACTGTATGTGTTATTTAGTACTTACTGTATGTGTTATTTAGTACTTACTGTATGTGTTATTTAGTACTTACTGTATGTGTTATTTACTACTTACTGTATGTGTTATTCAGTACTTACTGTATGTGTTATATAGTACTTACTGTATGTGTCATTTACTACTTACTGTATGTGTTATCTAGTACTCACTGTATGTGTTATCTAGTACTCACTGTTTGTGTTATATAGTACTTATTGTATGTGTCATTTACTACTTACTGTATGTGTTATCTAGTACTTACTGTATGTGTTATTCAGTACTCACTGTTTGTGTTATTTAGTACTTACTGTATGTTTTATTTAGTACTTATTGTATGTGTCATTTAGTACTTACTGTATGTGTTATTTAGTACTTACTGTATGTGTTATTTAGTACTTACTGTATGTGTCATTTAGTACTCACTGTTTGTGTTATTTAGTACTTACTGTATGTGTTATTTAGTACTTACTGTATGTGTTATTTAGTACTCACTGTTTGTGTTATTTAGTACTTACTGTATGTGTTATTTAGTTCTTATTGTATGTGTCATTTAGTACTTACTGTATGTGTTATTTAGTACTTACTGTATGTGTTATTTAGTACTTACTGTATGTGTAATTTAGTACTTACTGTATGTGTTATTTAGTACTTACTGTATGTGTTATTTAGTACTTACTGTATGTGTTATTTAGTACTTACTGTATGTGTTATTTAGTACTTACTGTATGTGTCATTTAGTACTTACTGTATGTGTTATTTAGTACTCACTGTTTGTGTTATTTAGTACTTACTGTATGTGTTATTTAGTACTTACTGTATGTGTTATTTAGTACTCACTGTTTGTGTTATTTAGTACTTACTGTATGTGTTATTTAGTACTTACTGTATGTGTTATTTAGTACTTACTGTATGTGTTATTTAGTACTCACTGTTTGTGTTATTTAGTACTTACTGTATGTGTTATTTAGTACTTATTGTATGTGTCATTTAGTACTTACTGTATGTGTTATTTAGTACTTACTGTATGTGTTATTTAGTACTTACTGTATGTGTTATTTAGTACTTACTGTATGTGTTATTTAGTACTTACTGTATGTGTTATTTAGTACTTACTGTATGTGTTATTTAGTACTCACTGTTTGTGTTATTTAGTACTCACTGTTTGTGTTATTTAGTACTTACTGTATGTGTTATTTAGTACTTACTGTATGTGTCATTTAGTACTTACTGTATGTGTTATGTAGTACTCACTGTTTGTGTTATTTAGTACTTACTGTATGTGTCATTTAGTACTTACTGTATGTGTTATTTAGTACTCACTGTTTGTGTTATTTAGTACTTACTGTATGTGTTATTTAGTACTTATTGTATGTGTCATTTAGTACTTACTGTATGTGTTATTTAGTACTTACTGTATGTGCTCGTCTCTGAGTCTCTTCTCCTCCTCCTGAACCTCCTCCAGTGAGATCTGACCGAGCATCACCACATCATCCTTAACTCCTTCCTCAAAGTCATTCAGGTAGGCTGGATACTCTTCCTTCTCCATGGCCAGCTTTAATTCTACCATGAACAATTCACATTTGTTGAAATTGCAGGGTCAACAGTGCGAATTTCAAAATTGTCAAAGAAGTTATTGCATATGTGCACCACAAAGTACTTTTTTGTGTCACTATATAATTTCACAATTTTTCATCATAAATAATAAAATATCACAACTTAGCCGAAAAGATTGTCAAACATTTTTTTACACATACATTTTTATACATATTTACCTGAGATCTTCTCATATTTGGGGACATGTTCCTCCCTGGTAAATAGAGCCGGGGGGTCCCTCTTGGTGACCAGGTCCGTCTCCCCCTCCTCTAGACTATCCATCAGGCGGTACAGGTCAGGAAGCGTATCATCCCTGGGTGGAGGCACTGAGAAAAAGCAAGAGTGATCTCCCTTACTAGCACATCAAAGCTTTACACTCTGTACAGTTATTACAGTTACAAACTTCTATATCCAGATAAAGATTCAGAAACTGCTACATTGAAAACATTCAAATCACACCCAGTAATATAGAGAAAGATGTTGTACATGTGCAGCACTTCAGTGCACTGCAAAATAAACCACAAAAAGACTCTTTTTTGGCAAAAGTGAATATATTCCTCTCACTATGTGAATTGTAGCTGCAAAAACTGTGCATCCATTTTATAAATATTTTCAACCCATTTCAAAATGTCTTTTCCATTGTTTTAAATTATTTGTGAATTATACAACTTACACCCTATTGATTGTTCTGCATCATCTGAAAATTCATACATGTATGTACGAGGGTTGATCCAAAAGTTCGTGGAATTTCTTTCTAAAATTTATCGTGATTTGATGAAAGCAAACAACAGGCATATTCAAAATATAGAGTCATAATGCAACGATATTGGAAAATTTCACCACTTTCCAATTACCAATAAGGTCACACGAGCTTTCTGAAAATGGATAGTTTTGAAACCCGGGGGAGACTTCGACGTAACGTCAAGTTAGACATGTCACGTCACGTTATAGAAGCATCTCGCCCTAATGTCCAATTTGACTACGTAATTCTACAAAATGCTACCCATTTCTCCATTTGTTTTTCTCAAGAAAAGCCTGAGAATCCTCTAGAACCAACTTATCTTCATTTTTTTCTCATATTTCAAATACTACCCATCTTTCCATATGATGTTCCAATTTCAGTAGCAATGTCAAGAACAGCACGGCAGCCGACAACGTTCCTTAACGCTTTCAATTTGTCTAGGGGGATACGCACTTAAAACACAGCCTCCAAAAAGCAACCACTTTTTTAACTAACGTCCATGGAAGTTCTATTTTTTTTAAATTTCTTATGCCACTAGAAAACCAGTAACAAAATGCATTTTCCCAAGCCTATATCAATGATCTACGCGTTTAAGATAGAGTGATCCCGGGATTTTTACGAAACGTATGACTTGACCGAAATTTGACTGTCTATCAACTTCAAGATGAACGGTAAACATTAAATAATCAACTAATAAACTATATATCCAGTAAAATCAGTAAAACTCTCCCACAAAGGTTTATAAAAGATCAAACAATCGTAATAATGACTTAAGTTTCGTTATATAAACCACATAGGGCGGTTGTATTCTCATTTCACATATCAAGTTTTAAAATGATAATAAACGTGTGAATGTCTCCCCCGCGTTTCCAAACAACTGTTTCTATGGCAACTGCCACAGAGTTACTATCAAAGATATTTAAAATGTTTTTTAATTTAAAATATTCCTCAAGTGTCTATATTTTCATTTGTAATTTTCAACCAATTCCACCTAAATATGAATAAATTATGAAGAAATTCCACGAACTTTTGGATCAACCCTCGTACATCTTTGTTATCAGTATAAAATAATATAATTATTTTCATTGCTTTTAAATCAGATTTAACTTTCTATTATTTTATTGAACAAAGGGAATCATGTCTACCTTGGATGCACAAATTTCATTGCATGGGCAAGTTTATTGTTTAGAACCATATGATGCTGCCTTTTTACATGTTTTTTTAGAATGTTTGTTGATTTGTTCAATTTTTTTCAAATGGAGTCACTTGCTTGAAGTTAATTTTGATATGCGCAGTACACCTGTCCTGACTGGATTAATAGCTGACATACAAAGTCCCATTTATGACCTCCCTATTCTTACCATACTGAATCTCCTCCTCTTCTGTTGTATCAAGTGTTGTGAACTCCATAGTTTCCTTGGTTTTTACTGAAGTCTATAAAAGAAAAGTGAACACCTTAGTCACGTCTTTATATTATACAGATGTATATTTTTGTTTTCAACTTTGTGCTTACATATATAGTTATCCAAACTACACAGAACATCAAGTAATCGAATACAAAACAGTACCTTTCTATCAAATCCAGTACTTACTGCTTATAGACATTGATTAGAAATACTAATGGTTACTTAAAGGTAGAGTTTGATGATCTGCAAGTTATGAATTAATATTTCACATGAAAGATAAGTATACCTGTACTGTAGATGTTTTTGTAGATACCTCTCCATTTTGCTCATCTTTGGTAATATCTAGGGTGAAAGGGAAAAAAAAGAATGTCATCCAAACTGATATAATTACATTACATATTACATGAATTCAGTACCCTAATTAGAATATAATCATTATCTAATTTGTGCAATCTACTAAACTTTGTCAAATGACATCAAAACACAAAACTACTTAAAAAGAGATTTTATATTATATAAAAGTAATAAAAATTTTACTTTATTTTAAATAATATATGACTTAAACAGTGTTTCCGTTTACACATATTTCTGCGTATTTTACGCATAAAAATTACTTTTTACCCCCAAAAACGTCACCTAAGGGGTCATCATGACGCAGAAAAAAAAATGAAAACAAAGAATGACTGCACTTAAGGACATTATTTGGAACCTTTTCGGCTACCCATTTGAAGCTTAACATTACAATAAATCGCTGAATTAATCTATGATTAATGTGCAAGCATATGCTTTTGACATTTATTTCTATAATTTTTCGTCATACAAATTTCAATAATTACATACAACGCTATTGAAAAGGACATGTTTAACCCATAAATTCCGGAAAATTGAACTGGACCGCTTTCGATTTTAAGGTCGCAGCAAAGGGGCGGAGACATTTAAATCGCATGGAAATGGATCAGAAGCACAGGGTTTTCCGTATTTGATTTATATTATATATGCAAGTTGCTGTCCTTTAAAAAAGGACTGCAATACGTGGACCATATGCGTGTTTTTTATAACTGAAATTCAATTAAGATAATTTCTAGGTGTAGGGAATATTCATGTAAGGTTTGTTCACTTATTCTAAAATTATCTGCCACTTATAACTGATCGTAGTCTCAAAGCACAAATGTGAAATTTTATCTCCGATTAGCGATCTTTAGTTTTGTCAGTTTTAACATGTTTAAAAAATCGGGTTATTTTGACACGTGTAACACATATTGGCTGGGACTTGACACCTGTTCTGGATTTATACGGAAGAAGTTTATCATAGGAAAAATGGAGACCCGATGGTTCACGTGTAGCACACCTCTGTACAACTCAGATTTGTTTTTATTATTTTGTCGGAGCCCCCACCCCCAACACACACACACAATAAAAGCCCTTGCTGCAGGCCTTTATCAAACAATAATTAGATTGCTGAAATATTAACTTATTTTGCGAGTCTCGATGCACAAAACTAATGCCGGTGAAAACTTGCTCTACTTGAAAAGCTTTAAAAGCTACATGTATCTCTGTTCGTTGAGTGACGTTTCTCATTCAAGTTGTTAAGTTACATGTATCCATATACTGTAACTTCTTAAAATGTTTGTACCATAGAATCAATGTTTACTATAAAAGTATATGTAAAAGAGAGGAAATCGGATCTGCCAATGAATATGTAAATGCAATATGCAGATTTAAAAGCGCGATTTGCCAATGAATGGCATATTTTAATTTGAATACGGCGAATTATTCTACGGGCAAGTTACCTAAGGTGCGAACTCTCTAGCATTCGCGCGCATGCGTAGCCTGTCGTTTGCCCAGGGCATCCGGTTTAACTTCGCTTATATATTTACTGCGTGGACCACAGGGTCCACGCAATAAAAAAAAAGACCGAGAAGAGGGTTTTGTGTTCATTTTGTACAAAAAATAAATGATTTATAACCATGCATATAATTTCATTTTTTTGTATCCACGTAAGTAAGTAGAGTAAGTAAGTAAAGAGCAGAATATTAAGAGAAAAAACAAAAAGTTCATAAAAATAAACACAATTGTGATAAATATATGTATGCATTTTGTACGCTTAGGTTGGTAGTGTCTGTTTTGAGAATTATTGGTAGATGAAAATGACACTGAAATACATTTTATTTTCTGAACATAATGGGCTTTCTTCGCATAAATGAAAAATAATTTGCAACCTGTCTATAGGATAATCTGAAATAAGTACACACAGTAAATCCATATGTGACCTTGCCATTTGTTTATTGGCAGAGTTAATTTTCAAAAAAGTTTTGATTGGTATTCAGAGTACAAAGGACCAGTGGCGGATTTAAGGGGGGGCGCACCCGACGCGCGCCCCCCTAAAATTGTCAAAGTTAACGTAAATCAAAGTTTCGTCTAAAAAATGTATATATGTCTACTTGGTAGACCTCATTTTTACCCTACAAAATCTCTAGAATCCAGGAGCTTCTGGGGGCTTCGCCCCCTGGGCCCCCACCAGGGATTTGCCCTGGACTCCAGACCCCTTGCCTATTTTTGGCGCCCCTCTAACTTCAATTCCTGGATCCGCGCCTGAGGACAATGCATTAAAAAAATGAATTTCGGCTTCTACATTATCAAGCACTGCATAATTTTCTCTATCTAACGTTCTTATAAAATTGGATTGCTTAAAATTTCACTGCTCATGTATTATTTGCTGTCAATTAATCAGCGAATTAACTAAATCTTAAAATTATTAAGTGTTCGTACCTACAGTGTATTAAAAAGAAAAAATGACATTTTCACTTTATCTTAATCGTATTGAATAATAATTGTGGACTTATTAGTAACGTAAAAATAAAATAAAAAATTAGTTTTTTTTAATGATGCATGATTGTGGGCTTCTACCCTGACCTAAAAATGGTCGGGCTCCCGTTTTCAAATTTCTGGATCCGCCACTGCTATATGTACAGCATGTAATCAGCAAAATAATACCTTTTTCCTTTAAAATACCCCGAACAAAAACACTATAGTGAAAGAAATCAACGTAAACTTTAAAACGCTAATAAAATGTACGCAAGGATCTTCAATATTTTGAAGATGGAAGTACATGTAGATATGAAAAGAATTTTCCAACGACTGACACAATGAAAGCGTGTCGAATACTTGAATGTCACGTGAGAAAGGTGATTATAATATCAAAGGGGTCACATGGGCTGAAACTCGTAACCTGCTAATTTAGTAGCTATCTCGAGCGAAGTTTGGGTACATTTTTTTAAAAATTAGATATGAGCCGCAACTTGACCAACATTGTCCTTCGGATATGTATAGGTTTTAGTTAAAATACACATTCTGTGCAAATGAGAAAAATGGTCAAGTTGCGGCTCGATGTAAACAATGTCGTTGAAAACTGGTATGCATATGAATAACAATAGAAATGAGACAAAACTGTTAGACCCCTGTTTCAAAAGCTAGTGTCGCACGGCATTATTTAATACTTTCATGTAATATAATAAACCAAAACCTGCTCTTAAGATATTGTTTAATACCTATAAAACATAAATTTAATGAATTTTGGAATTTTATTTTGCGCAAATCATTGGGATCCAACTCTCATAACTTAAGTACAGTCATTCTTTCAAAAATCCAGTTCAATATTGATGCCTTCAAAGAAGACGATATTTTATATGTTTAAATTACATTCTGGACAACTTTCTAGGAATTAATCATTGCTTATTAATTTCAAAGTGGCAGTGATTGAAATCGGCATTTCCACGTCAACAATCTATTAAATTCTTTTGTACGATCTATCTAATTCTTAATACAACCGGAGGTGCAGATAAAAATTGCGCTTCTATATCAGCTTGGCTTTGTCAAAAAGGCTAGTTATGGTAATAAAAAGGTGAGGAAAGTTCAAACCATTAATAATAAACAGTTTTGTAAAGCAATCAACCACTTTCAATTGTTATCTTTTGATTGAGGTTTTCATGAAACCCTAATGGTGTGATCGGTAAAATGTGACTGTGTACCGGTAAATAAAAGAAGTATACATGTATCAATTACTTTTTTTTCATTTTTTTTTTTAAACATCAAATGTATGATTTAAGAATGCAGAGATAATATAAGAACTGAAAGCAAAACCAGAATTTATTTTGACCCTCAAAAAATCTTTTTGACTCCCAAAAGTTTATATCAAAGGGTCATAATGACCCTTGGTTAAAAAAAATTGCAGAAACACTGTTAAATGGTTCCAGTATCTTGAAATACATGCACTTATACTTCATCTTTAATATGTTTTAGGTGTAATTGTAAGCTTATTGAAACTCAGTACTATTACTTTAAAATCAACAAAGGGAACAGTTAAATGCCATTCATGTAGTTACCCACACGTAAATACACAGAGAATTGAATGGTCGCATATGCATGCATGCATATTGGTCAAAGAATATTTACCACAAATGATATTTATAATACTTGTAATACCTGTCTTAGATTCCGATTTATTATCTTCTGTTATCACTGTTTCTCTATTTTCTTCCTCCTCTGTTGGAATTTTTGTCTTCACTTTCTTTCCTGTAAAATTTTAAAATTAACAAAACATGAATTCCTTTAAAAAAAATAATATCAGTTAAACTAATAGTAAAATATTGTTAAAAAGCAGAAAAAAGAAGAAATCAACTAGTACAATGCAATATAAATGTTATGAAATTATGAAACTTTTATACTAGTACCTTTTTTGTGGTGTAACTTGGGTTTTTCTGCCATGTTGGGAACTTGACTACATAACAGCATAAAAGAAAAAAAATTATGCAATTTATATTTTATCATGTTTAAATTTCCAGTTAATTTTAATGTCGTTCATATAAACATGAAAAAGAAACCAATATTCTTAACATTTGAAAAGTGTTCTGTACGTGCTTATTCGAAATATTTTACTTACCTTTAGTTGCTCGCACCTGTCAAGCGGTCGCCATTTGTAAACAACTTGGAGTGTACAGTGACGTCATACCTATGGAAGGTAACTCTGAAAATAATGCATAGAACTTTGTCCAAAACATTTTGTATCCCCCATGTATCAGCCCATGCATGTCAGCAGCAAAAACTGCAGAAGTTTTATGATATACTCATTAGCAATTTAAACAGGGTTGCCCCCCCCCAAAAAAAAAAAAAAATTCTGGGGAAATTTTTCGTATGTCTCCACTTATCAACAACTCTCTCTCTCTCTCTCTCTCTCTCTCTCTCTCTCTCTCTCTCTCTCTCTCTCTCTCTCTCTCTCTCTCTCTCTCTCTCTCTCTCTCTCTCTCTCTCTCTCTCTCTCTCTCTCTCTCTCTCTCTCTCTCTCTCTCTCTCTCTCTCTCTCTCTCTCTCTCTCTCTCTCTCTCTCTCTCTCTCTCTCTCTCTCTCTCTCTACTGTAATGAGCCCTGTCTAAATCCGCGCATGTCATGTTATACATTTATTCTGCTTTACAGATACCTTTTATTACTGCTTTGTTCATCATCCTCTTTCTTTTCTGTTTTTTTTTTTTTAATTTATATAATTACTTCATCTCATATTATCAAAGTGAACACACAGATCCATGATTATCACTCTGTTCAATTTATTTCTATAACCGAAATCCCACTAATTTCAGACGTATCCCTAAAATTAAATATTTTTTCATTTACATGTATGCTGTGTTGAGATTGATATTGGAATCAGTGATCACCCCCCCCCAAACGAAAAACTAAAATTCTTAAATCAGCGTCAAATAGAAATAATTATTTTCTTTAATGCATAATATGAATAGAGAAAAGTTTTAAAATCGAAAGTCAACATTAAATAATTATAGTATTATATGTGTAAGAAAGTTAAGATATACTTAAGTCACCTCTACCGTTTCAGTGGCGGATCCGGAAGTTCATGTGGGGGGGGGTTGAGGCCCAAAGGGCCGAAGGGGGAAGGCATGGGAAGGGGTGTCCACCTCCCATAGGTGGGGGGTTCGGGGGGCCTCCCCCGAGAAAATTTTGTTTTAAATGATTCTAAATGGTGCATTTTCCAGCATTCTTTTGTACTTTTTGTAGCTTTTTTGAAGACCAATCATCACAAATTTTTAAGAATCCAGAAAAATAAAATGTTTCAATTTGATTTAACTTTAACACAAGACTTTAGACCTTGTTTAAAAAAATGGAGAGGGGGGGGCTCCACCCCGAAAAAAATTGTTTTAAATAGTTCTAAAATGGTGCATTTTCCAGCATTTCTTGTACTTTTTGTGGCCTTTTTAAAGACCAATCATCACAAATATTTAAGAATTTAGATAAATAAAATGTTTCAAATTACATGTAATTTAACTTTAACACAAGACTTTAGACTTTGTTTTAAAAAATTGTTACATCTGACAATTTTAGGAATACAAGCAGTTGACTTCAAGTTGTCTTTTAAATGCATTTTCAATTGATTTAGTCAAGCTGACTTCTAATATACAACTGATGTGCAATTTTAAACACTTTCAAAAAATCAAACATTGGATTCTTTTCAGAATTCCTAATTAGTGCTTTTCAATTTACTTGAGTATACTGTCAATATGATGTAAAAAAAATGTATTAATTTAATTTTTAAAACGGTAAATAAAAAACCCTATATAATATTTTATTCAAATAGTTAATAAAAAACATGCATTTTATCAGCAAAGGAATATTACTGAGCAGCACCGTAACTATATGCAGTTTTCTGTTGTTGGTACTTGACTACATTGTACTGCACGATGATCTTGTGACTTCACTAGATTCACGGATTACCCCTCTCTCTGTTGATTACCTGTGTATTGTGTGCGTTCAAGCGGAAAGTGATTTCCTGTTACGTGGCTGAAGTATATTTCACAGTTGTACAGAACAATGGATTCGTGTATATTAGAGTTTTATCAATGCAACAAAATGATAAAATAACGTTAACACTTGTAAAAAAAAAAAAAAACAAATCAATGAGTGGGGGGGGGGGGTTTCCCCAACCCCCCAAACCCCCCTGAATCCGCCCTTGCGTTTTGCTAAGATTGCCAAATCTTAGTACGCTTCTAGTTACGGTCTTAAGTTTTAGACTGTACTTAAGTCCTACTTAAACACGGTCTCAGACTTTAGTAGGCTTTATGTTACGACCCCCTGGCCCCAAACCATAAACTGAGAACAGACTTAAGTCAAAATTTCAAATAGATATAACTTTCGAAGTAATTCTGATAATAAAATAAAATTATCAATATACCGGTATATGTTTGAATTGAAGTATTTTTGCACAGTTGTAAAATTTTAAAGCTAAAACATCAAATGGAACTGAAGATTTTAAAAATTCAAATTTTGACTTTAGTCCATTATCAATTTATGGCATCCTCGCAAGCCAGGACATCTATTCACAAAAAATCTTACGACTTATCGTAGTGGTAAGACGGTCGTAAATCTAACAAATCCTTGGTTAAACTGTATAAGGAAAATCTGTAACATGTGAGGCTTATCAAATGTATGGAACCTACAAGGTGTTTGTATTAATTATGAATGGATAAGTGCTACTGTTAAGCAAATACTACAAGATCAATTTATTCAAAATTGGTTCAGTGATATAAATAATTCCTCAAAAGGACAAAATTACAGAATCTTTAAACAAAACTTTGGATTCGAAAACTATCTTTGTAAATTATCCCCTAAATTTAGAAAAATTCTATTGAAATTTCGCACCACAAATCATCATTTTCCAGTAGAAACTGGAAGGTGGTGTGGTATACCACTTTCTGAAAGACTTTGTACACTTTGTAGTAAAGGTCAAATTGCTGATGAATTTCATTACATTCTAGAATGCAAAGCTTTGGAAAATGAAAGGAAAAAATACCTAGGTAATTATTATTCTAGTACGAATATTATTAAATTTACAGAACTTATGTCAACTCAAAACGAACAAATTCTAAAAAATTATGTATGTTTATTCTAAAAATTTATGACGCTACCTGTCCTCCTTAATATGTTACTTATTGTCTGTTTCTCCCTCTTTTTTCATTTTTTCTTCATTTGTAACATTTTGTATTGTATATATATTATATTTTTTGTACCTCTGACCAGTTTGTTTAAAATGTATATATGTTTTACTGTACCCCATGTACCAATATTTTGGTTTGGGAGAATAAACTGAACTTGAACTTGGGAAAAGAAAATCTTACGACCGTTTTTCACTTTCGACAATGTGTCAATCTTACGACCACTTTCGTGAATAGCTCGTAACTTTTATCTTAGGATTATCGTAAGTTCAAGTCGTAGTCGTAAACTTACGATTTTTTGTGAATAGATGTCCTGCAGGGGCCCTGAGTCAATACGTTGCCGCTGCAGCTCTAACGGCAATGTGTTGACTCAGGACCTCTGGCTTGTGAGGATAAGTTTATGGTTTTGGGGCCAGATATTTCGGACTACATATCCGTCTGTCTCAAAAACTTCAAATCCAACAAAATTATCAAAGTATGGTCAATCTTGCTATTAATGGTTAAGTATTTGGAACCAAATTTAACCTTGATCATAACTTTTGAATGAGAAGAGATAGAGTTTTCATATATTTCACATGTACATTACTTGTCACAAACCTTTTTCAAAAAATATACTAAAATTTTGACCCTGTGGGCTGCTCCAATTACATTTTATAAATCTATTACATTTATTTAAAGCTTATGAATAATTATGCTGGAAAATAAACATTAAATTTAAGGAAGTGTTTACTTTTAGCATATACATGTATTTTACTGAATGGAAAAAAGAATTATGAAATGTATATATATTGGTATATATTTTAAAAGTGAAATCTAATGAAACGATCAGGTAGTTGTAAATTATAGAAGGGTACCCTCCCCCCACTCCAAGCACCTGCGTATTGAGTGAACTGAATAAATATTAAAATTAATTTTCAAAGGAAGACAACGTGAAGTTTGTGAAAGCTGCGGTTCTAACTTGGTAACATGCACGTAGTATTCAGAGTTTCTCTTATTTTCTCAAAGCTTGTTCAAAATAAATAATTATATGACAATTGCTGTGTAATTACGACATCATTCATCCTCTACTCTGACTCAGACATTCTTAAGCCACTCCATTTGCGAGTACACACAAGATAGAATTAAGATACTTACACATATCATCTTATTCGTCGTTAGTCAACGGTTTCTCAAAATCATGTGCAGATATAAAGGAAACCAGTAAGGGGGTACTTCAAGTATACTCTTCTCTGTACAGATTTCATGAATTAAAGTATTTTAACTAATTGCGTTACTTCCTGCCCCAAAAGAAAGAGAAAAAGTATGTCTGTATGTTATCTTAGAGGGAAAGATCCAAGATTTTTTTTAATGGATAAAGTCCATTTCAACAGAAAGGAAAATCTATCCGAAAATAACTTTATACAGTTTATACAGGAAAAAATCGAGTCAATCAGCCATCATTGATAAAGTCTGATGGTGTTTTTCCTTATAAATTTTCGAATAGGAACTTTTTTTGGTAACGAATGTTACATTTATTTTTTTATGGTAGTGAAAAAAATCACATCATTTTAAACAAAAATGCTTTCACCGATCATTTTAGGATAACCATTCACACTTCGCATTTTATCCACAAGACACGGTACAAAATAGAACGATGATTTTATTGCTCGGTCTTCTTACTTCAAAAGCAACCAAGAAAAGGAAGAGCTCTCTCTCTCTCTCTCTCTCTCTCTCTCTCTCTCTCATGTAGGCAACGATTTGTTGGTTGTTTAAAGGGTCGACAAGTCAGACACTTTAGACACATTAAACCTTCACAAAAAGACGAGCCTTTCCACTCGGCTTTTATATAAAGAAACTTAATCTTGATAGCATACGTGACATTTAAAGAGACCCCGATAAATGTCCCTGTGGATGGGCCCCCACAAACAAAAATAATCTTTGGTCAAAAGCTAAGAGTGTAGTTTTTCTACTTCCTGGTTTCGTATCATCTACTAAATGCAGGTATAGTTCAGATGAGATAATACGGATAAAGACAAGCTAGTGTCACCAGCCAGGCAGCTGAAACAGAAAACAAAAGATACCAAGGAAATGAGGAGGAATTTTATCCTTTTTGTGATCGTAACGGTTGTGATTGTCATACAGGTAGGACATTATAGGCTTATTTATCAAGTATTACGGTGTTCCTTCCGAGTTGTAATCAACAGGTGTTTATTTTAGAATTTTGATGGAATGCATGCAAATCAATGTAAAGAAATCAGCCGTTGTATATAAATTCTATATCTATGTATGTAAGTAATGATAATGTTAAGGGAGCTAACGGGGTACTAGCTAATATAAACCGTATTAGTTTGTCTTGAGTTTTAGTAATAAATGAGTATACTATAAGGAAAAAGAGTTACATTTTATTGAAAGTAAAAAGGAGAGGGAGTCTTAAAGACTATTAGATCCTCAACCTCAAGGGTGGGTACCACCCCCTTTGACACTTTTGGGTGTAGATATTAGTTTAAAGAAAAAGCTGTTTGTTTTCATTGAGGATGACAGGGAGGTTTAGTATAAATAATGTACGCACAGCTCTCTTTGGTAACCTGTGGAAGAATTTATTCCAGAGTAAAAATTTATGTCATGTACTTTTTTTAATAAGTTAAAAAGATATGAAGGGGGGGGGGGTCTCCCATCAAAATCCACCAATAAGCTTGAAATATTTATGTTGATATCTTTCCATGCTTAAATAAATAGATAAACTGTGTGTGTGTCGGGGGGGGGGGGGGGCACGTACATGATATCACCTACATGTACCTATTTCTCTTTGCGAAGAAATGTCCATGTACATGATTTTTACGGAGATACATGGGCTAAATGTAGGTATGGGATGCAAAAGGAAAATACGCTGTCGTCGTTAGGCAAGAAAATTATTTAAGATATCCATGTACAGCCATCTATTAATCCCCAGGATTTCTGAACTATTTTTATATTTATAAGTTTAGTTTTTTATCTTTATATATGCAATATTAATATTAATGTTACATGTAGGTAAAATAAGACCCAATGGATAACCAGTCATTTCTATAGCTTTAAAACATCGATTGTTAAGATAAGACGTGACTTGTGATAAAGATGGCGAAAGTTTGCAAAACTCCACAGTCCCATTCAAGATTTAAGTACAGAAATGGTACTTATTGAATTAAAATCGACCCGTTTTCAGTCTCTTTTTATAGATCTTTACCTTGATATTGAAATTAGCTTCCTTGTCAAATAAACTTGTTTTTCTTTATCATCTCTTTTTTACACGAGTTTTATATATGGAGTCAAGTTTACTATAGACATGTACGTATGTTATTCTTTTTAGAGAAGTGGACAAGCTTTCGCCAACATATCCACGAAAAAAGTAAGCGAAAGGCTGTCCACTTCTCTAAAGAGAATAGTATACATGTATATGCATACCAATTTTAAATTTCATGCATTCTTCAATGATCTATGGGGCTGATGCAATTTTTTTGTTCAGTTACACAATGGACCAAGGTTTCTTCATCGCTTTTGTTTGTCCTTGTAACATATCATTAGAAACAACACACTCAAAATAATCCAACTGGCGGATGTAAGATGTAATACAATACTTCCATTAATAAGTTTGTACTTTAAAGTTTTAAAAGTTTATGTAAAATGATACTACAAAATGTAATGTTAGTAAACGATAGCAAAATACTGAACATGATTCACTGCAATCTGCAGCCATTTTTTAAACGTTTGAGGTTTTATTTGCATTAGTCTAGAAAAAATTGCATCTTTTTAAATGTAATTTAATATTCAACGAAATGTCATATCTATAGTGAATACTGGTTTCTAGTTTAGGTCAGATTTGATTATTTGATAAGTCTTGCATAGGGAATACACAATAAAAACACTGAACAAGTTTTTAACGTTGAACACACACTGTCTTATTTCACTTCAAACTTCCTTCACCCGTTCCTTGAACTGCTTTTTTTCTTATTTAAATAGAAAACCCAGGAAAACCGATGACACAAATATACATGTAATGTAATATATATTTATATATAGATACGGATAGCTTTATGTTTTCCGCAATCCACTAGGAGTTTCTAGAGTGGGAAATTATTCCAGTGTGGTTGGAGATGACAAAATCATTCAGTATATGTCAATTAACCAATTAGAAGAAGTTTGTACAATGGGATTTTCCGCAACAGTGGCTCAAAGGTCACAGTCGACAAGCTTGATGGATAGAGCAATCGTCCACAGGTACAGTTAGGGGGACCAGCTAGAGGATCTGACTGAACAAAGACATGTTTTGGTCTTATTTTCCCCGATTTCTGGTGCATATTTATTGACCAAAGAAAAAAAAAAGAAAGAAAAAGAGAAAGTATAACCATCTTCTCCATCATGAACTAAATGAAATCTAAACCTTTCAAACGAATTTCAACCAGACAAAGCATAAGTTTTTTTTTTAATTCATGGACGAAGACTTTCTTTTCTACCTCAAGCACATATATTACAAAATCCCCTAAAGAGTACGTAGATAAATTGCATAGAACTCGTCAGCAAAAAAATGTGAATTTATTGTTTGTCTACCTGTTATGACTAGATAAACACATTATCTCGCATCATACGATGTCAAGACATCGATAAAAACCGTCCATATAAACTATCTAGTTTACTTTAGTTAAACAATTTCAGCAAAATCTATATAATATCATCAGATTCTTTTGTTATCTCAAAAATATGCATACATATTTTAAGTCCTGTACATATAAAGCACATACACTGTATAACTAAATTCAGAAAAACAAACGTTTTCTGGGCTTTTCCCAATGCATGTACATTCATTCTATTTTTACTGAACACTGCTGGACTGTCAGTGCATGTTTCCCTTGTTTTGATTCTCATGTTGTCCGTCTATAGTTGTCCGTCTTGCCATTGTAATAATTCTTGCTAATATGTTGTCCGTCATGCCTAGCTGTTGTCCGTTTGGCTGTTGTTACTGATAGACTGTCAGTTTTACCGATGTGTGTCTCGATCTCCTATCACTATGTTGTTCGTCTAGCCACAGATATCAGTCTTGGTAATATGTTGTCCGTCATGCCTAGCTGTTGTCCGTTTAATATGTTGTCCGTCAAAGTTTGCTATTTGACTTTCGTAAACTGCTTTGTATTATTTACTTTTTCTACCTAATTACCTAAATATTTACTAATTTAAATCAAAATTTTCACAAGTTTAGCTACAGACTATTACTTTTATCGTTATCATAGAATAAAACTTTTGAAATTAGAAAATGCCTCCGATTAATAACTTTCTAACCATTGATTCAATTTAATTCAAATTTACCGTAAGTACATTTGTTCGTTGTTTCCAGTCTAAAAGTGTCTTATGATTTTAAAAGGTCTCTTTTCCAAGATCAAAGTGATTCGGATACAAATAATTAGTATTGTATGTCAGGCAATTTGTTTTAAAGTATAGCAAAATCCAGCCTTATTAGTATTCTTTTACCAAGGTCCTTAATGTGTTATGAATTCTAGTTTTTACCGGCCGCCAGGAGGCGGTCGGTTACTTGATATGAAAGTTTGAAGTCGACCTGCGTTTCTGCGGAGTTACAACAATTTAAATAAAAATATCTAACGTTCATATTATAGAATATTAAACAAAGATATTTTCAAATGTTTAACAAAAAGCATAGTCTAGGTCACCTACACGTTTGTTGCATCGATGCATGGTCTCACACCAAACGTCTAGGAGCATTCCACTATAAATATTTTTACTTCAGAACGAGGCTTATCCAGAATTTGATAAAGCCTGTGATTGGTTGAACAAAAATAAACATTTGACAGCAGAGTTTTGGCTGATCTTAGAATCGACTTTCCTTTAAAAACATCACAGAAAGTATGCTTGGAGAAATTAGCAAATAGGTTCGACATATTTGCAGTGCTAGCTACGGGTTATGGGAAGTTAATGTTATACCTTATTTAACCGAAATTGATGCTTGAAGTTGAAGATAATTTACAGTGTGCCGTAGTAATTTATATAGGTCATTAGTCATCTGGTACACACAGTGCGTATGCAGGTGTAGGAGTTTGCAGATGAAATAATAATCAGTCTAAATGTTAGAGTACACACTTTCTAATCACTTGCTGAATTAAAAAAAAAGAAATGTATAGAATGTTTGACAGTATATACTTTTTAAACGTAATGACTTTCAGCGGAGTCGCCATAAAAATTTAGAGTTAATGTTCTTTAACAGCGCCGCCCCGTGGTGAAAATTTTATCTACAGTATGCTCCAAGGCGTTTGAGTGGGGGGTCAAACGACTTGTGTGACCTAGGCTACAAAAAGCACAATAATCATAAAATTAAAATCTTATAAATAATCTGGGTAAGTGTTTCATCCAATCCTGATTGACATACTCCGACATGATTGAAGTGCGACGAAGTTATACGTAGGCATAGTCTAAAACAAAGACAGCGTTGTAAATTAACAATTTTACTTTCTCTTTTTAAACAGCCTAAACGGGATTTGTCGTATTTATTTTGAAATGACGTGTATATTTATACATTTTCTACGGAAAATTTTCAAAAATTTAATGAAATATTTATTTCTTAAAAGCACAGAATCTTACAACATTTTGGTCCAAGAGACTAGGATACAGCGCGTTTTACAATGTGCCATGCGTTTTCCCGCCACGTCTCAACACCAAAACAAAGAGACTGAAAGAGAAGAAATGTAGTGGTGGATCTAGAGGGAGTTTGAGGGATGTTAATATCCTCTAAGAGAGAGCGACGAGCCCAACATATTTCATATTTGTTGCGTTTTTAATAAAGTAAAACTAAAGCTTAGTTTAAATTTTAGTTCTGTACTTTTATGTAAAAACTACTTAAACATCAAACTTCCACCATAGCGGTTCGTTTACAATTTAAATACCGACGCAGAGGTCTCTGGACAGTTTGCTTATACATGTACATATAATATCAGGCGCGGATCCAGAATTTTTTTCCAGGGGGGGGTTCACCTCAGTCAAAAATAAATCCAATCTCAGAAATATTTTGACAAGCAAAAAAAAAAAAAACCCAAAGTAAAACTCGCCCAAACGGAGGTTTGGTGACTTTCATTGCCTCAAATCTTTAACTTTTCCCACCCATTTCACACATATTCATGTTTACCAGGGGGGTCTGTGTTTTCCAAGGGGGTCCATAGTACCTTTTTTCTTGTTTCAGTATATACATTTTTTAACCTGGTAAATTTCAGGGGGGTCCTGACCCCCCCCCCCCCCGACCCTCCCTTTAGATCTGCGCATGAATATTGTACATGCATTATGCATGAAGAAAATCGGCAATGTCGCATGCAAGTGTTTCATGTCACGAGGATACTTTAATAGATAAATATAAGAAATTTTAAAAACAGGTCACGCAAATTTCATTTTCTAATTACTGAATTTTTGACGCTTGCGTCAATATATGTTTCTTGTAAGTGTCATACATGAGGCGTTTAGAGGCTTAAGGACAGGAAGAAATTTCATTGTAAATTTTAAATACACAATAAAAGAAAACAATAAATCAATAGAAATGTTTAGTTCACTAAAACAAAGATTTTTAAAATTATTTTTATATAATAACAAAAGCCAAAACAGAACAGAGGTCATCATGGCGCACAACACATTGGACATAGTGGTAAGACGAGAATTCAGCATACACGGCCACTGCAAATAAATTGATATACAAAAACACACGATTATATATGAGACAGGACACCCACGCACTCATGAAATATCCCACGTGTCCCCCTCCCCAGGTCCTGCGGCAATAAGCACTTGTAATACCACATAATATGTGTACGTAACAGGTCAGCGCGCTTGTCTCCAAGAAAGACTGTTTACTGCTTAGTGCAATTCTCAGTTAACCTTGGATTTTCAGTAAGGCGTGGCATTCTTTTCTGTCAAATAGCGAATAGATTCTCATCAGGGACTTTAAATTGTTGTTGAGACGACCGAAGTTCCACCTCGCTGTCGTATGCGATACTGTTATTGGCTGTTTGCTGCACTCGTTGGCATTCGCCTGAATTTCTAACCCATGTATATTTCAAAATTGAACGAAAGCTGTGTAAATTTCAGAAACTAATTATGTAACGTCGAGAATGCCACGCCTTACTGAAAGTCCAAGGTTAACTGAGAATTGTACCATCTTCGAGGCCCAGGAGTATTATATATTTTTTAGATAATATACAGTGTAATAATATTTGTCATGAGAATTTAACGAATAAAGCCGATTTCGTTTGTCATTATTTCATTACTTCAGAATAATAAAAAGTTACTCTATCAATAATAAAGTTTACAAATTAATTTTGAAGCAATGTGCATTTTGTTGGCCCATCTTCTTTAACCCAAACTTCCAAGATCAAGCATTAAGCATGGCTTATATGTACGATTACCAGAATCCTACCTTTATTTCTACATGCCAACTTCTAAGTATTGGTTAGTTGAAATGCAACGAAATTCTGTTTCTAAAACAAATGCATTTGAGTGTCGTGAAGGTATACGTGGCACAGAAATATACATTTTGTAAACAGCTATGGCCCAAACAAAAGAATATGAAAGAATTTAATTAGTTTTATACAATGTCAAGCTCAGTATTAATAGGGAAGTATATATGCCATCTTCCCGGCTTTTTAAACATACTGCTGTAATTTTTTAAGCATACATGTTTATGGATAAACAAAACATTTTTTTCCAGTGTAACAATGAATACTATTGTTCCTGCCATTTATTTCCTAGTTCCACGAGATCTGGACTAGTGTAGGCCTATTCAAAGCCTGTCCCTTGTAAACTACTATATGTAGTATATCTGTTTTCTTGTTATTGTAGGACTGTACCCTCGCCGAGGATCAATATGCTTGCTGTTCTGAAAATTCTAACGATACGGCATGTTGTTTATCATGTTCAGAATATTCAAACTGTTCTTCAGTGAATTCGGATTTTAAAACCCTCAACATCGCAGACGGAGCATCATGTCCGTTTCGTGCCACGACCCTTCCAGGCGTCAGTGCGTCCACAGAAACTACACCACATACTGTGACTTTCGAAGACACAACTGTCACAGAGTCCCTGACGACTTTCGGGGTGGAGGAGATATTCACTATCTGTGTTTTACAATGTCCTTTGGGATATTATGAAAAAAATCAGAACTGCTATAAATGTGATGATCTGTGTGAAAACTGCACATTAGAGGGTGGTTCTGTGAAATGCTTAGTATGCAAACATGGTATGAACAGTACCGACCACTGCTGTCCCAGAGGAACTCGGGAGAAATTGTCAGGCAATGTAACCATCTGCGAGGAGGTGTCCACACCCACACCAGACGAAGACGATTTTCTTCCCGTCATTATCGGTTGTGCCGTTGGCGGAGTGGCGGTGATCTGCATTCTTGTGGTTGTCGTCTGCTGTCTTCGCAGAAGGTCGAAAGGTTACAGTCAGACAAACGGTCATGAAAGTGGCGGAGAAACAAAACGTCCAATCAGCCAGTTATTACATGTAAATAAATATATAACCATTTTGAGAATAGAAGTAACTATTCTGTGCATGAATTAAATATAACTCCAAAGTACTTTCTCTTATTAAAGATCACTTAATTTATTTTCAGATCAAGAGAAAAAAGAAAGATTCTTCTGAAGGCCAGCTTCCTAGCAAAGAGGACTTGAACGTCTTTCACGGACACCCTAGACCGTACGAAAACACAGCCACTATAGACCATAGAAGGATTGCCATTGGAGCTCAACAGGAGCAAGACAAGAAAGGTCGATATATAAGAGATCCAACAGAAAAGAACGTAAGTCCATAGATGCAGGTATTGCAAAGGTTTGCTTGTATTATAGGTACAGGTATCTAATAGATGTGTATTCGTCTTGTTATAGATACTAGTAGGCAACGTTTTTAATGCTTTATTGGGTTTTGTAGAAAAAAGCTCAGAAGCAAACCGATCACGACGAAGAACCACAGGAGGTGTATGAAAATCAAGCTACTATAGACTTCCATACAGGGCAGTCACAGTTTCACAAGAAAAAGAAGGGACCATTCAATAAGTTGTCAAAAAAGTTTAAATCTAAAAAAGGAAAAAATGATAAGCATAATGGGAAACCAGAACCACAAGAACCCGTAGGAGCCCCCACGGAGGAGTATGAAGAGGTGAATCCCCCAGCCACTCAAAGTAACATGCCCACGGAAACTTATGAAGATGTGGGATCTAATCAACCAGATTTTCCACAAGAGGTCTATGAAGGTGCAGCACAGCAAAGCTTCAATGAAGATCTACCTCAAGAAGAGTACACGGCCATGGATCCAAGTACGCAACAACCGACAGAGGAGTATCTACCAATGAAAGTCCAGAGTACAAAGAGTGCAAAAAAGAGCAAGCCAACCAAAGTCCGTAAGACAAAAACAGAACAAGGAACAACCAATCCGGTATTTAATGCAGGAGAATCTATTTATGCGAACGTAGGTGGTGATGAAGGTCATTACCAAAATCTTCAGTCTCTTTCTGAAGACCCTAACATGCCAGAAGAGGACTATCAGAATTATCAGGGCCCCTCATCCAAGTGATTCCAACATCTCCTGTAAGGAAAATGTTCCTTATTTTACATAAGGGTAATGCTATACAATTGGTCGCAAGTATGCACTGAGATACTCGTTTAAGGTAAACAGTTTACCCATGTTTCCCTGGCATATGAATTCTTAACACTTGACTTGGATAAGATTAGAGCGTAGTTGTTTGAAATTGGGTCTAGAGAAGTGATTCGAGGAATTGAGTATATACCTGGTATGAAGTGTCTCGTGTTTATTTATACAAAATAAATATAACTTGACATGATGTAAGCACGTGCAACCCCTGCTGATAAGATAAGAAATGTTAACCTATTGAATACCAGAGAAGGGAAGTGCATGTGACTCAAATTGATTTTTGATCGATGATAAAAGTATATTTGAGAAGGAGATGTACACTGTAGTTATTTTGCAATTTTTTCCCTCAATACCAATGTTTCCGAAAAATCTAGTCATGCAAATCCATGTATCTAATATGATAATTATTGCAATTTTTGTCACGTTTTGAAAATATATACTCTTTTATTACAAAGTAAGCATTAGCTTAATTACTAGAGTATAAATTAAGTTTAAAAATAAGTATCTCAGGATGTACATTATATTTGGAATATAAGCAAATGAGTCTATTATATGTACATGTATTAACCTTTGATTGTTAATGATTAATTTAAATTCTTCAAGTATGCTTTATTATTTTATTTGCATGATCAAGTATCATATGACCATGCATTTTTTTTCGTGAAAAGGAAGAATATCTGTTATAGGTATTAAGTTTGATCTTTGAAGCTTGAAAATTATACTAAATCCTTATGCAAAACGTGTTTTTGAAATCCGGTGCTCATCTTGAAGTACTGTTATACATATGACATATTTTTATGTTAATCCTTTAACCATCCCGATACTGACTTCCTTGTACCAAGTACAATTATATTTGTTTACAATGTCATATTGTCTATTTACGCATTGTTGTATATTCACTATTAAAACCTTCCTTGAAGAAGCATTTGAATTTCATTAATAGGACAATATACTAACTGAAATGATTTTGAAAAACAATTGTTACATATCATGTAAACAATAGGGAAAAGAACTGATACACTAACCAAATAATAGGCTGCTCAGATAATTAACAAACATAACTCTCGGTCCGATTTTTAGCCTGTTAAAAGTGAATATTTCTAAGACAGATTACGATTATCAATTGCAAGGACCTACATGTTCAAGTCTATACTTAGTATATCGGTCCCTGGATCTATAAATTACTTTTCTTTCTTTTTTGGGGGGAGGGGGGTTATAAGTATATTCTTATTGTAAATTGTGAGATAAGGATATACCATGTATTAATAATTTAAAATCTGTAGATCAAAATAAAGGTATAGGCTACATTCTAACAAAATTTTAAAATAGAATTTTGTGAAGAAATAAAATCATTGTTGTAACGCTACAAGCGATTTTCTCTCAAATAAACATCCATCTTAATGTAAGTAAAATGGATAATTTAAGCCATGTATGTTTTTCAATATTTCTCAATGATGTCTTATAAAGTGATTGCAATGTACATGTAATAGTGTCTAGAAGAAATAAAAACCCACCATATTTTTTCAGTAAGTTTCCTCAAGAACTTTATGACTTATACTGCATATACAATTTATGTTGTGAAAAGTCCATTTAAATAGGACTAAGGTATAGAGAATATGTAAAACGTACAGTTTTATATAGACATTGATTATATTTATTTCGTGCAGGTTTTAGCTTTATTGTGTATCCGATGGGGTGCAAGTGATTTTATATTGTAGGTTGAATCGGTTTAATGAATGGTGAAAGTGTTTTTTGTTGTATTGCTATGAATGTTCTTTTTATGTAGAGCATATGCACATATTTTTTTTAACACTAATTGTTAAGCACTTGAATAAAAAAAAATACAAGTGATTTTAGTATTGGGTGTTTTATACCGGGAAGAGGGGGGACTAACATCCTTATACCTTATCCTTTAAAGTTTTACAAGAGTGATGAAATATGTACATTATTATAACTTAAAACAAGGGGCCACATCGCTCACCTGAGCACAAAAAAAACCTTAAATCACAATTGTGGCCTCACCCTTCCCCCGGGGCTCATGATTTTTAACAATCTTGAATACACACCATCTGAGGATGCTTCAATATATAAAAAAGGCCCAATCTTAGCTTAGCTGTTCTTAAGAAGAACATTTTCCTTGTATATTCCTATGTAAAACTTTGATTGTCCATTGTGGCCCCACCCTACCCCGGGGCTCATGATTTGACCAAACTTGAATCTACACCACCTGATGATGCTTCCATAGAAATATTACCAATCATGTCGTTGCTGTTCTTGAGAATTCTAATAAACTTTCTAGATTGATTTAAAACCTTGAATAAATTGATTATTATGTTAAAAAATGCATTTAAAAGCTTAATTTAAGAAAAGACAATTAAAGGGGAAAACATGATGAAATTCACTTTAAAATATCCATTTACCTTCAAATATTAGGGGAAAAGTCTGATTATACATGTAATTTAAAAAAGCAAATTTACCTGTCTTATATGTTCCAACAGGTGTTTATTAATCACTGTTTTTACAGTTAGTTATATGTTTATATAGTAAATCATTAGTTTACGCAAAAATTCCACCTATTCCCACATAAAATCTTAATTTTTTCTACACGATTTTCAAAAAGTGGGAATAGGTAGAATGAACCGGTGTTAGGATCGAATATCTTTCAGTACCAAATTTTTCTTCCAAACACTACCACTTATACCCTTCTTCGACTACACTGCAACGTCCCTGTTGAAAATGGGGAAGGGGGGAGGACCTACGCCCCAATGTCTGATACCTACATTTTAAATACCACATGGGGTATAAATGCTTAAAAACATTTGTCCTCTCATATGCCAGGTTCTTTTGAAGTTTGATGTTACCATAAATAAGAATATGTTCCCATATTCAATTTTAAATAAGGTCTACAAGAATGATGTACAAACATCAGGCATGTCCTTGAAACTTTCCTAAGATTTGTCCTAAGATTATTCCTAAGATATGACTTAGGAAGAAAGTTAGGAACATCCTAAGATCAACTTAAGACATATCATAAGAGGTATCTCGACGGTGGCTTAGGAAGATCTTAAGTTAGGACATCCTAACTTACAATGAACACTTGTTTCTTTAACATTTATCAATAAAATCATAAATAAATAATTTTTGGTGACATTTTTACGGGAAAAAAATTACATAACATTAAAAAAGGAAATCCATTTCCATGTACATGTGACCTCAGTATATTCTATTGTTACATGTATACCCTTATAAATAGCTTTCTATATATTTATTACTAATAAAAAGTCCAACAAAAGAAATGTTTATTACATCGGTCTAACAATTTCACTGTTGACCGGCCTGCTGGTCCAACATAAGAATTGTTAGACCGCAACGTCACTGCTACGTCACAAGTAATTAATTATCGTTCAATATCGGCGACACGGAAATAGCCGAAGTTAAGAGCTGCAAGAGTTGTTGCTACCAGCAAGGTAAAGAAGAAGGGAAGAGTATGTTTTGTGATAAATAATTTTTGTGATATAATAAAAATATAATTAATTTTTTTCTTTCTCAGCTATTGTTTTATACTCACTGATTCAGCCATAATTTTCCATATAGATTAATTGATAATATTAGTGTGTATGTGACAAGCACTGATAATTTTTTTCTTTCATTTGATGTTCCACTTTCTTTTGTGTTGCAGAAATGTTTTGTAACATGTTAAATCCTTTTAAAAATTTGATGTTTTGAGCTTTTGAATTATATCAATAATTTTATGCCATTAAATTTAGAAAAAAATATGCATTTCAATGTTTTTCATAAATGAAAAAGTAAAGATAACAAACAGTGATTAATTTCATAAAATTAAATAATTTCAATTTGGAAGTAAGAAAATTAAAAATAAATTAACTAATTTTAACTTTGTACATAATTAAATATAAAAATGTGACTAATTGTATACTTAAAGATAATGTGTACTTTATTTTCACATTTTTCAAAATTGACCATTTACCCCAAATCTATGGGGTAAGTAAACACTTTTTAAAATTAAACTTCAAAGCCCATATTTTTCAATTTTTTTGCATTAAGTTGAAAACTATTTTACACTACTAGGAGATAAGAGTGAACTATGAGTTTAGTATACTACAAGAAAGATTGGTTTAGGTTAAAAGTTTTCAGACTCCGATTTAACCCTTAATGTGTCCACTTACCCCAATTGCCCCTATTAGTAATAAGAAAAACTCGAAATTTTCAAGTGCGATATTTAGGTGCTTCTTGATAAAGTGGAAAATATATATATCATCCTCTGTATCAAAACTATCGAAAATTGTAACTTATGTTGCAAAGAAGAGGCCCATGGGTAACACTTTTTGTTTAATCATTTGTGTAAATCATCAGCTCATACACTGACTGCTGAGAAACAAGAAATGTCGCTTATACTTGCATCATAAAAATCACAACCAAAGGCATCGGAACTTGGGGGGGGGGGGTGCCCCCCAACTTTTTTTTGCAAGCATATACTCAGTACATAATATAGGCACTGAAAATTGGGTTTTACCTTTCTTGTTGGTTTAGCCCCCCCCACTAATACCGGGTATATGTTGCAAAGAAGAGGCCTTTTGGTAACATTTCTTTTTAAATTTTGTGTAAATCATCAGCTCATAAACGGACTGCTGAGAAACAAGAAATTGTCGATAATACTTGCAATGTTCAAAATCAAAAGCATCACAACAAACTTAGGATGATCTTAGGACAAGCTTTATGTTGTCCTAAAGTTAGGAAAAACTTAAGCAAGTTCTTAAATTTAGGAAAGGTTCGAGGAACTGACTTAAGACTAGGACATTTCCTAAGACGTTCTTAGGACACACCGTAGTCCTAAGATAGCTTCGTGAACATGCCTGATGGTTGAATTATATGTCGATAACTGTTGCATTTGCCATGGACCTTTTTTGCACAAAAGATGTGATTTTTATCTTTAATTTCCTTCCTGTGTGGAATCTGTGGATTTGTTAATTTTGTGAAACTATATGGAAAAAAAATACAAAACAATACTCCTTTGCATGTTATTTATATACTAAAAACATATTAAAGCTAAGTGCATGGATACTAGTATTACAACTTAGATGTGTTATTTGTTATTTTGGTGTGCTACCCGTGGTGTTATTATAAATTTGTCTTGGATGTAAAGCATGATCTGCTAAAAAATTAGGGCTTATTTCCAGTTGTTATGATCTGCATCATATAGACTAAAGGCATGTCATGGATGTTGTCAGTACATCTTTTAATACCTTAATGACTGGCAAAGGAAAGTTCTTTAAGCTTCAATGAGTTTTCATGGAAATACTTTTTTTAATTTTTAAAGGTTTTCCACATGCATTTCTAAACACATGCAAATATTGAGCGATTTCTGGTATGTTGATTACAAGTTCATATTGCTTCTTTTCACCAATATGTAAAATATAGGTTTTTAAAAAAACATCATTTTAGGTCAACTTTGAAGTGAACTTGAGATGTGTCCTTTGCCATTTTAATTTACAACATATTATCTCCCCCTTGTTTAAGGTTCACACCCATATTTGGTAAAAAATGAAACCCAATGGCAATTGGCCATGGATATCTTGTGACATTCGACAAAAATTGGCCAAAGTGCTCTTGAGATATGGTCCATATTCTAGAAAAGAAAAGAACTAAAACTAGAAGTACTGTGAGCACTGATGAGCTAACAAAATGATACCATCTGCCTCCTGTATGATTATAATGGCAAATTCCTTGTTTTGCTCTGGGAGACCTTAAATAAGCGGATCAAGGATGGATACCCCAAAGTTTAACAGACAGACGGATTGACACCCCCACCACTATATATCCCCCTCCTCAGGTTTTTTAAGCAGGGGTTATAACACCAGTAGTGCTTAGGGATGGGTATCGCTAAAAATTTCGTATTGCGATATATCACGATTTTTTCCAAATATATCAAGATAATATCAGGATATTTTACAACCAATTTTCACAATGATTTTAAATGAATGGTCTTTATTTTTGTTAAAAATATGTTAGAAAACAAAATTTCACTTTTTTTGAAATTTTTATGCAAATAAAATTAATCATGTTTGGATGGTAAGATGCCGTTCTTTTCACCTTTTACAACATTTTTTAGACTCTCTGTAATTGTAATTTGAAAGATTGAACAAATAAATGAATAATTTCTGGACTTTGTAATATGTTCCTAAATACCGGTATTTAGGTCTCCTTATCACGATACATATCACACAACAAAAAAATTACGATATACTGGTAAACCGATAAAATCGCACATCCCTAGTAGTGCTACGATTGGATATTACATGTATATGCTCCCCTCTGCTTGAAATGCATTCCTCATTTACTTTCACAGAATCTTTAATTCATTGTGTTGTACACTTCCTATTTTTCTGTTTTGTTCAGACAGTTAATATTTGGGTTTCCTACAGGAAAACATGGACACTGCCATTTTTTCTATTCATCTCTTATCTGTGACTCCCCAGTACAACTGTACAAAGAGCAAGGTTCACTTTTTACATAAAATGGCCCTGTAGCTATACTAAATTATAGCTACTTAGAGTATTAATGAACACTCTAATTTCCATCTTAAACATCAAGATAAAGTTGAGACTTGATGCTTTAATATCCTATTAAAAATTTTCGCCTGAAAATTCAGAAAACAGGCTTTAATGAAATTGCAATGTTTTTGAATTTTAGGGAAAACAGGTTACTATATTTTAGTACTTTCAAAGAAGAAATATAATATAAGCGCACTCCTTGACATAAAATACAAAACATATTTTGTAATCCTCAGAAAAAGTTCTATCATTTGATAGTTGCATATTGTAGATCAGAGGTTGCTCTGTATATGTTTGTGTGTGCAAGAGGAAGAGTATGTGTGAAAATTCCCAAGTACAGTTTCAACAATTGCCCAATTAACTTACATAGTGTGTTTTTTGGAAAAATAGTTTTTAAATAATATATGTCCTTTATGTATTTTAGGTCAGAAGACATGTTCCTCAATCCTCACTCCTCAGTAATATATAATTTTTGCCGATTAAAAATTTTGTTGTCTAAGTATAGGTATCCATACTATAAAATTTCCTTGCCAAAAATTAAGGCACATTCACAAGCATTTGTGCAAGATACCAGGGGGTGCCATTTCTTATATAATCCTTTTGATAATCTTTTGAATTGCCAAGCTAACAGTTTTTGGCATTCTTACTCTTAAAGACATACTGAAAACAATTCAGAAATGACAATATTATGAAAAGGTTTTGACATTTACGAAATGGATGGAAAAATGGTCATTAATGAAAAACAACATTAGTAGGGGTGAAACAGATATTTGAGGAACATGTTGCCAGACCTTAAATTCATGCAAATATTAACTAAGTGACAAAAATACCCGGTAACTAAGGTAAATTACATTTTATTTGCAGGAGCTGTTATCAGTTCTTTTAGACTAATAAAAATCACTCAACATCAAAAATATACCAAAAGGGGAAGTTACTCTGCAGTTGTCTTGCAAAAATAATCATACATGCACTGACGCACACATCAATTTAACAGCTGAAAATCAGTTTGCAACTTCTATGAACAATGTCAATGACATGAAACAAAAACAACATGTTTCTATCACAGTTAGTGAAGGACACATACTCAGTGCCTCAATGGAGGTAGAGATCATGTGGACCTGAGTATACAGAAAGTCTGAAAGAATTCTTAATTATACTTTTACATTACAGTAAAACATGCTTGTAACAAAACTTATGGTGAATATACTATTAAAGCCAAGTGGTTTACATTCCCCCTGTCTTTAAAATATATTGCAAACTTATTATAAATGAATATAACAAATTACACTTAAACCAAATCACAATGTCCAATTGTGCATCTGTGGCACTTTTTTTACAAGCTGAACCAGACACCTAACAGTCTCAGGCAGACAGTTTGGTTCTTAGGTCCGACAAAACGCATGTTGCTCTCGAAATCACGCAATAAATGTATAATATTTACATGTATATTCAACCTTTATATCCACTTTCACAAGGATAACAGAATTGAACTATCAGCTTCATTCTTGATATTGCACTTCAAATTTTAAACGATAATTTTAAATACAATGAAGTTGTGTCGAGTCAGTATAATTGGACGTTGTCCTTTATCGTCCTATGATGAAGCCGTCGTCAATATGTCTGGACGTTGGCTGTTATACTGTCCCTACTGCTGTCTGATTCATCCTTCTCGTTAATTGTTTTCCCTTTAAATACTAACACTGATTGCTCTGGTACATTCCAGGACTGCTCCTCTCCCCGCGCGAACACATTAAAGATTACACACCCTGTCACGTAAATAGCTGCCGAGATATAGAACACTATCTGCCACTGGCCTCTAGTATCCTAAAATAAGTCACAGATGTGTCAAGATTTTTCATGCAATTTTTTTTTAAAAAGATGTCAAATGGAAGAATTCTTTAAATTTTAACAAACTTACTGAAGAAACATTGAAAAATCTAATGACTGTAGTATAAAACTGATAAACAGTACTGTAGCCCTGACCTTATGTTTGGTGAGTACTCCTACTACAGCGGGACCCAGGAATCCCGGAATCGTGGCAAACATGTTGGTGATCCCCATCAGTGTACCTGATTGTACAGAAATCAAAGTCTTAACCTAAAAATCTGCCTACATTTCCTTAAATATATATATTATTATAACAGTAACTTGATCTGAAGGGTCGTATCACGTCGAGTTGACAGGCACGGATCATCAGATCAAATGAGACGCGAAGGGTCGAGTTTGATCTGATGATCTACGCCTGTCAACGAGACATGATACGGCTCTTCAGATCAAGAGACTGTTATAATAATAGTTTTTTTTATATATATACTACCTTATAACTAGCTAAATATACTATCTAATAGCAAAATAAAACTTAAAAGATGAATTGTTTAATAAAACAAAGCATAATAACAAAGGACTTTTTAACGACGTTCGATCCTGATATTTAAAGTCAAGCTTTTTTTGCCAAGTATATTTTTAGTTTCTACATACATAGCTTAATTAAAATTCAAATCAAAAAATGGGGGTTAATACGCTTCTTTTGGCGCTGCAGTACATCAATACGACCTTTTTGCACTGAAATTTGTGTCTTAATTAAAAATTAAATTTTTGACGTTTTCCCTCCAATATTTTTATCCAATTAAAGCATGAAACAAAATGAACTCTAAGTCTGTTTAAAAAAAGACACTTTAAAATTGTAACTAAGAAAAAGTTTCAAATTGCTTCGCATAATCAATTATTTGACCTTTCTGCACTAATAAAAAGTGATTTTTCTGGCATTGAAAATTTAATTAGCAAGAAAATTATTTTAAAGTCTTAAACTTTTTCTGATTTTAAGCAAATAGGTCAAATTTATCTTGAATATATAGAGAAGGACATCAAAGGTGGGGGTATATGATGTAAATTTTTAGATATATATATAAAAAAATGTCAATTCTACGTTAAAATTGGCTCAATTTTTTCCCGGATTTTCAGAATATATTTACTATATTTGCCACACTTTGTTGATAGAATTCATAAGAAATAATTTAATAGATATTTCAGAACCAGCATAGCACATTTCACTGTAAAAAACAGCTTTGTGTGCAACCAGGATGGAAAAATAGGAATCCAAAATTAACAGTACTGTTATATTTCAAAATCGAAAAATTGATCATTTTCGTCTAAAAAACCTTCCGCCACAAAATATAGTCCCTAGCTTAATTCTACTTGAATGGAATTTAATCGCGGTTTTTTCATTGAATATAGTTAAATTTGCACTGTAGAATTCAGATTTAATGTTAGAACTTAAAAATGATGCAGAATTTTATAAATAAAGGACCTGACCAAAATACGCTCAAAATATCAGGATCGAACGTCCTTAACGCACAAGTAAAATAACGTCATGTTTCTGCATACTATGTCATCAGTTTCAGAGAGTGGTGATATGGATTCAGAAAACCACAGTGTGGTGATCCAGAAAGTCAGATCATGACGTCACATGATTGCATATAATCAACAGTAAAATTGAGTGATACACATTAGGTATATAATGAAATTTATCTTATAATCATGTTTTTCCTGTCTGTCCTGTTGATGCAAGTTTTTATTTTGCAATATTTACTTCGCTGTGTATTTCTACAAAGCCAACTGTGAAATTGTTTTGAAAGTCATTTTTGTGTATACTCATGCGTAGAAATATACAAGGAGAAACAGGCGCTAACCTGACGTCACAATAAGGCTACAGCAACGTTAGAAAAAGTATAAGGATATATGGGAAGCGAGAAATTCAAATATTGAGTATATTTTTGGTGCTTCCAAACATGTAAAATGTAAATATAAGGAATGTTTTTAAGTTTAGTGTGAATTATTGGTGTGTGAATCACACAGACTTGCATGTAGGTGTATATTTCATGAAGCACGCAAGCACTTCCATGAAACATAGGTAATCAGAGATTACAGAGCTCACCTCAACGAATGTTGTCTTTAAGTAAGGCAAAGTCACACAATTAACCAACAAAAAGTGAATATCCAAAAATGCAAAATTTATGCAATTTTGATTTGATACTTTGGAATAGACCTATATAAAAACTTTGAACTAGTTCTTCATCATGAAAACGTAATTAAAACCCAGCATCTGAAGCGAGTTTGAGAGTTTTCATCCCTTGATGCATCATTTGTGCAAGTTTGGTTTATATAAGCCTTATAGTTTCTTGGTAATAGACCTTCACCCATAACTTTTATGAGGTCCATTATCTGGAAAATGTATGTCAAATTCAGCATCTGAAGCAAGTCCATTAGTGTGCATCCTAAGATGTATCATCCATGCAAGTTTGCTCAACAGAGAGCTCAAAGTTACTTGGAAAGGAAACCTGTATAAAAAAAACTTACCTTTTCACTAATCCAGAAAATGTAGGTCAGATTCAGCATCCGAAGCCAACCTAGTAGAATGCACCCTTAGATGTACCATCCATGGAAGTTTGGTCATTAAAGACTCATAGTACCTTGGAAATGAAATCTGCACCAAAAACTTTAACCTGTTCAATCAACTGGAAAATGTAGGTCAGATTCAGCATCCGAAGCAAGTCTGGTAGTATGCATCCTAAGATGTATCATTCATGCAAGTTTAGTCATTATAGGGCTCATAGTATCTTGGAAATGAAACCTGCACCTTAAACTTTAACCTGTTCACTCAACCTGAAAATGTTTTTCAGATTCAGCATCTGAAGCAAGTCTTGTAGTATGCATCCTAAGATGTACCATCCATGCAAGTTTAGTCGTTATACGGCTCATAGTAACTTGGAAATGAAACCTGCACCAAAAACTTTAACCTGTTCAATCAACCGGAAAGTGTAGGTCAGATTCAGCATCCGAAGCAAGTCTGGGAGTATGCATCCTAAGATGTACCATCCATGAAAGTTTGGTCATTATAGGGCTCATGGTATCTTTGAAATGAAACCTGCACCAAAAACTTTAACCTGTTCAATCAACTGGAAAATGTAGGTCAGATTCAGCATCCGAAGCAAGTCTGGTAGTATGCATCCTTAGGTGTATCATCAATGCAAGTTTGGTCACTATAGTGCTCATAGTTTCTTGGAAATGAGACCTGCACCGAAAACATAAACCTGTTCACTCATGCGGAAAATGTAGGTCAGATTCAGCATCCGAAGCAAGCCTGGTAGTGTGCATCCTAAGATGTACCATTCATGCAAGTTTGGTCAACATAGGGCTTATAGTTACTCGGAAATGAGACCTACACCAAAAACTGCACCAAAAATGTTAACCTGCTCCAAATACATTAACCTGGTCATTCCTTTGCTGAAATTGCAGCATCTGAAACTTTGACTGGTACAATGAAACACACTGGAAACATCTTCCATGCATGTCTAATAGAAGTACTTAAAAAGAAAACTGCTCCAAAAAACTTAACCTTAACCCAGGACGCCGACACAGACACCGACACCATTAACACCAATAACTCACACAAAACTTTTTTAAAAAATTCCTTAATTACTTGTGATGTTAGAATTCATTACATGTAGACTGGATTTCCCCCCAAGATTTCTTTGGTAAGACAAGAATAAACCATTTTATTAATAATATTTGATTTATTCCTTGAATGCAAGACTGAAAACATGATCAGCATTAAATATCTTGATTTTTTTTTCAACAAAATAAGAGAACTTTGATGCTAGGTGTGTATAACATTAGTATATTTAAGAGAACGAACCTGAGAAATTGGAAGCTATGTCAATGTGGTTACAGTTAAATCCGCCCATACAAAGACCACCCATCCCTACAGCAAATGTTACTATGACAACCACTGCAGCATGATCACAACCAGCAAACTGGACACAACACAGAAGGATTGCAGGTAAAAGTAAACCTGAAATTCAAGTACAGTTGTACTGAATTATTTCTAATGCTTATGTCTAAGTAAGCTAGCAGTCCCTATCAGTGTTTCTGTTTTACAATCGTTTTCTCAATTTCTCAAGTATCTAAAGTTTAATCTTCGCAGTTATGATAAGGCTGTCCGAAGGCTTAAAATGCCTAAAAATTCACATTTTATTTTGAGCTAGATTTTAATTTCAATATGTAATCCTTGCTTGAATTGCAGTCAACTTGAAATAACAGTTTCATCAGGTATTATAATAACTTAAAGCATTTTTGTGATGTCACATGGGTGTGTTAATCATGTGACAGACATTTATCATAATCTTAAATATTGCACAAAAATCACTTTGGCACAAGTGCAAAACAAATTTATAATGCAAAGTTTGTTACATGGATCAATTCATCGTGATCTCTGGTATATATTAAGTGCTGGGGGCAGGTTTAATTTTTACTTCTAAAAAAAATATTTTACGAGAAATTCAACTTACCAACATAAGAAAGGGTATTTTTATATTTCCACTCTTTATCACGATTTAGACAAAAATGGATAAACTACACACAATCCCCCAGCAAAATTCAGTTAGAGGACATCTTCTCTTATAGATTCACACAGAATATCTTCAATTTATCCTTGTTTATCACTTGTCCCACTCGAATATAAACACGATTCATAAATTCTAACTCTGTCTACGGATGTGTAAGGGGAGTGTTTCACATATAATTTTTCGCTATTGTTTGAATAAGTGGACAAGCAAAAAGAAATAGGGATATCTAAATTTCAAATGTTCAACATCATAACAGCACACTGGAGCTAAAAAAGCAATCCCAACACTTAAATTAAATAATAACGCCCTCCAAAAAATCTACATGCCATGTAAAAATTATGACTCTTTCCCTGTCATGTCATCTCAAGTATGCAGTGACTTGACGTCATATTCTATTATAACGTCATATCTATAGGTAGTTCAGTATTTTATGGGCAGCCTTATCCTAGCCACGTTTGTCCTGCCAAGTTCATGAGGTCATAAAGTAATGAAGATTAACAGTAATGTTCAAATCTTCTACTCCTTAAGCATCCATAAATTCTTGCAGGCCCTAGTGAGTTTATTCACAAAGGTTTTGTATAAATATTTGCATCTCAAAGTAAATGTATTTTAGAAACATATTACTATAAAACCCTTTGTTCAACACATTATCATCAGTTTTCTGACATAAACCAGGCTATTGTGACGTCTACTTCTCTTGGGAGTTTTTGTTCAACGAACGAGAACTATATTGCGGGAAAATACACTAGGTGTTCCAAAGAGGTGGAATATGATGAAAAGCGTGCCGACGGCCGGGAAATATGAAGTTTTACGGCCCGATCACTTGATAACTTTGAACCAATCAGATAACGCGTTGTTTAGAATATTTGTAATGAGGTATAATAAGAAGTTATATTTGAATAGTAAACAAAGTAGTCTGTCAAATCATGTGTGTGCAAATGATTCAATTTGCCAGATGCCTCAAATGGAATCAACTGTGACTGATCAGAAAAATATGAACATATGATACAGTATAAAACCAGAAGTCTCTGTCGAGACTGTAGCTCTACTGGTTTGTACTGATCAAAAACCGATGCACAGAATTATGTATCTTAGTGTAGTATACTTGTGTGATAAGTTACATTGAAATCAGACCAAAACTGTAGAAGGAATAGCATTTTAAAGGAATTCCACAGAAAATTCTACTTTTAGTAACCATGGCAACACCGTTCATCGAAATCAAAAACCGATGCACAATTATATGTAAATTCGTGTAGTTTACTTGTGTGCCAAGTGATAATGAAATCAGACCAAAACTGTAGAAGGAGTAGTGTTTTAAAGGAATTTCTCAGAAAATTCTATTTTTAGTAACCATTGCAACATCGCTCATCGAAATCAAAGTCCGATGCACTATTTTATGTATCTTAGTGTAGTCTACTTGTGTGCCAAGTGATATTGAAATGAGACTTAAACTGTAGAAGGAGTAGCGTTTTAAAGGAATTTCACAGAAAATTCTATCTTAAGTAACCATGGCAACATCGTTCATGGAAATCAAAAACCGATGCACTATTTTATGTATCTTAGTGTAGTCTACTTGTGTGCCAAGTGATATTGAAATGAGACTAAAATTGTAGAAGGAGTAGCGTTTTAAAGGAATTTCACAGAAAATTCTATTTTTAGTAACCATAGCAACATCGTTCATCGAAATCAAAAACCGATGCACTATTTTATGTATCTTAGTGTAGTCTACTTGTGTGCCAAGTAATAAGTCTACTTGTGTGCCAAGTAATACTGAAATCAGACTAAAATTGTAGAAGGAGTAGCGTTTTAAAGGAATTTCACAGAAAATTCTATTTTTAGTAACAATGGCAACATCGTTCATCGAAATCAAAAACCGATGCACTATTTTATGAATCTTAGTGTAGTCTACTTGGGTACCAAGTTATATTGAAATCAGACTAAAATTGTAGGAGGAGTAGTGTTTTGAAAAATTGTTTACAGACAGACAGACGGACGGACGCCGGACGCATTACTATCGCATAAGCTCTTCTGGTCTCTGACCAGTAGAGCTAAAAAGACACTGGACAGACTTGTTTATTAAAATGTACACATACCACATGAGTTGACAAGTTTTCTTGTAGCAGCGGTACTTAGATAGTTATTCCGTCTTATGAAGTCAGCAATTTGTCCTGATGACATCTGACATATCCAGCAAACCAAATAAGGCAAAGCAGACAGAAATCCATCCTGCGTAAACAAGTATAAAGTTATGTAAATACAAAATCAACTTGAGGTATTATGAGCAAGTTCATCAAATAATACTTCATGCTTCATTCCTTGTACTTTTTCCAAGTGCCTCTTTACAGATTTGTAAATGTAAGCATGAACTTGCCAAAATGAACTTGGGTAAAAAAGACCATATTCTTATCACAAGTACATGTAACCTTACAGTAAGGCCTTGCAAAGTTAATTCCTTGGTTCTCGGGCCTTTTTTCAAGAAATATGATGAGGGAGGGAGGCATTCTTTTTTTACTTTTTATTGGCCCCAAAACACGACGAGGCACCTATTTACATTCTACAAAACCTCAAAGAATGATGAGGGAGGTGATTTGTTTTTTTTTTTTATTTTATTGATTTAGCAATAAAGGGTCAATGAGGCACCCTTGGAAGAGATGAGGGAGGGCCTGAGAACCAAGAAATTTAATTTTTTTTGGCCTAAGCCATGTTTGTGAAACACTTATGACCCCTCCTCCTTTGGGCATACATAAAAGAGTGCAAAAGCCTTTTTGTGGCCAGTATACATAATGGGCAGTGTCCATTGAAATGAAAAATTTGTATTTGAAACCTATGCGAAGAAAATGAACAGAAACTACATAACTCTGTCAAAAGTTGCTTGATCATACACAAAGCAAAACCAGATATTCTTATGAAAATATGATTACCAAATTTCAGTTCAGTTCATGCAATTTCTTCAAAGAAAATGAATTAAAAATTTGGTGGACAGACAGATGGACTGACAGACAGCAGCAATGCAATATGCCCTTTTTTCTTTGAAGAGGGGCATAAATATGGACATTTTTTTAAAAAAAAAATCATGAATCTGACAAGGATTTTACACATCTGCTCAGATGAGCTAAAAGCCAAATCAAATCTTTCCAATCAATTACCAGGTGCATAAGTGCTTTTAATACCTATGATTTACATTAGATTCAATATCTTAAACTTAATTTGTCTGATTTTTACCCTTTGATAAATCAAGAATATTTACTCTGTCTTGATTTGGGACCTCAGTTTTTTAGTTCTAATTTAACATAAAATGCATTGAAATTAATGATGCATTTAATACCTGTTGCACATCAAAATGAAGAATCCTTTTCATATAGCTAGGTAAACAGGTTAGCATAGTGTAAAATCCCCAGTTGTTTGAAAAATGGGCAGCACAGATAGCATACACAGCAGGGGAGGTCCATATAGCCAGCCAGGGGGTCTTCAGTTTCTAAAAATAGGAATCATGATTTGTTTTTAATTGGACACTTCTAGTTCATTTCAACCAGCTGAAATTCAGTTTGGTTATGCAGATGTAAATCTAGACTTAGAGATGTTTCAAGTTTCCTATTCAATGTCAAAAGGAATAAAAACATTGTCCATGCATTATTCGAGGTTTTTATTATATACCAATCTTAGGCTAGAATATGATGCTTGTTAGCATTCTATTGTTTCTATGAAAAAAATTATCATACATATTTCAAAAGAAACAGAATGATGTGTTTTTTATTTTAAGAAAGAGAGAGCAAGAGTGAGAGAGAGAGAGAGGAGAGCAACAGAGAGAGAGAGAAAGAGAGAGAGAGAATGTAAAGGTTCAAGTTAAGAGAACAGCAGATTCCATCTGTTCCACTGGGTATCAAACTTTTCCTTTTTACCATTCTTATAAGAGATAATTTTTTGTGTTTCATAATGAAATTTCATTTGTGATATTGCATTTTGTACATTAATAGGTTTCTTTGTGCACCTTGCAGTATAAATATAGTATTTAAGCCAAAGAAGAATAGCATTTTGAATATCAGTATTTTCCTCAATAAATCCTAAAATAAAAGATTTCTTAGTAACATTTATCATTAGACCAGTTTTATCTTCAATCAAATGCACAAATTCTTCAAGAAAAAATTGTGTATTATCGCATTCCCATAGAAGGTGTTCTATTGTTTCATCCGCAGTATGACAAAAACTGCATAATTTACAGTCATTTTTTTTTTATTTTGAATAAAAATGAATTTGTTGATAAGATTTTGTTTAAAATCCTATATTGAAACCATTGGATTCTACAGTCTTTTGTTACCCTAAAGGGTATCATGTAAATTTTTTTCCATTCCTGAGTTCCGACTTCTAAAAGCTCACTCCAATACGTTTTACCTGTTGCAACAGAAGAATTTTGAATAAGGATTTCATAATACCATTTGGATTTTCTACATCTCATTACTGTGTAGATATTAGACATAATTATGGGATTAGTGATCTTTTTTATTGTTTTTTATTGACCAGAATTTTTCATCCAATCCTTTATAGCATAAATAATACTGATGAATTCCAAACAATTAATTCTTAGATTTGGATAGGTGTTGCAGAAATGCTCATAAGAAAATAGTGAACCATCCTCATTAATGATATCACTAATTTGTCTAATGTTGCTGTCAAACATTTGTTTATTAAAAAACGGTTTTCCACCAATATGCAAATGTGGATTGTAAAATAGTGGTGAGTCACCAGCAACATCAAATTTTTTCTCAAGATTTTGTAACATTATCCAGGACTTAAAAACATCTATCCAAAATTTATTTTTTAATGTTTTTTTTAAAAAGTTGCAGTATATTCAATTCTCAAATTATAAATCTGTTTAAATCAAATTTAGGAATGAGGTTTTCCACCCCTTATTAGTAAAAATAAGATGTCTTATCCAAAATAATTTCAAGGAGGATATAAAAGATGTCAGATTTAACATTTTCAAACCCCCCTCTTCATATTTTTTCACAATTACTTCTTTCTTTACCCTATGGGTTGAATTATTCCATATAAATGAAAAAAACATTTTTTCAAGTTCCTTACAGAATGTTTCAGAAGGATTTGGGATAGACATTAAAATATGATTTAGTAATGGTAGAACTAATGTTTTAATAACTGTAATTTTCCCTATGGGAGTTAAATACCTTTTCTCCCATTGTTTAAGTATTGATTTAATATGTACCAGTTTTGGTTCATAATTTAATGCAAGTATTTTATCCAATTCTACATCAAAATGTATTCCGAGAAGAGTAAATCTGGTAGTTCCCCAGTTAAGTTTATAATTTGGCAGCAAAATTTCATCACTAAACTTTTTTGAGCCTATCCACACTATGTGAGTTTTGGAATAATTGATATGTAATCCAGACATTTCTGAAAATGTATTAAGTGTTTGCAATGTTTCTGTGAGGGACGTTTTACTACCATCAAGAATAATTGATGTATCATCCGCTAACTGAGAAATCTTTTTTTCAGTATTGTTTACAGTAATCCCTTTAATATTTTTATTTAATCTAATTTGGATTGCTAGAATTTCTGCACATATAATAAATATATATGGTGACAAAGGATCACCTTGCCTGCAGCCCCTCTGAAAGTTAATTCTATCAGAGAGATTTCCACCTTGGTTTATTGCAGATGTAATATCTGTATTAAAAAGGGATACCCACTTCTTAATTGAGGGACCAAAGTTAAAAAAGTAAACTCCTTAAATCTTATAGACTTTATCTTATATAATCTCAAAACCTTCACAGAGGGCTGTCTTTAACTCTTACTAGTCTTGTTCCTACAGAGGCCTCTATGTAATTTCTCTCCTCCCTTGATATCCGTGGATGTTCAGCAGGGGTGTCATGTACAACCAGCATCCAAATAACAAACCACACACAGCCAATAGCACCTAACATAATATTATCAAATTTTTAATGTTTAATTCATCTCTTTTTTTTTTTATTTTTATGAGTCATTCAAACACCATTCATTTCTTTTAACAAACCTCTTTATTCTACAATGTTGTAGTTTTTCTTTGACACTTACCAAACACGTAAAATACAGATGGCCAGCCACCTAAAAAGTCCGAGTTACACAGGATCCCAGAGATAGGCATGGAGAACACAGTCCCTAACTGGGCCCCTGTAACGAGATTAATTAGAGGGTTATATTATACATGTATAAGAGTATACTAATTTCTCTCATGGAGGCCCAGGGGCCTTGATCATGATGAGAGTCACACACAATGAAACTATCATGCACAGTCTGTAATATTTGTAAGCTCATTAAAGGAAATAATTATATGGATTGGAATACATACTTTGTATTTTTATTGCATTGTTTTATAAAGAAGCTAACCAGCTTTATGCCACATGCACGCTGAATGAAACTGATGCCAAATTTGTCTGAAATAAGTTCCAGAGTAAAAGGAATATTCTGGAGATGCTGACTTGATGGCATAAATTGAATCAGAGTTTCAGAAAAAGCGATGAAAATATTCAATTTTTAAATGCTGTGTTGATTAACAGACAATGAGTTGAAAAAAATGTCAAAAGTCGACTGATCACTTATCTTATGTATTGTAACAATTAGTCTCATTTACATGTATGGTCTGATTTATATTTTCATTTTCCTGAACTATATTTTTCAGATAAATTCTTAAATAACATAGCATTATCTAAAAAAAACTTTAAACTAAAGAGAGTACAAAATGGCATTACGTTTCAGTCATACCAGTACATCTCAGAATAAAGAGCTGAGGCAGTGACAACTGACAACATACATTGAGTAAAATACTTGTCTTACTATCAAGCCAAAGTATTCAGTGATATGGTCCATTCAGTTTGGATATATGGTGAACAATAAGACATCCTTAGTCCAAGTTAAAGTATTTCTGATAATTATAACATTTAAAACATTACATCTAATTTTTAAAAATTAAAACAGGCTACTGACAAATAAGTTTATGAAGCAAGGCTTATAAAAATTTCCCTTCAAGTCCCTTGACGAGTTTCAATGAGTCCATGTTTTTTGCCTTGTTCATGACTCATATTCTCTACTCAGTTTATGAAATTGTTTATTATCTTTAACCTTTTAAACATCTTGTGGGGAAATCATTCAATGAACATGCCAACATGCTTGTATTATGCATGATATTCTAATCAATGAATTGAATGTGTGTTAAAATCAATGAGGCCAACAACAAAAATAGATTTGTTTGATGTACTCTGACCAACCCATAAAATCGACCCTACCCAATATTTTTTTTCAGTACTTGAATCTTTAATTTGTTTAGTTTCCAAGGAAATTGACTTTGTTTCATTTTGAAGATTTATAATTTATCAAAGAAGCTTTTTCAATGAAAGTTTTAAATAAACATTTAAATCTGTCCTGTCTAGTGTATAGTAAAACATCAAAATTTTAAAGTATTTGGGGTTTTTTGTGACAATCGATAATCAATTTGTCAGATAGCAAAAAAATTTCCTACCTACCCACCCACCTTGAAAAAAGTGGGACGCAGTACAGAAAAAAAAAATTGTAAATATGACCTGATTTCTTCAGGCTAACATTTTTAGATTTTTATATACTTTATTATTGATATTAATCACACATTGGCAAATAACATTTATAAAATTATGAACCATATCACTTTAAGTTAGAGTCATGTAAACCTATCTGCAGATCTGTAGCTCTCCAAAAAAATAGATTGATAGACCGGAGAGCTACAGTGCCACCCATTGAAAAAACTGTATATTTATTGTGCACAAAAGAGAGTGCTCGGTTCTTTAATTCTTCCAAATTCTTACCTCAATTGCAACAAATGGAAGATTTTAAACATTCCTTTATTCCTTTCTCCTCTATCAAGTACTCTCGTATAGTTGACATCTGAACGAAGCATATTGGACCGAATAATCTTTGAAACCATAGTGGCAGTATAAATAAGTGAAATGTTCTATGATTACAATATCAGGGTCAGGAGAACTATTAACAACAATTATGAGGAATATTTGGTTGTGGAAACAGCGAAAGAATATGTACGGAACACACGTTTAGTAACGTTTTGAGATCACAGTTTAAAAACATGGAGAAATAAATCGAGAACCGAGCGCACTTTTTTGTGCTCAATAAATATACAGTTTTTTCAATGGGTGGCACTGTAGCTCTCCGGTGTATCAATCTATTTTTTCAGAGAGCTACAGATCTGCAGCTAATGTAAACCAGGATATTTGTCAGTCATTGCTAGACTTGTCTGCATTTTAAACTTACCTTCATTTTGATCATGGATTCTGTCAGTATGATAAACGAATAAAATTTCATTGTAAAAATATCAGAAAACATGTATATAGCATGCAAGATTTATGGACTAAATCAATGTGTGCACCTATATTGACGTTAAATGCACATTACAAAATAATTTTTCTGTTTTAATTGCATAAAATATTTGCTTATTACAAACATTAAAGAAGCACGTCATTACTTGTGACATAATAAAATGCAATAAAATTTGATTTTAGCATAAGTAAAGTCACAAACTAGCATAGGTAAAATGACAAAGTAACTCACCAGCATATGTAAAGCTCAGTAGTTTACTTCGCTCCCAGAGAGGAGCCCATTTCCCCCACATGGCATTCATGGCTGGAAAAGTCACTCCCTAACAGAGCAAAAATAATGTTAATGACATCACACAACAACTAAAAGATGAAAAAGATCAATAGTCTATAGATATAAATGTGTAAATGTTCACATGGGTAACTGGTATACTGTAAATCACTTTTTATTCACAAGAACTTTATTTTCGCGTAATTACGCGAGACGGTATGCTCGCGAAAATTTTATTCTCGCGTATAATAGAATTCTTTAAGATTATATAGAGCAATGACCACAATTCGAGAAAATTTTGTCTCGCTAATAAAGAGTCAATGACTATCTCGCGAAAATAAGGTGTCGCGAAAATTAAGTGATCTACAGTATACATGTATATATCAGTACTTATATATGATTGATTGTATGTTGTTTAACATCCTATTCAAGAATTTTTCATTCATATAGAGACGTCACCATATTGCTGTGAAGGGCTTCAAAGAACTGCTAATGATAGCATTGTTCTCCCGCCTACCTCCAAGTCAATTTTCAAAAGTTAACATATTCGATGAATTTTTGATATTTTTTATAGATAATTATATGGATTTTCATAAAAATAATACTTTTTTGGGGAAACAAAAAGAGATAACTCTAAAATTTTGGTAAAACTTGTGTTTTTTACTATAGAAGTAAATGGAAAACGGAAAAAAATTTTAAAACAGCTTCCCCCCCCCCCCCCCCCCCCCCCCGCGCAAAAATTCCTTTTTACAGGTAATATTGTAACATGGTTGAGCCAGGCTATCTCCAAATAACACTCAAGACAGTTCCAATTAAAGAAATTTATTTACAAAATGAAAGAAAAATATATTTACATAATCACACTAACATTCACACGCACTTGCACACCTCTCTTTCACATATAATTGTACGAAAAAAAATCAATAAACCTTATAACTTGACAGACAGACAGACTAAATGTTTCTTTATAAAATTATCTCAGATTATAACTTATATTGTTGCCCTGTAATCAGTGTTCACTTGCACAGTTCTTTATATCTAGGTTTGCCACAATCACGAGCTCTAAGTTCTAGTTCCTTTCAGATCGACTTATCTGAATCTCAACACCAAAAGTTTCAGCTTAGGTTCATCAATCGTCCGATCGCTTCTGGGGCTGTAGTCCCGGAACTTTTGGATTGGCGATGATGACCCTCAGAAAGCTTGACCGTATTTGTCCCATCTGAATCGTAAGCTCACTCAGCTACGTCCTCGTACTTTACCAACGTCATAACACTACAATTTACAGGACTCATAAGTTTTCTAATAAGGCATGACATAATATAATGGCAACACTTAATGATATTATATTTGGATAAAGTATAAATGGAATATGTCTGTCTAAATAATTCAACAAGTTATGATATAAAGCATACATTGTATTGTAAATTCAAAACGATATGGCAACCACTTCCGGTTGCTCACTTCCGCCCAATACATTAAAGAATTCACCAAAAAAATATCAAGCACAAAAATACACCTAAAGAAACACTCAAAAGTGACACAAATAAAGTCATACAATATTCTATCGACAGTAAAAGAACTGGGTATTTAAACTCTCACACAGGTAAGTTAGACAAGTGAATGTAAGCCAAGGTTATACTTAGGTCACTCGATAAACAAGAATACTTACAAAATACACTCTAAGAATAAATTCAAAAATACAAAATATACATACCACGGTCTGCTCTCCGTGCCTTTTGTTACTACTTAGGTTCTGTACGTTGCATACTGCAAAATATACTGCCCCTGCAGTAAACTCAACTGCCCTCTAATGTACGTCTTACTCACACGGCAGCTCACCCGGGAATGTCCCAGCCTATTTAATCACGTGACTTTTGCAATGACAAAGAACTTTGGAAATCATTGTTACAGGCCATAAAGCTAACCTGATACACAAGTGATTGTCACAAATTGGACTGTTATTTCACAAATTCATACCAAGCTTTTTGTGTGACACAGGGGGAAACATATGTTTATTGACAAAAAACGACAAAAATGCTTGTTTTCCACCAATCCCAAAGTGATTTACAACTGAAACATTATATTTTATTGATATATTTATGTTTTATTTATTTGCCTAAAACATAAGAAAAGATAAGGAACATTTAATGATATCCAAGACTATTTCAAAATATGGTGATGCCTGAAAGTCCGATTTCAATGGAAAATTTCGTCTTCCCCCCTTTTTTCAAGAGCTAGAGGTATGGCTAATTTACTATTTAGCGCTGGTATTAAGACAATTCATCAATTTCCATTGAACTGTTCTTTGTATTAAACAAAGAATATATTGACAAATTGCCATTTATATTGAAATATTTACATTTTCAATTGTTTTCCTTTACATAACACTACTGAAAGCAATGAGTATCTATAACTGTATAAATACCGTTACGGGGTCAAGAGATCATAGATGTGCGTATGAATAAACGATCGACATAATTTCTCTGTGACATCATAAAGGGTCTACGCACGTTCAGTGGATTACATACATGCCGTTGGGTTTGAAAAATAATGCATTTCGCACGTTAAAAGTAACAATCAGGCAAATATAACATATGAATAAGTCACAAATGTAAATATAAGTAATAAGGTATCATTTTAAAACATCTATCGGGCTATAAATATGGGTTGGTAGGAGATTAAATTCATCATAAAGCTCTTCGGGCTTTATGGAATTTAATCTCGTGACCAACCCGTATTTATATCCTGATAGATGTTTAGAAATGATACCTTATTTCTTAATTAAATGGTTGCAAAATGTACTCAGGGCCACTGAGCTGCTATTTGAGCAGTGAGGGATGTTTATAGTACCCCGGTATATACCTTTGTAATTTAAAGCATATAAACTACAAAGCTGTGACAGCTTTTATCATTTAAATTCTTGACTTTTTTAGTGGCTATCAAGTACTGATTTGTGTTTTAATTAGAACTTAATAACTGATAGAATGAATTCATACAAACATTATATTAAAATTATGTAAAACTGAAAGTAAAAATCACCTCTCCAATTCCTTCTACAATTCTGAGAGCAATGAAGACATACAAGTTCCACCGAGCTGCCAGGGGGGTCAATAAGGTTAGAACAGCTGTACACAGGACTCCCAGTCCAAACAGCTTTTTACCCCCAAACACCTCCGCCAGCCACCCTCCAGGAATCTGGGTCAGGATGTAACCATAGAAAAAGGCCCCCAGTACTAGGGACTGGGTGTTTGTATCCCAATCAAATTCACCCTGTGAATCATAAATAAAAACATTCATCGCTAAAATTTCTGATCATTTCATCAAATCACTTTTGCATTAACATTTCAACATAGTGATAATGCTTGTCCTCAATTATGTAAACAACGAAAGATTATTTTTCCACTTCAACAGAGAACTTTCTACAATAAATTTTTACTTACAGTACTAGTTGAGGATGTATTGGCAGGAATGTCATTTTTACAATCTGTACTATTATCCAAAGAATCACTTTTTGAGGAGTTTACCATAGCAACTAAGGCAACACTCAGATTTACACGTAAACAGTAAACATTAAAGAATCCTAAGAATCCCCACAAAGCTAAAACATGCCGACTTCCAAAACCTGTAAAACATGTAAAATAACAATTATACATGTGTATATAGATGTACTGCTGGTATTCCTTTTGATCTATAATTGAATATCATCATTGAAATAATAATGAACTATTTTATGCAGGATAGATATGCAAATATTATAATAAATGCATTATTTGATAATTCAAGTTCTTAACATCAATTGCATGTGCATAATTTAATCAATTTCACATTACATGCAATTAATTTAATACATTTTATACTAGTGACATAATGACATTGCTTTGAAATGCCTACAACTGCAATTCTAAATTTGAGATTAAAATGAAAAAAATTATTTCTATTAACATTATCTGTACAAATATGGATAGAAATCACAACTGAATTAGGAGCTGTACACCCAAGTTGTAACCATGCATGCCTGGTTGTGCATAAGACCATGGGAGCAAGGCGATTTCCCCACCTGTAATTATGACATAATCTCCAGCTATTCATCATTTCCCGAGAAATCCAAGAAATCTCCCTACTCTTAAAATTTTCCTTTCTAGACAACACCTTACCTGGGGGTGCACTTGCATGTGTTATTCTCCCCAGAAGGGGTTCCTTATCCATGGACTTTGGTTTAAGGTAATCCATAGGATCTTCTGTACTTGAATCAAAACTCATTGTCATTAATTTCTCCCAATCCTATAGTACAGTTGCAACCCCCTAGTCCAAAACATACACACAGTGACACACACTTTATCAGTGGCAAATGTACTTCACTAAGTGAATGTGTCCTCAGTTTGTGATAAGATGTAAACCATCATTTATCATAAGAGCTGCAATCACCCCAATGTAAACGTTTGTTTTTATCATTTATCAGCTGATTTCCAGTACACAACTTTTACCTTTACAATGCAGAAGAGTGTTGGCAAGAGAGATAACTCTAAAAAGATCTACTTAAACTTTAAGAAAACTTTATTTTATATTTATCATTTCTATATTTACATTTCAAAAAAATGTAAACATCATTTAAAAAGATACTTATAAGCTTTATTTAAGGAAAAAATTAGTAAGAATGTATCAGCACATTAAGAGAGTATGTACATGTACTATGTACAAGGAAAGTTTATGTCATAATTGATGTACATGTATACATATATATGTAAAGTTAATTTAAAATGTCTTTCATGATTTCAGAAATAGATTCAGCGAGTGGCTTGGATAAGAGTAGATTCTTCCATTCTTTGATGCTTCTCTGTGTCTCTGAATCTTCCTCTAAAATTACATTGAAGTACTCACTATAGTGATTCATCAGTATGGTTAAAGCATTGTGCAAGGTGCTATCTCTAATGTTAACAGTCTTAGACAAATCCCGGGAGTCGATGCCCCGGACCTGGTAAAATTGGAAGCGGGCATGTGGAAATTGCACATTTACAAGCCCGAAGGGCATGTAAATTCTAAGGCATAAGCCTTGGTATAATCAAATTAAATAATACCAATAGCATTAAATGTACTTTAAAGTCTTTGATTTTCCATCTAAATTGAAGTACAAAATAAAATTTTACTGACAATTTATTTTAACGCGATTTCCAAGGAACTCTTCTGCAAAGGAGACACAAAAAGTGTACAGGTTGAAAACAAATGGCGAGACAATAAATTGACAGAATGGACTTCAGATCATTTCCTTGGCACGAAAAGGAAAATGAGAATAATATATAAACTTGATAAAATTCTGGGCATGTAAATATTTATTATACTTCTGTTAAAATGTTTCCTATATAAAGTTCAGAAGGTAAAATAGCTATCCTTTATAGTCCACGCATAGCAAAGCTATACCCCTGGGTATAGTTTTTGCTATCCACCCTCGTAAAATTTTCATGTAATAGTTGCCGCCAATTTTGATTTCCAGCGATAAATCTTTAAACTGATGATGTCATGATGACTTCAGTAGCATTGTGACGTCATCAGGATTTCAAATTATTCTTGCAGAATTATCTTACTCCAAAAAGAATTTCAAACCTCAGAAATTATATTATACATCAGTGCAATAAATTATTTTAAAATGTCTTTCAAACCCTCAGAAATAGAGTCGGGCAAGCCCTCGGGGAGTAGTTCCATTCGGGTTTGATGTTTCTCTATGTCACTCACATCCAGTGGATAAGTGTATATTATTTGGGCTAGCATAATTGTTGATCACACCTGCCCGAAGGGCATGTGCTGAAAAAAAGATTTTGCGAAGACTGTGTTAAATGTACATTCTTTGACCTACCTATCTGTACTTTGTCTGGTAGAACATTTAATAATCTAAAGACCAGCTTTATTCTATAGAGTTGCTTGGGGTCCTCCAACTTGATCTCAACATAATCATAACTTGATGTGTTCTGTATGTCACAAGAAAAACCACTGCTTTCAATCATTTCCTGAAATAAAATTTTTAAAAAATTATTTCAAAAATTAAAATTGCTTGCTTTGGTAATAATACAGTTAAAACTGATTTTTAGACATCTTTGCAATACATGTATTCCATCATTTTGATGTCCTGTACCATAAAAATGTTGCAAAATAAAATTTCAAGCCTTACTCATTTCTATCAAACAGACCTTGACTCTTCTTTGTTCCTCTCTTTTGAAAATGAAAGCTTGCACATAGTTTTTAATGATGGACAGAAATGATGCAATATCTCCTTTTGTCAGGTGTTCTTTCTCCAGCTGAAGTGTGGGAATGAACTCAGGCAATGAATGCCGCTGTATCACATTTCCAGTATTGTTCTCCTTTAACTCTATAAGGTAGGATTCTACAACAGTATCATAATAGGAGGCATCCAAACAAACTGTAAACTGGCTCTTGTCCTCGTGACACACATGTGTACCTGAAAAAAAAAACACCAATAAAAATGCTGAGGTTTGAAATCAATCGATTCATATATAATCTTTTCAACAGACTTAGGTAAGGCCCCAAAAAATTAATTAATAGTTTCTCAGGCACCGCCGCATCGCTAATAATGCCATTGAAATTAAATACTTGAAAAGGGAAATAACTCAATTTTTGAATTTTCCAAGTTGAAAAAGAAAATCGAGTTATTCCCCTTTTCATAAATGCTAAGATAGACGTTTTTATTAGAAAAACAATATATTTCTTCTAAATTTACAGTATTTTATTAATTAACTTTTAAATAGATGTTTGGAATAACATTATTTACAGCTGAATACATTATAATTTATTTCAGAGAACAAAAATTAAGAATTAGTAGATATTATCATTTTATTAAGAACCCTCTCTACACTGCACATTAAAGAGTTCTGATTCTATGGTATTTTTTGCAGTTAGAGTGATCTGCCCTTAGATTTTTTAGAATTCTTAAAATTAGAAAATCACAGTTTATTACACAATTTGTAATCATTTCAGGTATTCTTAACATTTTAAAAGGCCAAGATAAATTAATTGAACATGTTATTTACATGTATTTTCCTTTAACAACAGTGATTTTTATTCACTGATACTGTGTTGTGTTTGATTATTTTTCCTACAACATATGTTGAAAATCATATAAATAAGCTCAATACTAACACCTTTATAGAATATATTTTTCTCAATATCCAAAAAACATTTTGTACTGGTGTAGAGAGGGTCCTTAAACAAATGGCTTAAAAATTGTGTAAAAACCTGCTTCAAAAAAAAAAAAAAAAAAATAAAATGCTGAGGTTTGAATTTTGAATTTTTTTCCTGAGATATATAATTAATTAATTTTTTTTGGCCTAAATGATAGATATTTGCAAAAATTCTAGAACACTTAAAAAAATTTCATTCTCCTCTTTCTCTCTCAAATATCTTTCATACTCCTTTACTCTGGAAACTTTGCTTTGATGCAAACCATGTTAATTTCATTATTACCGGTATACAATATTAAATCACATAAATTTTTAGAGTTCAAACAAAGCAAATAAACATACATTTAAAATCTTTATTAAAAAGATTTGTGGGGAGGATGAGATATTGTCATAACTTCTACCAAACTGATGTCAATGATATCTACATATATATAATTTCTTAAAAGTTGTTTATGCCTCATGCATTTATCCCCATTCCTCTCTCTCTGAAACTGCCTCTCAGATTAATTTTTAAAGTTGCCTGATGTTCTAGAATTTGATATCAATGTGATTTATTATTCTGTATTTTCAGACGACTATTATAGACCTTCCAAAATCTCTCAGTACCTGGTACATTCACTTGGATGAAATTACAAATGTCTTTTTTTTTTGCCTTCTAAAATTTTTGATTGAGAAAAATTCTCTTATATAGTCTAACACATAATATAATGAAAAGCTGTACCATACTACCATTTCTATAAACGTAGCACCTGTATCTAATCCTTTTGAAAGCCCTGATAGTATTATATTGATTGATTGTATATTGTTTAACTTCCCTCTCGAGAATTTTTCACTTTTCACTCATATGGAAACACCACCACTTGATGGTGGAGAGCTGCAAATTTTGTCCTATTCTTGGCACTCAGAGCCATTAAGCAGAGAGGGATCTTTTTTGTGCCAGCTGAGCACCTACTGCGACACGGAGACTTGGTTTATACAGTCTCATACGATGGGCAGGTCCCCATGTCCCATAATGAGATTTGAGCCAGCGACATACGAACGACATATGAACTTCTTACTTCACAACTCTAGAGCAAATGCTCTAACCACTGCGCCATGCAGGTGACTGATAGTTAGTGATGGGACATCAGTTAATTTTCATAATCCAATCATCGGTTGGAATCGGTTACTGCTTCCGATGCGATTTTACCGATTATAATCGGATGTCATAGTTTGGTATATAAAAGCAGACTATTACAATTATTTCATATTATTTCTTGAACATGAATATACAATTTATTGTTTTCTTTGTTGTTTTGCTTATTTCACACTTTCTATATACATGCAGGGTTTAAACTTAACTAAAATTTCCACTAGCCATGTGGGCTCCTTAAGTTTCAAATTTAAGAGCCCACAGTTAAATCTGTTAATCCACAATCTCTGATCTTTTTTAACCCGTTGCATACATCACTGGGACAATTTAAGTAGATACTTATTAAATCTAAAATACATTTGTTTAAAATGAAAATTGAAGTTCATAATTTGTTAAATCAAATTTCGCATAAATATTTCATCATAGGAAATGAAATTAAATTCAATTACCAATTGTACTATTCTGTTTGGTAAGGGTATATACATGATACCTTTTTCCTGGTCATTGGACTATATACTTATAGTAGCCTAGCTACTGATGACAACGTCACATGAATAAGATTTTTTTTAGGTTAAATATTTTTAAAACTTATCTGAAATTGGTCGACACCTAATGACACTTCCATTTCATATGACCGAGTAATTGGAAATAATTTAATTGGATACCTACCAAGTATAAACAATGGACAGAGAAATGAAGGAAATTCGGATTAGAAAAAAAGATGATCGTTTTCAAGACTTCACAAAGCATGTAGTACTGGTAAAAGGATTAGAGGAAGGATATCTACCACGTATAAACAAACAATAGGACCATGTTTCTTTTATTTATTTAATTGATTGGAATTTTTAAAGCAAAAAACATGGGGAAAACGTCTGTTTTCAGTAAGGGGACTGGAATGGTCCTGCAGATTTTTTAATTCGCTACGTGGGCGAACAAGTCATAAATTTTATGAGCCCACAGCAAAATTTACTCGCGGTTCCTAAGCACCTCTGCTTCGTGCTAGTTGGCTAGTATCAGAAGCAGACGCCATTTTCTTTCATTAAGAAGAAATAAATTTTAAACTCATAAGAAATGGATAATTCTGGAATGTACTTTATTAGAAGTATGTTTCCGATGATCGATTATGAAAAATTATAATCGATCATCGGAATCGGTAGAATTTTTTCGTTGACAATCGATGTTTTCTGATTAACGGTACAAAACTACCATACATGCCAACTTTCCCGATTTTTTCGGGAGTCTACCGATTTTTAACCCTGTCTACCGCTTGTCTACCGATTAATTTTTTTTCAACCATTCCTACCGATATTTCGAAAATCCGGATTTTTTTACCGATTTGCTTTGAATAATACAGTGTTTCCGTGTGCAGAAAACATGGCAGTTTCAGTGTTTATCGGTGGGATATCTGTTTATTGCCGCTGATAACAGGTAATCAACAAGGTGTCAACTGTGCTACCAGTCATTACAGAGGTTTTGATTGCTCCTGAACCTCAATAACAGTGTATTTTAACCAAGACAATTATGCCAGATGTGGATATTTTAGAAATACACACGACACTGGATACAAACTGACAAACTTGTGAGAGTTCACACTTTACAGCAAACTTCGACAATATAGTTTACGTATAAACCGTTTATAAAAGGTGTTCAAGTTTTGGAATATTGCATTCATCATTAAATTATAATCTACTTCATGGAAAAGACACTGCCAAAATCCAGCACGGAAAAAATGTGCCTGCAAGTAAAAACCATTAGGACTGCCCAGAGTGATAAAAAAAAAAGAGGAAAAAAACCATGCCTTTTGCAGACTTTGATTGAAAAAGTTAAAAATGACTTCTTAATATTCCCTCTGATTAAGAAAAAAATAATTTAACAATTTTTGTATAACAGTAGCCTTATAAACTTTGTAATTTACCAACAGACAATGAACAGTTGAGCTTATTTGTAAAGTTTAACATTCTTATTCATGTAATAATATGTTAACTTTGTGTATCACATTTTTTAAGACAGGGGGGTATATTTATCTTAATATTAACATATTAAATAATTTTAAATAAAATTGTCTTTTTTAAAAATTCAAATGATATTGTATTTGTGCTTTTGTTTAAGTTGATAGGCAAGAAAACACTTTTTTAAGTAGTAATAATATATGAAATAATAAAGGTAGTAGATTGATAATTTAGAAAAAAACAACCTACAAAGTTATTTGACAAAACGCCGCGAATTAGGAACTTCAAAAAATGTCGTTACGCGCAATCTCCCCCAAGAAAATGTTCAAAAGTTGGCATGTATGAACTACTGATAGTATTATTACTAGGCCATATAAAATTAATCTTTAGATTCTCATCCCCGCCCGCCCCTCTCAAAATGTCCCGCCCCGATGTTTTTTATTTTGATTTTTGGGTATTTTCATGTATTTTTATTCAGTAAGAATTTGGGTCAAAGTTTAAGAGTTATCTCCCGTCTGTATTAAAAGTCGCGTGTCGCTATTTATAGCAAAAACGCCATGTGAAGAATGGAGAAAAATCGGCAATAAAAGCAGTTTAAATGTGTAAGGAAAAGATAATTTGTCAGTATAGAGAAGGCAGAGAAGAAAAAATAGCATAAACACATAGTTATAGATACCATCACTGGCAGGAGCAAGTATGTAGAGAGATTGTAACTAAGTAAAAATAGATGAGGAAAATGACACCTGGTCAAGTTATATATAACGATCTCCAGCTGTGTGACTTTGCTTTGAAATATAAAAAAAATCTACAACATCATAGACAGACTTAAGAGAAGGCCTAGATTTTTCAGTAGAATAATTATTAGAACATTTACATAGATTTTGCAAAATAAGACGTCACGCATACACAATTTATTGGTATCCCCACCTCGTTTTGTTCAGGGTGTGCAGTATAATGTGTACTTGATAATTTGTCAATTAACAATAAATATTTAATTTTTAAAGCAAAAACTTTTTTTTAAATATTTAAAAGAATATGAAAAGAATTAAATCTATTCATATTTGCATTAAGGTAATGAAAAAAAAATGTGTACGGGGCGTCCATTGTTTTGTTGATACTTAGGCCTATATATAAATTAACAATTATAAAAAATAAAAAATAAAATCCGCCCACCCGCCCCAATTTTTAGCAAATTAGGATGAGAATCTAAAGATTAATTTTACCTGGCCTTAACATAATTAAACTATTCCTACCTGTGACCCTGTATAAACTGAGTAAATCTTGTAAATACTGATGTCTCTCGATGACCTTCTCATTCTGAGCTTCTGATTGCTGTTGTAAAAGCTCTCTTTCTATTTCTTCTTCTATTTGACTCTAAAATAAAATGAAAACACTTGTAGGACCTTTAGTAAAAAATCGATGAGTTCATGTTGTAACATTTTCACATTCTATCATGTGTCTGAAACTTCCACTCTGAAGGATTTTGACCACAATCATTAATAATGTTCTTAGTTACTGAGTTACTAGGCGCCTATTTCCCCGAAAAAGGAACTTTGCCCAACATCTTTAACTTAATTTATGCCAAAAATCGATCAGGACTTAGTAAAGAATTCAGTATCTCTTCATAAAACAAATAAAAAAACTCTACCTCAGTTCTATTCCAATGATCTAGCTTTGCGAGTAACTTTTCTCTGGTTGACTTTAGATGTATCCATTTCTGTAAAAGATCGCTTTCCTTTCCTTCGCCATTTTCTCGCTCTAGCTTCTCGAGAAAAGAAAAACAATCTAAAAAAAAATGTGTGTCAAAATATAGATTCTCATTTGTTCGTACGAGTGAAGTTACTCTGATTGTTTGTAACATTTTTTACCTTTATTTACAAAGTTACAAACCTGTCATTTTCCACACATTCCAATTTTCGCGCTAATTTCGGGATCAGGACAGGTCGTTCCATGACAATTTCGTGTTATGTATAATGTAGTAGCTCATACTTAAACTACTTTCTGAGCGTCGCTTTGTCCAGTGCTCATTTCATTTGCTTTTCATTTAAAATTTTTGGTGTTTAAAACGACACAGAAACCTACTTCTAATCAGGTTCATCATAAAAAAGTTTGATATTTCTTTTTTAATTACTTCACATGTATTAACACAAAATCACAAAGTTCATTAACGTTAGGCACATTCATCTGCCAATTTTACTTCAAGACAAATTTATAGCTACTTCCAGTCTAAATAGGTACGCCTTAGAAAAGTGAATATCCCAATGAGCAATCTGTATATTTTCCCAGACAACTATGTAGTGCTTAACCAGACGGTCTCTTACTAATGATCCCGTACATTGACTGTTTTGCACAAGCGCTTGTTTCATACCATGCGCTAGTTTTTTTTATGCACCCGGATCGAAAGATCCGAGGCGTATATTGTTTTTGTCCTGTCTATCTGTCTAGCTGTCTGTTCGTCTGTTTGTCTGCAAACTTTAACCTTCGCCATAACTTTTGAACCGTGAATGAAAGAGACTCCATATTTGGTATGTATACTCCACTAATTAAGCTCTTTCAAATGACACCAAGGTCAATGACCTTGTGACCTTGACTGTGACCTATATGATAAAAATAGTTTTTCTGCAAACTTTAACCTTCGCCATAACTTTTGAACCATGAATGAAAGAGACTTCATATTTGGTATGTATACTCCACTAATTAAGCTCTTTCAAATGACACCAAGGTCAATGACCTTGTGACCTTGACTGTGATCTATACGCTAAAAATAGCTTTTTTTGTTAACAAACTTTAACCTTCGCCATAACTTTTGAACGAAGAAAGATAGAGACTTCATATCTGGTATGCATACACCACCGATTAAGCTCTTTTAAATGACACCATGATGAGTGACCTTGTGACCTTGACTGTGTTCTATATGCTAAAAATAGCTTTTTTGAACCTTCATCATAACTTTTGAACCATGAGAGATAGAGAATTCATATTTGGTATGTATTCTTCACTAATCAAGTTCTTTCAAATGACACCAGGATCAATGACCTTGTGACCTTGACTGTGTCCTACATGCTAAAAATATGGTTTTTAAAACTTTGTTGCCACCGGGTGCATAGTGTTTCACAAACACATCTTGTTTTTTTTTTTTTACTATACAGTAAAAAAAAACCTAGCGTTTTGTATGAAACAAGCGCCTGTGCTGTTTTGTACTAAGCGAAAGGAAGAAAAAAGTAGTACTTTGTATCAATAGTGTGAGTAATACATAGAAATATGATCACTGCATGATCTTTGTGACAAGATTTATTGCAAAACAGACTTTGTCATTGTAGCCCTGAGCAAGAATTTACTCAGTAATAGAATTAGCTATTTTTAGTATATATTTATGGCAATACCATTTACCAAAGTTACACGCACGTAGTATCAAAGGACTGATCCCCCTTTTTTTCTCTCAGGCATAAGTTTCTACTATAGAAAATGTTCATTGAAATTCGTTTGGTCACCCATATTTGGTTGCAAAGTTGTGTAATAGGGATAATGCACGAGTATAAATGTGGAATTTAAAGTTAGAACATAACCCTCCCCTCCCCACACATAAAACAGAATTTTCGAGTTTGAATTTTTTTTGCTTATCAGAAGAAACGTTTAGGGAAAAAATGTTTACAGACGAACAGACAGGCAGATAGCCAGACGTACGGATGACGGACACCTCACTATTGCATAATTTTCTCCCGTCTCTGACCTATAGGGTACGTAGGGTTTATTTTGATGGAACGAGTATGTCAAGCAAATCATTCTTAAATTGTTGGCCCAGGGTCTGAATGGATCACAAAATCACAGGGACGTAGTAACGGGGGGAGGGGGGGGGCAGGGGGGCCTGGCCCCCCACTTTAATTTTTTCCCAACATTACACCATTACTATTGAAAATGTCCATTGAAAGGTTGGTCCCCCCCCCTCCCCCATTTCGTACCACAGTATATTGATATCAAGGAAATATGGTATTGTATACCAAAAAAATTGAAGTCAAAGGAAATTGCCCTTGAAAAAAGTTGGCCACTACCCCCCCCCCCCCCCCCCAAACACACACACACACCCACCCTCACACACACACACACACACACGAAATAGGATTTTCGACTTTGGGCAATTTCCTTTTTTTTTCTTTTTGCTTGTCATGCAGGTGAGTAAAAAGACATTTTTTCTCTGGTTGCCCCCCCCCCCACTTTCAAAAATGATGCTACGTGCCTGAATCATAAAACAGACATAAAATTTTAGATAAAGGCTTTACATGCCAAACATTTATTCCAGTTTTGACAGCTTGCAAAATCAAACAGAGAAGAGTGTTTTAAAGGAATGCCCAGTTTTGATGCCACGAGTCCCAAGTAAACGTCATCAACTGGAATATCCTGTACGTACGGGAAAGCCAGGGTCAATCTCTTTGCTATTCTCGAACTAACCATGTAACTACCGCCAGGAAAATAGGGCGGAAAAGCGTCACTAGAAAACAAAATGTTGGACACGAACCATTTACTGGCTCGCTCTCTGACCACCGATGCCCCCGCCGGGACAAGATGTCCTGTAAATAACTCATCAGGCTTATACTGCCGAGAAAGAAAGTCGAACACGTTCTTAACATTGATGAAGAAGTCGTCATCTTGGAATACAATAAAGCTGGCAGGCTTACAAAAGGACATTGCCCATTCGTAGCCCATTTTAGTTTTGAATGTCAGGTTTCTGTAAGTGTCAATGAAATCTCTTTGAATTATATCTCCGTACTTGGTGCCCTCTAAATAGATATCCCTGTTACTCTTCTTGGAAAATCCCAACAAGAAAAGTAATCGAAGATGTTGCCCGAACCTGCCCTTGGTATCATTCATCAGAACTCTCAACCACTGCCTTAGGCGCGCGTGATCCGGAGCCGATTTCACCAACACGAGAACATAAGAAGCATTGGCTTCTTTACGAAATCCATCACAAGCACCTCTCGGGTTTAACATATAGTTAAATTTTTCAAAGTTTACCGGTGCTATTTCAGGAGACCCGTGTTGTTGGAGTTTATCTACAGCTTTAATTAACCTCAAATCGATGTCAAACGAAGGCATTTCTACTTCCTCGATTTCTTCGTCTGTCTCGTAGGCGAAACCGAGGTCTGTCTTTATAGGTTCACCCTTAGGAACAGTTCGGTACTTTTTAGCCATTCGATAAAAAAGGACATAAGTGAGCATGAACACAATCAGAAATACCACGACGGGATATAATAACTTCAAAATAGTCCTCATGTTTTATCCAATCCAAGAATAAAGACAACAATTCTACCTACACATTCTTACTATTACGCATTTATAGCACAGAGACTTTTCGAAAGAAGAAAAAAATTAACAGCCACACAATGGTATAGTGCCTTCCGAACTTTAAATTTTATCAAACATTGCACCTATTTTGATTGATAATGTGATAAAATTAATAAATCTTTTAAAAAGAATCTTCTGACCATGTCTTGGGGGTTCAGACGATTTAACATGTCATTTAAAGTTTACAAACTACTAATTGTAATGAAAAAAAAAATATGTCTGGCTTAAATCGGACTTTATCGTCTTAACCCACGGTCCCGTACTCCGAAGATCGAATTGTCTATCCACAAATTTTATTTAAAAATAAACTTTGTTGTTATGAAACAACAAAGTTTATTTTTAAATAAATATTGTGGAAAGACAGGATAAAATTCTCACCATGCAATGATCGAGGATCGTGCTTTTGATGATGTTATGAACGAATACTGTATACACGGAAATTTTCGCCTCCGTTTTATTTTCGCCCTACCATCATTTGGGCGAATTTAAAACGTGGCGAATTCAAAGAAAAACAGTATAATTTCTTAAACAAAACTATGACTGGGCAAATTTAAAACGGGGCAAAATTGTTTGCAAGTATGAAAGGGCGAAAATGACACGGGGCAAAAATAACCCTGTATACAGTATTATTCGCAGAAATGATTTCGAATTGTAAAATTATTGATTCCACTGTCTACTTCTCTTCAATTAAAAAAAAAATTCTCCCCAAGCCAAAGTAAGGAAATTAACATGGAACTGATTTTGAACGTTTCTTGAATTATCTGTGTCATCAAAAATCAGATTACCGCTGAATTCAAGTTATTTTCAACACACTGTGCCTTCAACACTGTTGAAAATAAAGGAAATACTGAGGCCCATAGGCCACAACGCTTACCCGAATCTTCCCAGCCTTAACATTCTTATTAGATCTAATTGTTTTTAAGGGTCACATTCCTACTTTTCTTTAAATGTTTGGAGAATGATAAGCCATAAATCCTTCTTATATCGCCCTCTTTTTTTCTTTAAAAAGGCCACATTCCTGGTATTCTTTAAAGGTTTGGTAAACGATTAGCATACAATTCACAAATTAGGTCATGCTTATAATGAAGTAGAGTAGACAGACGATTTTATTTCCCCACAGATGTAATTTGTTATGTCCATGAAGCTACAATAGATTTTAGAGCCATGGGATATGAAAACTTCCTCACTGTAAGAGTCAATGTGTTATAAGTGTGTTCACTATAAGCATGTTCTTCTGTCCTTAGCTCTGTAAGCTTTGGTATATTAGAGCTAAAAATCTACACTTTATAAAGAAGTGGGTTTTTTTTGTTTACCCATTGGTTCTTGAGAAGCTTCTAAAAAATCCATTTCTATAAGACATTCATTACCTTTGTACATTTCGGATAATATTTATATATGTACAATGTATATGAAAAAATTGTTTATTTCAATTTCGTATTTCTTCCTTAAGGTCAAGATCTAGTAAATGAAAGGTGCCTACAGATTTATCAAATTTGAGAAATAAATTCCTTTATTGATACTTTACAACTTTAGCTTGGTCAGATAAGGTGTTTCGGGGCATAATTTGTTGGTAAACAAGATGGAAAACTGTATCTTAAACTGTCATTTTCAATGAAATATTAAGAAAAGCAGTCATGAATATGGGAGTTTTTTCGTATTCGGCAAAGGAAATGTACCCAGATTGCCTACAGTCTCTCAGAAAACGGTAATAAGTATGTTCATGGCCTCTTCTTTAAATCAATATCAAATTTAATATAGGTATCCGGTTTACTTTTCATATGATTTCAAATTGAATGACATGAAAATACCCTATTTTCTACATAATTCTGCTAAAGAAGTAAAGTACAGGAAAAAGAAAGTTGAAATTGATTATGACGTCATAATGGATCTAGCACCAAAAAAATAGTCTCAAGTTATTTACTAGATCTTGACCATAAATATAAACTTTAAACAAGATGTGTTTGTGAAACACTATGCGCCCGACAGCAACAAAGTTACAAAAAACTATTTTTAGCATATAGGTCACAGTCAAGGTCACAAGGTCGTTGATATTAATGTTATTTGAAAGCACTTTAGTGGTGGAGTATGCATACCAAATATGAAGTCTATATCTCCTATGGTTCAGAATTGATGGCAAAAGTTCGGAAATAACTATTTTTAGCATTAAGGTCACAGTCAAGGTAACAAGGTCAATGACTTTGGTGTAATTTGCATGAGCTTTATTAGTGAAGTATGCATACCAATTATGAAGTCCCTATCTCCTATGCTTCGAAAGTTATGGCAAAAGTTTGAAAAAGCTATTTTTAGCATGTAGGTCACAGTCAAGGTTACAGGGTCATTGACCTTGGTGTCTTTTGAAAGAACTTTATTAGTGGAGTATGCATACCAAATATGAAGTCTCTATATCTCAAGGTTCAAAAGTTATGGCGAAGGTTAAAGTTTTCAGCAGACAAACAGACAAACAAACAAACAGATAAACAGAAAAACAGACAGGACAAAAACAATATACGCCTCGGATCTATCCATCCGGGCGCATAATAAAAATATTAAAGGTACAAACTACATGTATATGGTGAGTTTCAATAGAATTTAACTCAGAATTGGAAGGTAGACAATTTGCAAGATTTTTTTTGACAGCAGCAATAGTCTACTTTGATTGAATGGGGGCTTTATTTTTCTACTTTCTAATACCAGAATTTTGAATGTCAGAATAACCAATACTGGTTGCAGTTTTATTTAATAGTTACACAACTCCAATTCTTCCATTAACACATTGAATGCATAGTTTACATGTGTACAGAATAAAAAGGAAAACACAAAATTTATCATATTCACTGGAAAAGTGTTTATAAGCAAAGCACCATAAGACCCTAGCACAGAAAATTCTTAAGCATTTAACAATTAAAATAAAAAAAATATCTGCAAAAATGCTGTCATTAACAAATATATAACAGATTAAGTCTTACAAAAAACATTCCATAAAAAGGGAATGGTCTGGAAATCCTTTTGATATGGCAAGTTTTAAATGAACACCAAATTTGTTTGGAATGCATTTAGAAGACAATGACATAATGAGATTCCTGTTGAGTAAAGACACTTATATAACTACTCAAACTGGGTATTGGTACAACAGTCTAAAACATCAACCATCTAGAGACAATTCCACTGAAACTTTGTACTACACACCAAAGGACTAACTAAGGAATTTAACTTTAAACAATTAAACATGTACAAACACTGATAATTTCTCATATCAACAAAAAGATATACAAGTTCATCAAAATCAATTTGTTATTAATTCAGTATACCAATCGATTCATCATACAAAAGAAAGTACATGTAACAAATTTTCCCAATACTTTCCATAACAAAAATACCATTTCTATCAACTGTCACTTGGACATATATTGTGGTGTGCTAGCACTACCAATACACATTTAATCACATTCTAATATTATCTTTGATAAGGATACATATATAAATTAACACCTGCAAAGTGATTAAAATCTTCTTCCTCAAGTCCTTGATCCGTAATACATAAGATTATACTTATAAATCTATACCAGGAAGAAAAAAAGAAAACATAGGACTTAACTATAAATAAACACTTTATTCATTTGAGGTGCGCAATTTTTTAGGCATAAATCTGTATAAATGTATCATAATTTTTTTTTATTCTGTGATTAGGATACTTAAATAAAATACCAGTATTAAGTATGCACACTTATATATTCCCTAAATAAATTTTTGATTAAACTTTTGAATTAGATTTAGCAGAATTGTACATAGTGTTGTTAAACAGAAAACAACAACATCCTAGCATGTAAATATGCTTATACTGGTAATTAAGAAAAGTAAAAAGTGAAGTTATGTTTTCACAAAATAAAAGTATGATGGAAATTCATTTAAAATCATTGTAAAAAACGTGTGTAAAAATAATACAATATTACATGTATCATGATATTTTTCTGGGAAAAACATAAAAAATCGCAATATGCTAACTTTTTGCAAAACTCATCTCAATCATTCATGTACAGTACTTATATAAAGCCTTGACCCTCAGAAGAAAATTCTCATTTAACATTTCTCCTGTTGGAAGACATACACTTGGAAGGCAGGAGAAATTACAATCATGTACACTGTATAAATTTGACATGTAGTATATGTAGATCTTTTTTCTCTGTTTATACAGTACATTGTAATAAACTTTAATACATTTAAGTATGATGATCCTTAAACATGAGTGAGACAATCATTCAATGGCATGAAAGAGAAATGATCTCTAAGTATGCATCAAATATCCTTTGATACAGACAAAAGAAATAATCTCAAATACAGTGAATGTTTGGCACATTACAGAGTGAATTTAACCTGAGTCATTACAGCAACAAAACTCAATCATTCGATGATTATGAGTTGGTTTTACACAGTGGTTATTGATTACTTCTGAAGTAAAGGGATGGTGCCATTATACTAAAGTTTGAAGGTACAAAAATATACAGATCTGCCACAATCAGCCATGATTAACTACGATGTCTGTAAGACGTACAACAGTAACAGTATGGTATGACACTGAGTCAACTGTGGAGAATGTAAATGTGGATACAAACAATTCTGAATAAGTCAATATATTGTTAATATGGAGAAAAAATAAAATGGTTTAACACAGCCTCATCATGTGGAGGAAAGTCAACTACATCACTGAATCTTGTACTACATGTAGCATGCAAAAATAAACATACAATATTCACTCACATTTAAAAAACATAAAATGCAGATGCCCTATTATTTAAATCAGTTCCCCCTTCTTTACATATAGTTGTAAAGATATAAAAATATCTTGCCAAATAAAAAAATACAAATAGGGCGTATCATGCTTTATGTCAACTAACAATGCACAAAATATTAAATTTGATATGAGTATTGCTAGCCTATACAAAGTCAAGTGTCGGTAGCACTATGTACTGTGAATCGTGAGACCTTCCTCTCCAGTATCCCTGGCTCAGGAATACGAGCCTCTGGCAGTAACAAATCCTGCTTCTCCGGGTCCAGCTTGGAGCTATTTTTGGCCGAGTTACTCAGCTTCCTTAGAGGAAACACAAAAACGCTTTCAGATTCTTTGGCATACAGTTCCCCTGATCCGCTGGATGTTCTTTTGAGAAGATCTCCATTACTTTTGCTTGTCGGTGATATGCTAGAGGATGACGGATTACTGAGTGACCTTGACACTGAAGATTTGCCTGAAAATGCACTTCGCACCAAGTTCCATCTCATTTTACTGCTAGGAATGGCTGCCATGCTGCTTGGTTGTATGACATACCTGCACAAAATTTAAATGACAGCCATGTTAACATTTTATACCATCAGTCTCAAATATCATTGTTGCTATAATAAAGTTATAATCCTGCAAGACTTACACAATGTCTCCCAATCTAAGTTTTCTCATCGGGGTGGGGTTTAGGATGACGTAGGATATGGTGTTGGCTGATGTATTTACATCCACTGGAAAACAAAAAAAATAAAAAATTCAGAATTAATGTCTTCATATCTAGTCAGACTGATCTTATTTGTCAATTTACATAAAGTAACAGTGATACCCCTCCCCCCTTCAAAGAACAATAAAAACTTTTTTTTGGACTTTTGTGGACATACTAATCAGCCCTTCCCATGGGTTTATTATTTGAACAAATTAAAATCTTAGATTACCTGAGGCTGCTTCTTTGACTAATCAAAGTTGGGCTGTTCTTAAGAGGAAGATTTTTAATACAATTCCTATATACCCCCTATTCATATACATGTATATACAAGTGTGATCTCATATTGTGGTCCTGTCCTACTCCCTGAGCCTATGATTTGAACTACCTGCATGTACCCAAATAAGTTATAATGAGACAATGTGGCAAGTTTGATCAAAATTAACTTAATGGTTCTTGAAATCGTCAAAAATGTGAAACATTTACAGACCTTTTGATCAGAAAGCTCACTTTAATAATAGGTGAGCTATAAAACTATATCGAATCAAAAATGTAAAGTGACAATTTCGTAACTATTCTCAAAACTTTAGTGTCAGATTCAAAAGCTGAAATAAAATCTAGGGATTTTGATATGCAAGGATTTTTTGTATTGTAAGAGCAATTTATACCATAACTTTATTTCTGGAATATATAAATACATTGTATCATGCCTAAATGCATTCCACAATCTTAGTTTTTTTTTAATGTACGTTGGTCAGATTAAGCATTAAAGCAAGGATTATTAATTTAATGCTTCATACATACAAGTTTGTAATATCAGTAATAAGCCAAGAACAGCCAATTTCAGACCTAATATTAAAATGGTCAAAAAGACAACTATGGTGAACAATATTCACACCCTAAATACTTTCTTCTATTGCATAAATGTGCATTTCTATGAGGATTACATATACTAATTTGATAAATTATGATGTGCTTTATTTCCAACCTTGTGTTCTATTTATACTTTGTAATGCTGTATTGACTAAAGCTGTACATGCTGTTATATATCCACATACACATCAATGTACAGATGAATGTCAATGAAGCAGAAAGAGCTCTCCAGATATATTACAGACTTAAAGTATTGTATTTGGTATTCAATTTTGAATTTACATTGAAAACTTTAGCAAAAACAATTTCAATTAAATATTGACTATCATCTTAATTAAAAACTTTGAATTTGGATACTGTAGATCACTAAATTTTCGCGACACCTTATTTTCACGAGATAGTCATTGACTCTTGATTAGCGAGACAAAATTTTCATGAATTGTGGTTATTGCTCTATATAATCTTAAGGAATACTATTATACGTGAGAATTTAATTTTCGTGAGCACGTCTCGCGTAATTATGTGAAAATAAAGTTCTCGCAAATAAAAAGTGATTTACAGTAATATGATCTAATGTAGGTAAACTTTAAATAACTTAGGTAGAAACTTCTTTAACCCTGAAAATAAGCTACTTTTTTAATCTTTGCATCTCTACAAAATTGATAAATTATTGTATGCTCTTATAATCTATTTAAAAGATTGGCTCTGCATTGTGATTGTAGTAAATGAAGGAGTTATGATCTTTAATGATTACTTACTGAAATCAATATCTGTAATACACACAACAAGTAAAGCAAACATTCAGAATCCCACTTTATGTAAGTTAACAGGTATACATGTAGTCATACATTCCTATAGCTTTAACTGATGACAGAATATAAATCGTTTTAATTAATATGACTTTTCAATCATTCATGCTACAGTCTTAGTTACTCGTATAATCAGTGCTATATACAGTGTAATAATTAGGTAAAATCTACAGAATGCTGTTACTGGCAGATGAGATTTGCGTCTCATCTTTGGTGACGTGCAAGGGGAGAATACACATGGAGATCATTATTTGATTTTTGTTTCAAACTTTGAACATTTTTTTTTTGGTAATGCTTGTGCTCAACATTGTTAATATATACCTCCTAACTCCTCTGTTTTATCTATAAAGTGATTAAAAAAGAAAATCAATATTTCTTTTCACTAATACCTTGCTCTATATCTGTACAACTATCAGGTTACATGGAGAAAAACCTATTCATAATGCTGAAACTTAATTATTAAAGAGCAGATACATATTCCATCAAAATTTTGATATAATTTGAATTTAAATTAATATGACATACTACTAAAGATGAAATTTATTTTATCTAAATTACGTTAATATAGAAATTATACCCTCCTTCTAAAGTACATCCCAGAAATGTTAAGGTTGATTCCTTATCTAGTTGATACTGATACAGACTACAGAGAGAGGAACTGATAGAAAGAAGGGAAGGAAGGTGTCATTTTTCCACTATGGTTTGTCATATATCTGTTTATATTTTCATTATTCAGATAGTCACAAGGTTTTCTTCAAAAAATTATTATACACATTAAGTTTCAATTAAATATTAACAAAAGAGGATTGGTGCAGAAAACATCCATCTTCTAAGCAAACCCAATGACAGACAGACAACAATATAAAGAAACAGCATAGTCCTCAACCTGCTACAAGCCACCACTGCTACAGTAAAGTGATTTCTGATGCTGACAATCCTTACCATAATCTGTCGATTTCATGCCGAGATCTCGGAGTCGATTCTTGATTAGAGCGGCCAGATCCGCGGTCTCTTTCTCTGATTTTCTATTGGATGGTTTGGAGAATAAGCCCCCTCCACTCATTTTGGTTGAGAACTTCCTGTCATCTGCCTGAAGGTGGTGGTTATTATTCTTACTATCTGACTGCTTAAATAGAAAGAAGAGAATTACAAGATACAATTGGTACATTTGACAAAGCTTCATTTCATACTATCTGAATGGTTGAAAATAAAGCTTCCTTTCACTGTGATACCATACATACATTTGGAACATTTGTTGTAGCTTCTGAGTTTTCTTCTGTTCTGTAAATAGCAATAGGGATTTCCCCTGTGGTGGTTGCCATGGCATGATAGAGATCTCCATATGTGCTATACCTGGCATAAGTCATACGCTGCACCCTGACCTGTACACACAAAGATCAAAGCTGAAAACATAGGCACTTGTATCTAAGGATACTAAATAAAAGCCTGTTAAGGAGATTTTGCTAGTAAGAAGAAACTAACTTACTAGTGAGAGGTTACCAGCACAAGTTAAAGATATACATGTACATTTGAAAGGTGACCAACAAGAGGTGTACTTGAGACGTGACAAGGAGAAGTTAACATACACTTAAGAGGATACCAGCAGAAGTTAACATATCTGAGAAGTTACCAGCAAACAGAAGTTAACGTACACTTGAGAGATGACCCGAGTTTTCCTCAGCATCAATACCCAACAACAACCTGACTAGTGTGATCAAGTAGCCTTTTACAAAAGTCTGAAAAAAAAACACATCTTCATATAACAAGTAAATCAATCAAATCAATCATGTACCAGTTTATATTCATATAGAGGTGACTCTCGATCCCTCGAAGTTCAAGGGACCGCAAGAAAAGTTCGAGAGATCAAGGGGTTCGAGAGATAGAAAGTAAATAAAATCCGGAATTTTCAGTTCCGATCATCGGTGTTCTACTATTATATATACCGGAAGTATATGTAAATAAAGTTATTGCACGTTTTCAATCGCATTTTACAGGTAATATACTTGATATCAACAACAATGATCGTATTTCGAATAAATAAAACGAATTCCTGAAGTTTCAATATTTATTTTTCTTATTTCATCATAACATGAAACCCAAATAGCAATTGTCAGTTTGGCTTTGGCTATTCCGCGGCTTCATCTGGTCCTTCACCAGTGTTCACCAATTTTTTCTTTATCTGTATTCAGTTTTTGAGAAAGGAATTTCTTGTGTAATATTTGTCATACTGGGATTATGTAGACTCTAATAAGAGTTCATAGTCTATGGCAACTTATTGAAACGAACGTCTATAAATTTATTTTCTAAAAATTATCGGCTCGGTTTCAAGTCCAAATAAGTTGTGAATTCATTTATAATTTACCAATAATAACCAATTAATTCTTATATCAACACACGGATGACCCACAGGTGTAGTGTCATCTATGTAAACACCCAATTAACACCTCCATGCCAGCCCCAGGCGTTCACTGTTTTTCCAGGTAAGTTCAGGCTCAAGTTTACGCTTGATAGGCGTGTATACACGCGCAATCAAAACTTCGGGTATAGAGAGTAAAATTCAATGAAGTATGTGTAACGGGACCCAGGTTTTGGTTCGAGAGATAGAAAACTTCGAGATATAGAAGTTCGAGAGATCAGGAGTAAATTTGCTTTGTTATATAGAGGAAAAAAACGGGACCAGAGGTTCACTTCGAGAGATCGGAGTTCGAGCCATCGAGAGTCACCTGTACATGTAAATATGTTTACTTTAGAAACAATTAATGTTAAAAGCTTAATGCTTTTATCTTTACACTTATTACAAATCTTTACAATTGTTACATAATTATGTGTTATTTTTAAGTACCTGATAGAGGAGACTGTTTAGCATACTGGCACTAAACACCTGTCCTGCAGCAAAAGGCTGACGAAAAATGTGGGAAAGTGCGGAACTCATCCTGCCACCCACCACCTACAAATAATAGTAATTACACTGTGCATGTATAACACTGAGCTCACAATATGCAAATAAAGTACTTGTATTTGTCTTGAAATAAATTGAAACAAAATTGTTCTAAACATTGTTCTAAAGTCTGAAAATATATCAATATATACATCTGACTCTTATAAAACAGACCATGACTTTTCAACTCTTTCCCAGGGATACCAACCTTTTGTAGTTTGGAGTCCTGTTTTGCATAGTGTGTGCTGTGGGCATGGAACTGCATGAATCTTATACTGGTGGCCTGGCTCAGCTCTGTAATGATGTTAATGTTGGGAAATAATCTGGAAATACACAGATAAAAGGTACATGACTACTTTTTTTCATGATATGAAGTCTTTTACAGACAGACACTTTAACGTCCTATCAGCTCTTCTGTTTTCTTATTATTAAATTCATATTCTGTAACATACTGCTCACAAAGTATTGCAACCTTAATACGAATAATTGTTAAACATGTGCACATACAATATTTTTATTCTAGTTTATAATGCCTACTTGACGATGGTCTGTACAGCTACAATGGTCTCTGAGTCCACCATGGTTTCCTCCATATTCTCCCTCATCGCGTCGTGATTGACCACCACTAAATGGCTGACTTTGTTAATTCCAGCCAGGAGCAGATCATCAATACTAAAATATATAGAATTATACATGTAATTAACTGGCTGAGATTTCAAAGGGTGGTGGTGGGAGTGGGGGGTTATATGTCATAAAATAAATGCATAATGTTCGATTTATCAAAATACTATAAACAAGGAATATTATGTTATTAACTACATGTATGTGTATGAATAGCAAAAACAATGGACATGGGGTTTATTTCTAATAGAAGCAAATTTAATTATCAATGATTGTTAAATAAAATAAAAATAAAAAAAAGTATTAACCTAATAATTTCTTCTTACACACTGATGAAGTATTCATGTTATATATTAATGCACATTAATAAAATCCATAACTAGATATCACTGATATGGTGCCATCTCAAAGGGCCCCGCTTTCAACAACAAACATGAAAATGTAAGGAAGCTTGAAAGGTTTATTTTGAAGAGGAACATTTGTGTACTGCTCCATACCCTATATCAAAAGGCGGCACAAAAATCATGAATGTTGCATATCCTCTATGTTAATGTGGAAGGAAAATCACAAATGTTCTGTACCCTAAATCAATTGATAAAGTTTGAGGCTGACAGGACTTAAGGGACAGAAATGATGCACCAAACAAAGATTTTATCACTTGTCACTATAGGGTGCCCGCTGATCGGGGCCCTAATAAAACATGTAAAGAACTTACCAAGTAATTGTTCCTTTCATCCAATATACCATAGGAAAGTGTCCAATAGAACTAAGGAACATATCATCTGGACTGTGGAACAGAAATTTGACACTTATAGAAAACGACCACCTTATGAATGGAGTAGTTACTTTTCAATTGTGAATTGTTACCATTAATATTTATTTATTGGTCGCAAATTGAGCTTTACCAGGAATGCATCAGTGAAGTAAGTAAAATAGGTGTTTGCCACTATTAAGTTAGCAAAATCAGTCTTAGATAATACATGACTCCTTTCATCAATTGGTACTTAAATGACATACCTGTCTTCCATGAGCAGTATAATTGGACTTAAAGAGTTTCTGCTAATGAAGTGGGATCTCAATGGTACTATAAAGTTATGGATCCCTGAGCAGGCGTGTTCCACAGCCAGTATAATCAGCTGTCCCTTCCAGCGGTCATCGTTAGCATTCTTGTAGGTACAATGTTCACAGTCCTGAAGAGCATCATGTAGAATTAACATGTAGTAATGAGCATTAACAAAAGCAGGTATTTTTAGTGCAATATAAGTCATAATCAAGCTACATGAGAATTCAAAGATGAAAATTTCTGGTCTTAACTTGCATCAAGTTAACACCAATTTGGATATAGTTTTCATTTATAGACAGAATATTTACCTCCCCCCATTTGAGACAACACTTTGGTCTAGGGGTGCCCATCAGGTGACACAGTGTTCTTCTGTTTCCAGAATAAAGAGTAACAGGAGGCGGCCCAGTTATCATTCTGAAATCACAGTATAGGATTACGTAAAATCATCCCCCAAAAAACAAATGAAATAATTATATAGTACTCGCATATAAAAAGTAAAAGATGGAAAAAATGAACAAAATGTAAAAATTGCATCTTCTTATATTCTGAGTGAAAAAAAAGCAAGTGATAATTTTTTTAACACAACATCCAATGAAAACAAAATTCTGAGCTAAGCTTACTGTTCCTGGCCCATATCTTTGTGGACCTGTAGAACTCGCGGGCCTTTCTTGTCCTTCCCTACATTAGCGTTAACCTCTGCCTCTATCACTGAAGAGTTTTCTTCCTCAAATGTGTCCGTTTTACGAAGCTCCCCGCTACTCTTCCTGCGAATTCGACGTGCGATTTCCTGTCCCCACTCATTTGTAATGGTGGAATTAAACACACTCTCCTCTCCATAATTGTCAGCCTCTAGTTCTTGTTTGATCCATTTTTCTAAGACTTCTGAAACTTGTTCTATAAGGATATATATTTATGTTAACCTGCAACTTCTTATATACACTGTTTGTAATAAACACAATTCTTGTGAGGTATCTGTAAGGTAAAATGGAGATGTTCATTGTTAATGAAGAGAATCAACATCTGGCTTTGATCATTGGCTCTACTTAGAGACTTCATCACAAACTTTGTACATTAAATCCTTACCTAAACTCTTTTTGTTGCTAGTTGGGGCTTTCTCACTTGGATTCTTCTCCAGAATATTCTCAGACTTAATTTTGGAGAATTCTTCCTTGAATTCCCCTATGTAGAAGCAGTAATCAGATAACTTTAGCTTGTGAGAGGATCCTGGGTTCAACTGAAGACGAGGCTCGTCATTTGTGATATCAAGAACACCAATCAAACACACTCCAAATCTAATTATAAAAACACATTGACTGATATGCAGTGCACAGATGACAAAATAGTCAAACACAAAAATTTGCTTACCATGGTTATGTTCGTATACTGACACACATTTTTTAAAACTATTTTGCATGAAAATGCTTTGAGTACGTTTGTGACTTACCTTTTATGAGCATCGGCTGAAGCATTTGTAAAACTCTGTCCCTCATACTTCTGGAAGAAGACGCTTTTACTGAGCTGTATGTGGTAGACCTCATTCCCGGAGTGTCTGCCGTAGACATGCTGCCAGCTCTGTACTCCCACCTGTCCCAACCTACAGACAAAACACAGACAAAATCAGCAAAGTTTCTGTTTATTAAAGAATTGGAAAGCATGTAAATGTCAGTTGTCCACAATAAAACAGAAAGACTAAACTTTGCTGTATACGAGGGTTGTCCCAAAAAGTCGTAGACAATGTTAATAACCTTTTAAACACGTAACCAATACTAACCAAATTTTGCATAGACATAATACATTCAATGTTCTTTAAAATTGTGAATTCTTAAATATATATCTTTCATATTAATTATATTGGGACGATTTATTTGAAGGCCGATATGGTCTGTCGGTGCACGACCATAATTCGGAATAATTTACGCATATAACTATAACATTTGCTTTTATTTCTTTGGTACTATGTAAAAGATTGAACTAAAATTTAAATCACTAAAACCAGAATCAAAAGCTTAATAATATGTCAAAATTTCATTTAAATAGCATTAGAAACAGACGACTGTTGACATGATTTTCAAAGTGTTGTTCGAATCGAGATTGATGAAAATGATGTCGTTGAACGCGTACCCGTAAATGAAATAAATTGTTTTGGTATGTTTTATATTCACCAGAGACAGGAAAAAAGAGTACAGGAAGGACATATTACACACTATTTTTTTTAATAGAAAAGGTGTTTTTGAATAGCATGAGATTCAAAGATCGTTTTTCCTCTATATCGAAAAAAAAAAGTTATTGCATGTAAAGTAGAGTACTGATCGTTTAACGCAGACATTTGGGAAAGTTCTGGGCCATGAACGTCGTCAAACAATGTGTATTCTCTGCTGCCTAAAATGTAAGATGATCTTTCAACCAATTTAATCTTGACTAAAAATTTGAATCTGCTTAAGAAAACGGACAGTAGTGAATTTAAATTAGTCCCGTAGTCATGAGTGGTAAATCACTAAAAGAATATTCATTTGGATGTTACATGTAATAGCCTGATGTGAAGCAGAAAAAGGGACCATGACGTTATGAGACGTAAATTACGCTTGCTCTCGTGCGCCAATGTACACTTATTACATAGTTTCTTTATTTTTTCACAGTTTTCTTATTAAATGTGGTATCGTCATGAAACTTGAAATGCAAGATCATAAAATGTTACTCTTTGCTATGACAAGAAAAGAAATTTGATTTAGCAAAGAGAAAATGAACCATGTTCCCTGTCTACGACTTTTTGGGACAACCCTCGTATTCTAGTATACACAACCCCAAGACAGTAAACCAAGCAATACTTTTGTATAAAACACAGCTTCATAGCTAGTATGCAATAAATGATCCTAGAATTCCTAAACACAGTCAGACAGAAAGTCATGTAAAGCTGTAGAGACAAAGACATTCTAATCTACAGAATTAAGTACAAATATTTATTGTCTGTTTTGTGGTGTACAACAACAAGTAGAGCAACAAGGAAGACAGATTCTTGAGAGAGACAGACATACTTCACCTACTCTCAGCTGTATGGAGCAAAAGAATGACCAACTAAAGGCCCAGAGGCCACATCGCTCACCTGAGCAAATTGGTTAGGAAAAAGCAGAAAATTAATCAGTTTAGTACTGAAAAGTATAAATAGGACCAATCACAGCTTTGCTGTTCTCAAGAAGATTTTTCCTATGTATCCCTATGTAAAAATTTGATCACCCATTGTGGCCCCATCCTATATTCGGGAGTCATGATTTGAACAAATTTGAATCTACACTAGAGGATACTTACTTATTAATATAACCAATCAGCTTTGCTGTTCTCAAGAAGATTTTTAAAGGTTTTCCTTAATTAATCGTAGGTAAAACTTTGATTTCCTATTGTGCCCCTCCCCTACCCCCGGAGGATCATGATTTGAACAAACATGAATTTACACTACCTAAGGATGCTTCTACATAAATATGACCAATCATGGCTTGGGCCTAAAATAAGATACTGTTTGTTTGCAGTTGCCGACCGACCCATTGAAAATGCACCCGACCCAAACTTTTTTTTAGCCATTTTGTAATATTATTTTTTTTCTCAAATTTTCAGGATATTAAAACTGTTTCATTTTCAATTTTTGCCTTCATCAATCAGTATTTTATACCAAGAGTGCAGCTTATTCATGTATAGTAGACATATGAAAAACTCTATTTTATGTTATCTAACAAAAATCTGAAAACAATTTTTTTTTTTCCAAAAAAAAAAAAAAAAATAGCCTACCTACCTACCCAGTCTAAAAATTATAGGTCGGCAACTGCAAACAAAGAATTTTTTAAGCTTAACCTTGTTGTTAAGAAGAAGATTTTTAAAGATTTTTCCTATGTATTCCTACATAAAAGTTTGATCGCCCATTGTGCCCCCCCCCCTTCCCCCAGAGGGTCAGGATTTGAACAAATTTGAAATACATTTCCTGAGGATGCCTTTATATAAATATGACTAATCATGGCTGTTCTTGAGAATATTTTAAAAGATTTATCTTATGTATTCCTATGTTAAAATTTGATAACCCACTGTGGCCCCAACCTATCCATGGGGGTCATGATTTGAACAAACTTGAATCTACACTACCTGTGGATGCCTCCACACGAGTTTCATCTTTCCTTCTTCTTGAGAAGAAGTTTTTTTAAAGATGTCATTAATTTTTTATTTATTCATAATTATCTCCCCTTGGAAAAAGGCATGACCCTTCTTTTGAAAAAAATTGAATTCCCTTCACCCAAGGATACTTTGTGGTAAGTGGTAAGTTTGGTTGAAATTGGGACAGTGGCTCTTGAGAAGAAGATAAAAATTCGACAAGTTTACGACAACAGACAAATTTTGATCAGAAAAGCTCACTTGAGCCTCACTTAAACTGAGCTCAGGTGAGCTAACAATCTGGGGTACAGACAGACACACAGACGATACTTACTCTCTGTTTGTTGTATGAAGTAGAAGGGTGACCAGTGTAGACAGTCCTGGATATAAACAGTTGTTGGCTAACAGAGCATACTTGAACTCATCCTCACAAACCACATGCTCTGAAAATCAAATCTACAGCTACAAAACTCAAACACTACATGCACTAGGGACAAAAAGCTCTCCCTTTGAAGGATATAAAAACAACAAAAAAAATCAGAATAGTGTGAAACTAAACTAAAAACAAAAGTGAATATTTTAAAACAATGCAATCCAACTGTTTTTTTTTTATTTTGTTTAATATTCAAGTACAGTGTATAAAATCAGACAAAGGAATAAAGAATTTGAATGCTTTTTGGTGTATTTCCTGCAATATTTGAATGTTGCATACTTCTTGCAAACTTAATGAATAAGTGATTAATGTATTATTTTAATTATCTATTCAAGATATACAGGACAATAAAAGGGATGAACCTGACATAAATTATAATGGGCTACTTAACTAGCACCACATTAAATTAAAAGCTAATAAAAATGACAAGTTATGATAATAAAACGTTTTATGTGTGAATTAATCATGTCTTTGTTAAGTGGCGACAGTCCTAGGATGTCACCAAGGCCACATACCTACGATGGAAAAAAAATGTCAGCATGGACTTCAATTGTTTTATCAAAAAATTGGTAGGAATACAATATTAATTTGGAATGGTAGTAGTGTAATACACAAGGGGGCACATGCATACAGTATCTATGTTTTCTATAGTATATCCCTCCCCCCACATTTAAAACATTTTACATCAAAGCATAATTAGCAAGAAAAAATCTTATTTTCCATTGATTAATTTCTTAGTATTAATAATGAAGGTTTACTGGAAAAAATTCTGAATGTGAACATAAGGCATGCTTGATTTGTCTATTGTACACCAGACACAAAATGTACATTTTCCCATAATCAAATGCAAAAGTCTACACTTTTAGGCGTTAACCACTTACACCCTGTATGAGTCATGTGTAGGTAAATGCACCAATAATTCAATATGGCTGAAAAATGTCGAGACATTAAAACTGCAGAATTTTCTTCTGTAATTGAGTTTACTGTCAAGTCTTTGATAGGTTGGTTGCAGTGAATCGTGTTTAGGAATTTAGTCTGGTGTCCTGTGCATTTTAGTAGAAAATGGAATGCTTTGTTTTTTTGGTTAAATTAATAAAAAAAAATAAAAAATAAGCAAGTTTGGCATTGGTGATAAAGTCAAAATATTTTTCAGAGTATTGCTAAATATTTAATTATAGTCATTGTGGTTAAAATATATATACATGTATTATACAAAATTCTTTGCCCTTTCATAAAATTTATTGTTTTAAAAAAGGGATTTAGGAATTTGATAACAAGAGCACAAATATTGAATATACTACACCACCGCCTAATTTCACTTGATTATATGGGACACTAGGTGTGCTATGGTGTAGACAAACCAAGTGCACCCATTATTTAACCAATTAGAAATAAACCCTCATGCATGATAGTATAAGTTGTGAGAGAAAGAAGAAAACTTTTAGAGACTGAATTTGGCTACCCACCAGCAAACTTGACATGTAATTTGTGCTCAGTCTTGAAGAGTTGAATGTACTGTCTACATTGTGGTGCAAAGTCTTTGACAGCCCAGGATCTTAAAATAGTGTGCTGGTCCTAAAAACAAAGAGTGAATTAAATGCATGAAATTTGAATAGGATTATTATATTCATAAATAACAAACATTAAATGCAACAATTGATCTGGACACAGTAACAAATTTCCAGTGAAATTTAAACCAGACATAAGATTTGGAGATCATAAAGACTAGAGACCACAGAGTTCTGACTTACCGCTTCGTCTCTGTTGTGACATTTACTCGGGGCCAGAATGAAGCAAGCATCTGCCTCCTGTAATCTACAAACACAACAAATGTGCAAAGAATGGATTCATAACTCTCTACAATGGAAATGTTATCTGGCTTTGTTTAATTTTCAAAGAAAATATATAAACCATTGGCATATTGATGAAAATTGCAAACATTCACAATTTTTTTTCAGTTGATTCAACATCATTATGGGAGAGTTGGAGTGTGATTTTTCAAATATTTTTTCCTAAAAAAAATCATTCACAAAAAAAAAACAAGCTGTATATTGCAAGTTTCAAATGTCCTTCAAAAAACATGTGTGTTAGCTTCGACCTATGCTTGACTTTAAACTTACCTGCATCTCTGCAGATCAGAGTCCTTTAGAGCAGACCCCTTCATGTAGATGACACGGTGGGCCCATTTAGGGTCCTTCAGAATGATTTGTAAACTGGTATCCTTCTCATCTGAGCTTAGAAGCACCACTATGTGATCCTTCAATGACAAGAGATAGAGTACATATAACTTTTTTCAAAAATAACGAAAATTATAATATGGAATTAATGCAGCAAAATTAAAAGATTTAAAGTTTTGTAAAATAAAATATTAAAAGAAAACTTTATGACTATAGATCTAAGTATATTGAACTTGACAATATATGCCTTGCTCACATAGATGTGAATTTTACATTTTTTTTTAAATTAAGTGATTCAATGTGAAGTGAAAAAAGGTGAATTAATTAATTTAATTTGATGGGTTTAAAATAGCATGCAAATGACAGCTAACACTACGTAAAATACTCTGCATTAAAATTTGATAATAAATAATTAACCTTATTATGAAATCATTTACAAAACATGTCACATATAACATATCTTTGCACATTTTTATGATCAATATACAGCTTACTCCACTTATATTGAAATCGCTTATTTTGAAATTCCGCTTATTTTGAAATAGAAATAAATCCCCAGTTTTTGCCTCTCACATTCCTTGCATTAAAATAATGGTTATATTGAAATCGGATATATTGAAATTTCGCTTATATTGAAGCCACTGATCGGTCCCCACAAGTGATAATGAGTTGTTCTCATAACGGTTATATGGAAGTACTCCCTGGAGGCTGTCGTTACGGTTGGTGACAGTAATTATGCCTGATTGACCAGTTGATATACAGAGGTGTGAATAATTAAGGTTTCACCTTATGTGTTTTTATACTGCATGCTCTTACGAAATAAAATTTTTCACTGTTAAATTCTTTGCGTCCATGTATATAATATGGACATATTGAGGCTAAACAGCTAAACGTAATATAGTAACCCCCAAAAATCATAACTTTGAAATTAAGTTGTTAAATACTGTTAATGGCTATTGATATGCCTAACTTCGAAATAGCTAAGGAATACGCAAGTTTCTAGATTATTTCCCTTGGCGCGCTCTTTCGTTGAGGAGGGGAATTTCGTTGCTGCGTAAACAGACAGGTGGGACAGTTATTTATATATTGAATATATTGCATCATCGATATACTGGTTTATAATAACTACATGATTGTAATGACACTTTACAACTCGAGAATAACCAAATAAATGTAAAGGCATATTTTTTTTAAAGCAAAGAAATCGTAACAAAAAAGAAAATATCAGTGGATGTGAGACTTTTCAGAAGAGGGAACAGATATGGACTTTTAAAAAATACGGTACAAATGCACCTGATCATTACACGTCGGCAATCTAAATGACACATTGATTCTTTTCCTTATTATAAATTCAAAAAACCCACTAACTTTTTAAGAAAATGTTTGAACAATCAAGAAAATCAGTTGCTTTTTATAAAGACTACGACGTTTCTTTCGTTTTGAAGTACCCTATAATTGAAAGTAGATTTGTAAATATGCATAGTTGAGCTTGCTAAAATCATCAAATGCAGTACTGCTTAACATTATTATCTTTCTATAACATTTAGTAAATTTTAAAAGCCATAATATCGTTCATTTATTTATGCATGTTTGCATACAGAAACAACCTGTCCCACCTCCAAGCTGAAATGGATACTTTTCGCGCCTCCATCTTAGGAGAGTTACAATCTTGAAACTCGCGTATTAACTGGAGTAAACTTACGATGAAATACAAGCAGTGTGCTGCAGTACTCAACCGTTTAAGTCCGGTGATTTTTCTTCAAAACGTAAATAAATGCGATCAGGGAATAATAATGAGATTGAAGATTGTCTTTTCAATGAAACAGAAATAATAAAAAAAATATTTAAACTCTTTAAGGACTCATACTCTATGTAAGCTGTTCACTGTTATAGATAAACGATGACAAAATTAATTTGTTCGGGTTTGTTCTTCTTTATTCTAGATCGGGATTGAACTTGTAAAAATGGTGGTTTCACGATTGCGCTTATATTGAATTACGGATATATTGAAATAATTTGCATGGTCCCCTGAATTTCAATATATATCCGGAGTAGGCTGTACTTTCTTTAAGAGTTTGTTTTTTTTAAAATATAAAATGAACCTAACTGTGACTAAATTTTTTTATTACAAAGAAGTCAAACTTTAAATTTGCTTCACATGGAAGTAATGCAAAGTATTTGATGCAAAGTAAATCAATTTGAATAAAAAAAAATTGCATTCAATTTGCTTGGTAAATGTGGTTTAAATTTAATGCAAAGTATCTCACTTTTGATTGGAACTAAACCTTTCACTGTAAATAAGGCATTATACTTCATGTCTACACATTTCCTGAGATTACCTCTAACTTCCTGTTAGCGTAGAACTCGATGAGGAAGTCCATGGTGTACTCGGCACTGAGATGGCTGGTACAGACCACGACGTGTCGGTGTCCCGAGGCATGCCGAGAACTGTACTCTCCCCCCGTCTTCTTACGCTCCTTCCACGTGGAATGGATTCCCTCTACCTGAAGTTAACACGGTATCATCTTATAAAGAAGAGCATATGGAAAATTCACTATCTTAATAAATACATGTAGTTGAGGCAAATTATCAGTATTTCAACTACTGGGTCATGCCTGTAAAATCTCTGTGTAAAACTTAAATTGACTCCTTAGTAAACAGCAGGCTATGTTGCCTTCTATATATAAATTCATAGAGAGCTTAATACATGCCTGCCTAGGGATGAAAGCAAAAGCCAGGCAGATCATGGTGAGCATGAAGAGTTGTCCTAGCCAGTTGTCAGGTGAGATGTCTCCATATCCCACAGTGGAGAATGTTACAATCACAAAGTAAAATGACTCAAATAATGTCAGGGGATGTGTAGCACTGCTACGCTGTATGTGCTGTATACCGCAAATCCTACAATACAAAAAAAGACGAAGAACTAGAACTTAACTATCCTTTACAAATTCTTATTGGTCAATTATTAGACATGAAACTTCATAATACTCAAGCAACATTCTAGTGCATCAAATAGCTTTTCTTTTGAAATATTTCAATATACTGGTACTCATACTTTTAATATAATTTTACACATCTTGAACTTAGTATATCAAAATTGAAAGAGATATCACTGAAAACTTCTCTTCAATGATTGAGAGGAGTTGGGAATTCTACTTTTTAATTTTCCTTTCATCTTTGAATGGCATACTAAGGTTGTCACTACAAGACAACCCAGGCATACTTACGTTGTAAATACAAGACAACCCATAGAAACAACCAGCAGGAACAACTGTTGTGATAATGTCACAGAGATTGTCTGAAATCTCTGCTTCGTCAAGTGTAAGTCATTCTGAAATAGAAAAGAAAACAAGATGTGTTTGTGAAACACTGATGCCCCTTTATGCCAGCTTATGTTGAGGGTTAAATGCATGTCAAACTCCAGAGGTCAAGGTTAAAAAGTCAAAATTGTTGGTACCCAAAAGACGGTCTTGTTACAAGGAAAACACCTGTGAAATATGAAAAGCACTAGTTCTAACTGTTCAAAAGTTATAGCCAAGATTTAAGTTATAAATAAAAAGTGGGTCAAACTCTAAGGTCAAGGTGATACGGTCAAAAATATTTAAACCCAATGAAAGACCTTGTCATAATGAATAAACAAGTGAAAGCCCTAGCTCCAACTATTCAAAAGTTATTGACCAACGTTAATGTGTGGTATTGTTTTGTAAAAATAGGTCAAACTCCAAGGTCAAAAGGTCAATTTGGTGGTACCCAAAGAAAGGTCTTGTCACATGGAATACATCTGTGAAATATGAAAGCCATAGCCCCACCCACTTAAAAGTTATGGGCAAGGTTAAAGTTTTTGCGGACAGACAGACAGATGGACAGCACACTATATGATTTTTTTAAAAACAAGTGAAGAAAGCATTCATATCTGTTTTTCCCTTCTCTTTATTTCATTTTCTATTCTTAAAGAGACAGTCACCTAGGTCATATGAAAAGTCAAGGTCAAAAACATTTGACACAGTTAAATAGCTCAATTTACCAGTATATCTTTGTATGAAGTTGAAAAAATTATCCTGGTCTGCACAGTTTCTAAAGAACTTATTGTAATAATGACATGCATAGTGGGTCTAGGTCTCATAAGAATGTACATGTGTATCAGATAATCTATTTCGGAGTACACATATCTTGAAAAGTTTCTTTGTAAATGAGTTAATGCAAAGACAGCTTGAATGACAAATGCAGATGAGACAAACACCAAAAAAGTAAATCACCTACGTTTTACATTATAATTTTTTTTAGTGGAAGCTGATCCTGTATCTAATATAAATCACCTAAAAAGCTTTTTAGTGAGGGAGCTGACTTGAAATAATAATTGCTTAATAATTTAATTGCTTCTCTAGAATTCAATGAATCTTTATTTGCCTGAAGTCAATTGACTTGTTAAAACTTCATTTGTGATGAGTCAGCAATCCTCTTGCCAACTGCGACAGCTGACAATGACAGTTCTGTCTTGTTCACACTAGACAGATAAAATGGTTATTTACTTTGAACTTTAAATAGATCTTTAATAGAAAATTTTAATGTTGAAAAGGTTTAAAAGATGCTGGCCAGTTTGCACTTAAATGTAACTGGCTCAAAATGATTCATTCACAATTCATATGCTGAAATAATGGTAGTTAGAAACCCATCAAAAATTTACAGAGACATGTAATTGCAGTTATGATATTGGAATTTTCGCAATTATTTTAAGCTTTATACCGGTAATTCAGTTTTATATCGCACATATGTATCTTTACCAGAGTGTGTTAATAAATTTTTCACAATCCTCTATCACTTCCCCTATTAATACTGAAGACAAATTTTCTGTTAAGTGTCAGCTTTGTTCAGAAATTAACTAATAAAGTTTTTGGTTATGGTATATATATCTTTTGGCATGAATAAAAAAAATTTAAGCAATGCACTACATGTTTTTATTGATACAAAACTGTCAAAATAGTAAAGCTTTCATAACAAATGATGCACTAAAAGTCAAGAAACTTTCACAGAGACACCATCACACAAACACTGATACACAAAAAGGACCAATGCCCCATGAAATACCCCCTACTGATATTGAATTAAGTTTTGCACTGAGTGACTAGATTTTTTGTTTACATTTCTGTCAGACTTGATGTGCACTGACAACATTAACTATAACTGTTGCCCTGTCAATTTGTGTCATTAAAAAAATTTATGTCCCCCATTATTAGTTCTGATATTACACTGTCAGGCCGGCTACACTTACAAACAGCTTCTCCAGGGATTTCTTTACCAGCCACACATTGAGAAAGCTTGGCACGTAGAGGTTCATCAGAAACAGGGGGTGAAATAACTGCAAGAGTTCAGAAAGACACAATTACATGTCAAACACTGATACACAAAAAACACCAAGTTTGAGCCAGATCTGTGTGTCAAGATCATTATGTCCCACTGTATTTCTTCTCATCAATTTATATATATTTGATCATTTTAGGATATGATAAAATAGATTTCATTCTTAGTTTTATAATAAAGCTATTGTTACAATTTGATACAGTGAAGTGAAAATACACATGTAAACTAGTGCTAATTTTTTTTGCTTTACATTTCTGTAAGCTTCATTAAATAAGACAAACTCTGTGCATTTATGACTTTAACAACTTTTCCCAGAAGGATACCAATTATATTCAAACTGCATTGCACCCTGTCATGTGAATGCATGTGTATGATTTTTCATCTTGTCTACACTATCTATATATTTTAATATACTATATATTAAAGCAACCAAAAGTATTAAAAATCACTTTCAAGTGTATTTTTAATTTCACTCGTTCCAAATGCACGCACGTGCGTGCACGTGCATGATGACATACCTTCTTGTAGGAGTCTCCTATATCAAACAGCTTCTCCTGTTTGGTTGAAAAACAAGGGAGTTATAGCCATTTCAAGTTTCAGCCAATCAGATTGCAGCACCCGTGCATCTGCATGATTTCATGATTTTTTTTTTCTATATCATATTGTAGGATATCCTAATGCATGACTATATTTTAAATTTCAAAGCAGTTCAAAATACAAAGGAGATATAGCCATTTAAAGTTTCAGCCAATCAGATTGCAGCACACGCGCATGCGCACAAACACTTATATATCATAGATCTTCATAATGTAGGACTACCTCAAAATTTCAAAGGATTACAAAACACAAAGTTTACTCAGAGTTCAACAGATCTGCATGTAATGATCTCTATGTCCATATCTTGTCTACACTAAGATGTATTTACATTATGAGTTTCAAAAAATTTCATCAAAAAATAGACAATACGGCAATATCCATTATTTGGTCATTTCACGTGTTGCATTTTACGTGCGCGCAAAATGACCTTGACAAAATAGATTTCTAAAAAGGTTTCACCTAAGTCGGATGTGTAGTTTACAAGATCATACAACATTTTTGAAAAATAATAATAATAATAATAATAATGCAGTGAAAATACACACGTTTGGGGAACATAAATATAAGTACACTTCTTCTTCAATGCTTCTACATGTACTCTTTTAAGATTATTGCTTTTTATTTCAAAATACACTGATCAGACATTCATTATCGGTCTTTCACACAACAAACTTTCTTTCAATGTTACGACATATCACTTCAAAACAATAGACATGGATTCTGACTGCATGGATTGAATCAATATTTTAGATTAATAGCTAGGGTAGAATTCTGCACATTTTATCTGTCACTATAGGAACATTAATAGGAAAAGAACCTGCAGAAGGCATCGATTTTGATACCAATGTAAAATCACAAGCACAATACTTCCTAACTCTGTGAACTTTTCCTCAATCAAAGCAGTTTGATAGCTACAAACAAATTGTAAAGTGCAGCACAAGACAGCAGATATCTGGTTATAATAAAAGTATACTCACAGTGACTAGGAGAGGGATGGAACAAACTAGCTCCAGGATAAAGCCATCTTGTGTTGCTTTTTCTATGAAGGTTCCCTGTAACACATACCAAGATGAATTATTTCATCCTCATTTGATATCATGTATAGCCAAGGTCAAATCATTTTTTTCAATACTCAATCCTTTTCAGTAAATTTTTTTAATCTATCTCTTTGGTATTAATTGATGTATTTATACGAGGATCTTTCAAAAATATGTACACAATGTTCCTCATCATCATCTAATTTTTACTAGATTAAAGATCAAGACATTTTTATAAATAAAAACATTTATTTTGTCGATGTGTGAAGTTTCATTCGATTTGATTTAATTAGATTCATGTTAGCCAATGTTACAATTAAGCAACATGTTTTGTCACCATGGAGCATGGTTAACAACATTGTAACATCAAAACCAACATTGAGAAAGTTTCTAGACTGTCTTGATGGAAGTTACAAATTACAATGCATATGTATACTATGGTGCCATCTGTGGTACCTACTCCCACTTTCTGAAAATCATTAATTCCTTCCTCTCCAACATGCCAGGTGTTCAAATTTTGTTTTTATGGCATTTATGTTTGATTACATTGTACTTGTCACCTTAAAATTACATGTATTTTTCAAATTCTTGAAATGGTTATTTCATGCGCTATTCCTATTACTTTACAAGGAAAAATTTTAAAATAAAAAATGTTTAAGAAACAAATATGCTTTAATTCCTTTCCATGTGGCAATATTTTCAAAAGGGTCAACTATAAGCTATAAAACTACTGACCTTGGATACAATAAATATGTCCAGACAGGCCTTGGTGAGAGTTATAATGGATAAGACGCTCTGGAATAGCCATAGAACCAAGGGACGCTCCACCCATAAGATCACATACCTACAAATAAGACAAGTTTGCAGCTTGTACATTTTCAGTTGTTATCATGGTCACTTTGTTCTACATGTTCAATTTACACAAATGAGAGAGTAAACTGACCAAAAATTGAAATTTCCATATAAGGCCATACCAATTTCTAATATAGTTCGTCGGATTCGCCGCTTCTATTTTTTACAAATGCAAATTATAATATTAAAAAAAAAATGTCCGCGCGCGCTTCCAAAAAAATACTTTTTGCACCAAACACAAACTTGAGGATAGTGAGATAGAAGCAGTTTGTGAAGTTTTGCACCATGCAGTCTGTTTAACTGTTCATATGTACCAGGGGTGTTCAATTAGCATCCCCTGACTCCCAGGGCTAACATTTTTGGGGGTCAAAAATTGAAATTTACATAAAGGGTTTTGCAACTCGTTTTTTAAATGCGTTTTGCAAAATGATTGGACTTATTTACTTCCAAAAACATTCTTTATATATGCAGCTATATCTCTAAATTATTTACGATCACTCAATCAGCTGAAAGATAAGTGTTTTGTGACTCACATAAGATACATTTCTTTTGTTTTGAATGATTTAAGATGAAAACAAAATGAATTTAATTTCATTCTAAATGAGCTAGTGCAATGATCAGAGAAAGGGAAGATAATTTATTGAAGTTCATTTAATTTTATTTCATAATATTTAAACATGACTGAATTTGATATTGAGAATTAAAACTTTGACTTTAAAAAGATGAGGGCTCAGTACCCTGACTTTTATAGCGATTAATTTCTTTTTCAACATTATATAGTTCAATTATTTTAATTTTTGCCCCTGTATTTGGGCTAGTAACTTTGCATTTGCCACTAGCCTGTGGGTAGTATGATATTTTTAATTGCACAACACTGTGTACTTAGTTAAAAACAATGGGTACAAAGTTGTTTCATACACAGCAATAGAAATGGAAGCAGAAGATGTTTGAAAACATTACATTTATATAAAGTCTTTGAAATTTGACACATTTTACTTATTAAAAAAATCCCCAAAAAGTTAAGAATGATAAGTTCATGTGGTATGCAAATGATATCTATCTTTATTTTTTTAGGTTCAGATGAAATAACACTTTATTAAAAAATATATATATGAATAAATTATACATAATTTTGAAACCCAAAATAAAAAATAATATTAATAAAAAAATTTCGCTCGCTCGCCTCACTTTTTATTTTTGAAAATCTATTTTACAAATTGGTATGGCCTAATTTTAAATGCAGCAAAATATCATTATAAATATACATAATTTTTACATTAGTTGCTATAATCCAGTAATTGATCATTATATATTTTTCATGATATATCATTTAACAGACATATTGACTTTTCCAGATGATTTCTTGAGCAGATATCACTTATAAATAAACATTTTACAAGTTTATAATCCAGTTCCTAAGTTTTTAGAAATTCTATACTATTTTAGGACATGTTACAAATTTGCATGTGCACAGTTTTCTGGGATTTAGCCAACATGCATCAAAGCAAAAACAGTCCCACAGACTGAAATTAAAACTACATACGCCAATAAAAAAGCCATTTATTTGATAAAATAATCCTATTTGCTGATATCTTATGGTTTCAAAGGAAGAAAACTGATACCAAACATTCCAATATGCATGCACAGTCACTGCACAAAATGAATTTATTGTAAACTTATACATGTAATTAAGTTTACATATTGCATATGAAATTCAGTCACAAATCAATTTTGGATACACTGCTTTTTATCAGAAAAATTTCCTAAGCTTATAAAATAATGACAGTTTCATAATGCCCTAATGGTATCATTCTGTTCTTTTCATTTAAAAAGACTGGTTAGCTTTTTATGACCACTGTTTCAATTAACTTGAGGAAATTGACAGAATTAACATGATTAAATTATGCAGAGTTATTCCAGAACAATATCACAAGGTAAATACACTTAGTAATGAATTCAATATGTTTGTCTTTTATATCTTCCTGAATATTTTGTCAAATTTCAATGGATACAAAATTGACTGTAATTTTACATATGTAAATTAAATAGGTATACGGGCAGTGATATTGACTGGAGAATATTGTGCACATGTAATTTTTCTTTACTTTTTATAATATGAAATCCATATGCATTTATAATTATAACTTTATTTAAATTAATTAATGGCTAAGTGAAAATAATAATTAGCAGAGCAATAAACCAGACAAGAATTTTTTTATTGCTTAATTTTTGCTTAAAATAGCAACAAGCCCTATCAAGTGCTCCTGTTTATGACCCCCCCCCCCCCCCTTCAACTTTCTCAATCCATTAAGTAAATATAAAGACCCCCTTTCAAATACTTCTTTACTTATAAATTAACTTAAAATGATTAAATCAATAGGCATTGACAACATTTAATAAATAAATTTTTGGAACAAATTAACATTTTTTAGGCCATAATCATAATTCTTCATGCATCAATATATATTTTTTTGTGGTCACATTTCATTTTAGTATGTACTAACATTACATACATTTGTAATTTAACATGCATTTTAGATGATAGTGTTTTAATTAATCAGTTATATTATATTTCTCATTTTTTAATAATAAAATGTATTGTAACAACTAACAAAAGATACCAAGTTTTAGTTAATGTATCATGCACACCAAATATAGATAGTTTATTTTTTCCCCTTATGCTCAGGGCACTAAATAGGACGAATACAGTATATGCCTGTCTCATGCACCATAAAATTGAACCAATGTTTATTCAAGTATATCAAATATCAGCAATCAATCAAAACAGAGCAAAAAAACACTAAAAAATATATCTGCAGGGCCTTAAATAAATTTTATCCATAAATTACAAATATAGCAAAAAGCTCAGTTAATAAGATACACTGGTGTATCAAGGTACTTCTACTTTATTTTATCACAAATATCAATTTTTTTTAAAAATGCAAACATTATTATGCATAAATTAAGCAAAAAGTAAAAGCAGGTTTCTTCTCTAAAATCCATGAATTTTAACATTTCTAAATAATGCATGATTTATAACTAGTTTACAAAGGGTGAGATATGAGGCACTGATAAGATTAAAGGTGGTTCCAATTTTTTTTTAAAAAAATCCTACCAGCTAAATATACTTTATTCAGACAAAATTTAAAATCGATTGTATTTGTTCAAAAAACATTCCCCTGCCGTTTTTAAAATTTGCCAGCTTAATACCTTAAAGTTAATTAAAAACAAAAAATAATTCAAAAAGTTTTCAAGATGTAATGCAGTGGGGTTTTTTTTCTCTCTCAAAAGGTATTTATTATAATATACTTTATTTTTGAAATACATGTAAATATTCATGTAATTTACACAGAATATCTTTTCAATGACATAACATCACTCTGCAGCAGCAAGAAAAATACATTCAGGTATTATTCGGGTTAGTGCAAGTCAGAATGTACCTCATTCTAAAAGGCTGAATATTGTGCCACATTTATCAGTGATTACGATTTATCCAGAACTCTCCTGACCTTTATAATATTAGTAAATACAAACCAGTTGATGGCTGTAGAGGAAAATTTCATACTTCCATCATCCTGGGGAAGAGTGTGTGTCTCGTTCCCAGAACCACATTGGTGTCCATTGCTGTAAAATTGTAGGTCAAAGTTGTAATTCTTAATTACATACATATCAATTAAATAAATTTCTATAGGTGCTTCATTCTTGAGTATAATAAACATATTTTATTTTATACAAATATCACAAGCATTGTAAAAACAAACAAAAGAAAGACATTTTATAGTTTATTGAATAGCTTTTCTTTTATAATAATGATAAACTAGTACTCGAGTAAGTACGTGTTCGACATGTAATAACATAAAAAATGGCAAGTCTATACATGTGCCATGCTAGCTCCATTAAACATGATAAAACATAAATTATAAAAAATGGCAAGTCTATCCAAAACTCTTAAAATTTCATTGTAACTCAATCACGGGAAGAGACGACGAATATTCCTTTCTCGTTTCTAAAGAAAGCTAGAGCTCCCTTAAAGAGCCAGTCTTTGATACAGACTATAACTTCTCACAAATGATTTCCGTGAACATTCAAAACTGGTGACCTAAGATAAAAACATAAATACTTCACAAACGACCCTGCTTTTAAGTTTTCTAGCTCATAAATCAGTGAAATGTTTGTCAACATACTTAATATATATTTAAAGAAGGCAGCAAATAAATGGAAGGAGAAACTATATCTAGCTGTGTAAATCAACTCTAATCAATGCCAGATGGCTTTCCTCAGAAGAATATTTAATTTATTTCCATTTTACTTGTGTCAATTGTCAAAGAAAAAAGATTAATATAGCTTGTATTTTGATAAAATACATTTCACTTCATCTCTAACTTAAAAAAATTTGTGCTCTTAACATAATAAGTGACATATACAAAACATTACTGATCTAATTAATTCGAAGCTGGTGGTATTATAATGTGATGAAATATCATGAGAAGTGCAGAAATTTGGCTCTCCAAAATAAAACAAAATAATTCAAATTAAATTGTATTTACATATGCCATTTCTGAAATGAATTGCCTCATTAAAACATGATGCATGCAGAAATATGATTAATACATGTATATATATATATGTGCAACTAGTTGATATATACTACAGTTGGTAAAATTTTTGTTCTTATAGTTTAATATAAGCAAATGAAATTTAAAAACAATAGAAATACAAAATGCCCTTAAATATTTCATGAATCTGGTGATGGGATTTTTGCATAGCAATTTATTATAGTAAACTTTATAGAAAATTGTTCAAACAGTACTGCTTTTCGAAAAAAAAATTTGTGTTTAATTTTTAAAAAAAGCAAAAAAGCTTCACAGATAGATAACTACCAATAAAAACCCTCAAAATAGCTTCAAAATATTATAAAATTTACTAAAATAATGAATAAAACCAATTATAATAAGATACAGTTTATGACAAATGATTTATTTTTAAATATAACTGTTAAAAAAATGTAGATTCCATGTTTTATGATGACAAGTGTTTTATGTTGCATTATTCTACATAAAACAAAAAAATGCTCTCTCTTTTTTTTTTTTAAGATATAAATTATTATGTCTGTTAAAACTTCAGCAAAATGCAAATTGTTGAGATATATTAAGCTTTCATTTGCATTTTTCTATCAAAAGTAAAAAAAAAAATTAAATAAAAAAACACACACTTACTATGCTTCAGTTACAAACTGTCAGACATTATTTGTTTGACACCCCTTTAGCAAGCAAAATTTTCCTCTGCAAAAATGCCTGTATACTCAAGACCTTGAAATATTAAAACATCAACTAGGTTCCAAAGGGAAAAAAGTATAAAAGATTATTAATCAACAAGATCTTTTAAGAAATGGATCTAAATTTCTTGAAAGTAGTTTTAAAAATTCTGATTAAAAGGCAACCATGCACACAGAAATATAGAAGAAGCAATAAATAATCTAAGTTCATCAGGTGACCTAAAAAATTAATATCTCTCCCATTTAAACTCTTAGTGACCAATGTACGACTCCGATAACATCTTACTGAATCAAGACTGCTAAAAACCAAACCACAGTCATACCCAGGTAAGATTTCAGATATTTCAATCTAGTATAACAGGTAGGGGAAAATGTCAGCCAGACTGGAATTTGAACCTGGGACCTCCTGACAACTGTGCGGGTGCTCTAACCACTGAGCTTTCACGCCAACATACCCTTCATTAAACTCTTCCCTCCTTTTTCTTGAGGTTTTCCATCCTGAAAACCTCATCGAGACTCTTTCAAACCACCTGTGGGTTTTATTGTTAGGCGCCAAATATAACAGGGAAGAAAAATGTCAGCCATACTAGGACTCAAACCCAGGACCTCCCGCTTAACGTGCAAGTGCTTTAACCACTGAGCTATTGGGCAAATGTACCCATCAACGTTACACTAGATAATCTTGACTTTTGAAATACAACCTAAGAAATGGTGATACTAATGCCCTGTTCACACGCAAATTTAATTCGCAGTAAATTAATGCGAAGAAAATTAATGCAAATCAAAATAATGCGAATTAAATTGCGTTCACAAGACAGCTAATGCGAAGTAAACTAATGCGAATTAAAATTCTACCTCTACGGCCAGGCGTCAGTAATGCTACTATGACGTCATTTGCAAATCACGTCACCATATGCAGGAGCAGATGCATTTGACATAATGTTACAGTGTCTGTACACACCTTTTAGAGATTAACACAATTTTTCTTAATTTTTCACTCAAAAATAGCACAAATACTTCAAGCTGACCACGGACATGTGACATTTGACCTAATTTTGCCATTACACTTGCCTCAAAATTTAATTCGAATTGGCTTCGCTTAGCGTTCACACGGAGCTAATGCGAAGTAATTTAATGCGCAGTAAACTAATTCGAACTAAACTAATTCGCATTAAATTCTCCATGTGAACGCAAAGCGAAGCTAATTCGCAGTAACTTTATGTTCAATTCAAATCAAACTCTCCGTGTGAACAAGGCATAAATCAAAGCTGAACACAAAAATGAATTGGTCTGCCATATTTGTTTATTCACTAGCTATATCTCAGGGCCCCTATGTAAAGCTGCTCACTTAGTGACTGTTCAGTGAAATAAGTTGTCACCAGTGTAGACGCATGGTACAAAGCACTTGGTAATGACAAAAAATAACTGTGTACTCCTATGGCAGAAGAGAAAGGATACTGAAGAAACTTACAACGTTTCACAGGTCATTGCCGTACACTAACAGCACAAATACAGGTAACGAGAGTAAATTGTAAACAAAGGTAACGTTAGATAACCAGCAGGAACACATATTACCATTCAATGGGGATACCAATAGAATAAAGCAGTCAGGTGTAACTGATGTGATGGGTATACCTCGATGCTGATTTCGTAGATATTAGAACCCAATATTGCTTATGCCTATTTTGTTGTTTTCAGCTTTTGGACCATGGGAGGATTGATTTAATTCATCGAAGAATTTTAACGGGATTATGAGTTTAACAGATACTGTTGTGGAAAGAATAGAAATGCGTCTTGATCGTATAGTGGTTTATTTAGACTCTGTTATTAAGTATAGAAACATAACGTACAGTATTGTGACGTAACAATAACGTTAACGTACGATACATAAATCCGCGGATAATCCGTGACACTCCCGGCAAAATTGTTGTGGAAAGAATAGAAATGCGTCTTGATCGTATAGTGGTTTATTTATACTCTGTTATTAACTATAGAAACATAACGTACAGTATTGTGACGTAACAATAACGTTAACATACGTTACATAAACCCGCGGATAATCCGTGACAGATACTATACAGACAGAAAATTGTGTCAAAAACAAAGATCTGAGAATATTTTATGAGAAATTTACAACTACCCAGCAAATTCCCTTATGATTTCTTACTCATCCCATAGTTTAAGTGGACTCTCTTTTTTAATTTAGGAGAATAACCATATAATCTCAATAAACATGATATTTATAGTGTACACTTCTACTTCAGTTTACATTCAGGTACCATTTTATATATTTCATTATATTACATACAGTGTAGAAGGAACATTTATGATGTGAAATATCCCCTACATATCAATGTTCCATGGGCTTTATGACCATTAAGGAGAATTTCTGTAAGAAAACTTTTTGAAACCTAACTTTATAAGGTCAGAGGGTGAATGACAAACCATTTCTTGAAACAATTTGGCAATTTTATAGCTGTTAAAACAGCACACATTTGAAAATTTAGCAAGTACAACGTACAAGAGAATTATGTCAATTTCTAAATAGAGGTACATGTATTAAATCAATCATAAAAAGGAAAACAGACCAAAGAATATGCAAATAAGTAACTTTCATCAAAGAAACAAAATCTTAGTTTTAAAGTATTGGTAAACAAAAGCACACTGATAAGCCAGTTACCACCCCTTATTTATGGATGTTATCATGGTAATACAAAAAATACTTGTTGCTGTAACCTAGTCTGTTCATTTCAAAGAATAAAACTGTTTGAATTAAATTTACAAATTTACATAGAAAAGATTAAAACAAAAACAAAAAAAAATTTAGTTTGGCTTAATTCAAAACATTTTTTAGAAATATGTATTAAAAAAGACTTATTGAAATTACTATCCATGCAATGTCAACATAATTGTAAAAATTACTTATTTATACAAGTAATACTATGTACAGTACTTACCATTGATAGTTTACAGGTTTGTCCAGGGACACTCGCACAATGTACAAAATACATAACAGCAACTTGCATATTAGATCGAATATTCTCAAACGTATCCCTGGAAAATACAAATGACCAGTTAGTAAGTTCAATGTTGAGAACATGTATACACTCAGATTTAATTTTACTACTGCTGCACTTTTCTATATCTTATATCAATGACCATACTAATAATTCTATATATTTCTAGTAAAACTTTGCATTCATGCATGCTATTACATGTATAAATGCATATTTCCTTAGGTTTGACAGTCTGAGAGAGAAAACATTATATAATACTAGCTGTTACAGTATATTTGGTCACATTCTGCAGCTCTACACTTCAAATATCCTATGTAATATATTGTATAAAATATGTATAACATACCATACAGGAATATTAAATAAATTGTTCACAAATAATGATTACGCAGTATTCAATTTATTTTTCGTTCGTCAATTTTTTATATTTTTTTTCTTAAAAAAAGAGAGAACTCGACCTCATGCACAGTTACTAGAACAACTCTTTGGTTCCAATCCACTAAAGGCAAGCTTATTAAACAAACCTATATGAAGTGACTTCAAAATGGAATACAATTTCAGATACATTATCCTAATTCAAATTTACACTTGATGAGGCTTTTGTTCTACTGGTGTGTACTTATAATAATGATATCATAATAAACTCTACTTGTGTGCCGAGTCTAATTTGAATTAATACAACCAATATATGTTCCATTTCCATTATCTAACTCTTCAAATTAGAGGAACTTTGGTCATTTGAGAGGGACAATCATGACGTAATGGAGATTATTATCCTTCAGAATTATACAGTCAATCTGATTGGTTTAGAGCAGGTCACGTGCAGGGAGACAACTCATGATGTCTCCCTCACGCGCAGGGTGACAACTGTTATCTCCCTTCATATGACAATGAAATAGCGTAAGCGAGCATGCAGGGTTACAACTGTGTTGTCGCCCTTTGAATAAAACTACAGTGGTTTAAGCCTATTTATAAGTAAAATGGCTAAATATGCGGGATCGGTAAACAATAAATTCTAACAATGACGTCAAAGTTGTCTGTTGGCATATTTTGAAAGTATGGAATGGGAGCAGAGTAGAAGAAAATAAGAGGTTTGATTACTATTTTCTCCTCTATCTAATTGATAATTGTATATTCTTCAGGATAATAAAACTATTATGGACTGTTTAGAAGGGAGACATCACCAATACGCGAGTTTCGAGATTGTAACTCTCCTGCGATAGAGGCACAAAAAGTATCCATTTTAGCATGGGATGGGAAAGTTTGTTTGTGTATACAATCATGCATAAATAAATGAACAATGTTCATGGCTTTAAAAATTAATTTAATGTTATAGAAAGAAAAAAATTTTAAGCAGTGATGCATTTTATGATTTTATCAAGCTCAACTGAGTATATTTACATATCTACTTTCAATTATAGGGTACTTGAAAACGAAATAAACGTCGCGGTCTTTATAAAAAGTAAAAGATTTTCTTCATTGTACAAACATTCTCTAAAAAGGTTAGTGGGTTTTTTGAAGTTATAATAAGGGAAAAAATAAATGTGTCATTTAAATTGCCGACATGTAATGATCAGATTTATGTTTACCGTATTTATTAGAGGCCCATATATATCTCCCCTCTTCTGAAAAGTCTCACATCCACTGAATTTTCTTTTTTGTTCCGATTTTTTTAATTTAAAAAATGACACCTTTACTTTAATTTGGTTATTCTCTAGTTGAAAAGAGCATCTTTACAATTATATAGTTATCAGAAATCAGTATATCGATGATGCGATATATCCAATAATAAATATCTGCCCCACCTGTTTGTTTATGCGGCAACAAAACTCCCCTCCTCAACGAAAGAGCGCACCAAGGGAGATAATCTCGAAACTTGCGCAAGCACCCTCGGGTGACAACCCTACTCAACCTGATAATTGGTGTATAAATAATGTCATCTCAATCCGATTCTGAATGTTAAATATATTTGTCATTTCTATCGAAGAACAGAAAAACTAATAGACAAATGAGAGAGAGTGAAAGCCATAAAATTACCAAACAATGAAAATTACGATTTTCCGAGGCCTGCACACTATATTTTGAAAAGGACTGTCAAAAACGTGTGAAGAACTTCATGTAACACATATAAATTGATTTTGTTGCCATTTCTACTTCTGATGCATGTGAAGTCCACAACAATACAGTGTCTCTTTTGCATGTTTGTTAACCATTTAGGCATTTCAATAATCAACATATTATTTCAGATGTTCAGATTGTCCCACTGCTTTAAATCCCAAAAGATTCGTACATTTTCTGACTTTTCCACAAAAGGGGTGCACTTAGCTGCAATAATGTAGCCCTCTCTGATTTTTTTAATCTGATGTTTTCTGGAGAGGGCTACAATTCCATAGCATCTCCCTAATGGTGCAAATATTTTTTTTGAAAATAGGGTGACTGCAGGCACAGGGGCATCTTATCCACTCTGTTCTCTACTTCACATATAAAAATACACAAGGGAAGAATCGAGTGTATTTTTATATGTGAAGTAGAGAACAGAGTGGATAAGATGCCCCTGTGCTGCAGGCAAAATAAATTGTTTTTACATTCAACTTACTTCTAATAAGACAACATTTTTATTCACTGTCAACAACATAGCCCATTAGCCTAAATGCAAAAAACCTGTAAAATAACCCTGCCTGTTTCACAGTTGTTTTACTCAGCAGCCATGACAGTTCATGCGTGACGTAATGAGACTTTCGCTTGAAATTTAGAACAACTTAATTAAGCAAATTTCCGTGTTTATAATACAACTATCATCCGGGTTTTTTTTTCCAAAAAAAAATACTTACTTGTAGCTGGTTTTCGGATTAACAATCTTTTAAGACGACCTCTAAGTGACAACTCATTGGTGAAGTATTTTATTGGCGATGACCTACAAAAATAACAAATAGTAGTAATTTGTCTTAGCCAAAAGATACTCATAAAAGGTCTGATGAGCACCTGTCTGCATTAAATATTTTTGTAATGTTCGAGAAATTATCTACAAAATTAAAGCATATAGCTAATTACTATGTATTTTAAATTTTCTCGAATGGTTTCCAATCACGTTCACTTTTTGTGCTTCGTGCCAGATAGCTGCAGACCTGTAGCGTTATGGTTTTATATAGTTTTCTTTGACCATAACGCTACAGACCCCGTAATGCAAAAAGGTTCAATTTACGGCGCAATATTTTTTGCGCTCTTTTGAGGAGAATTTCTCCACTTTTTAGCATCGGTCAATCAACTACCTTTCACTCCCTAAGTCTAGACACACTTTGTAGCCAATATGTATATTTTATCCATCTCCCAACCCTTTATAGTCGTCTCTACAAGAGATAAACTCGCTGGATTAAAATTATTTGTTAGATTGCTGAAAATTCACTTCAAGCGAGTTTATTGCCTGTAGAGACGACTATAAATGGTTGGGAGGTGGATAAAATATACATATTGGCTACAGAGTGTGTCTAACTTAGGGAGTGAAAGGTAGTTGATTGACCGATGCTAAAAAGTGGAGAAATTATCTACAAAGATTAAAAAATATTGCGCGTAAATTGCACTATTTTTTTGTATTACGGGATCTGTAGCGTTATGGTCAAAGAAAACTATATAAAACCATAACGCTACTTTCTGCAGCTACGTGCCAGACTGCATAAATGTTTTTCATACCTCTGAAAATTGAAGAGTACGGTGCGCTCGATTACCACTGAACACCATGTTTCCTACAGACCCATAGGAACAGGGAAGTAAATGACAGGGATTTTGCGATTAAGTTTACTTTAGCATTACGCTCCTGTCCATCAATAAAAACGCTCGATGATTTTTTTGCTTAACTCAATGATTTTTTGGCAAGACCCCCCCCCCCCCCCAATGCTAAATGTCTTACGCTGCAATCCCCCCATCTAAAATTACTATCTAAATGAGATTATCCCAATTTTGCATCTTTAAAAAGTGTTTATCTTCGAGAAAATTGCTATAAGACACACACACCCACCCCCACTTATATGTACATATAATTGTTGAGTATGATTTGTGACGAAATAAAGGCCTAAAATGACCACGTTTAAGAATTATTACATGTGTATAAATTAAAAATGCGTAAATGTTAGCGTTGACGCTTGTTTTCATTACATCATTCTTATTACGAAAGATATTACCTTTCCTACAATACTAAATTAATTTCTATTACGATCAGAAGAATACTCAGTAATTGCTTTTATTTATGTAATACAAAATTAATGTATGAGACTACCAAAGTTGCTTTTAAATTTGAAAATATGCGTGTAATGTTTATCCCTAGTATCATGCATAAACTAAAAGGCACAGATTCTACTCTAAAGCATTGAAAACTTCACAAATCTATTCAGAGGAACAAGTCATTATATTTGATGTTGACCCATTTCAATGAAATCCAAATGAACACCTCTAAATGTTACAAAATAAATAGTAATATACCCCTTTGACGGAATGCATTTATATGACTTGACTGCGCTTTCACCCACGTGATGTTTGTTTAACTATCTGAAGGTATCTTTAACAAATTATATATTTGTTGTGCAAAATTTGTTTTGCAGATTTTATTTGACAAAATGAAATAGACCAAAAACGACAGCAGGATTATTTAGTCTATCATAGAATTCGTCCGACATTCCAGTCTACAGCGGTGATGGAAGGTGTCAATATAAGGTGCAAGCAATGTTTGGACACACTGAATCCTTAATATAGCAACGATTCGGATATTTTTAGAGTAGGTTTAATTAGTGTTTAATTAATTTTGAATACTGTTGGTCATGTTTCAAGTGGTGCACACGTGCCAACATGGTATCAACGCCCATAATAATTAATCACCAACGAATACTAGTATATAGTAGTCATGATAAATGTCAAGTAGTTTTTAATAATTCTATAGCAAATCTGTGATATCACTCATATTATTATAATTGATTTTAAGGAATTAGTCATGGCCTTTTGAAACCCCCCCCAAAAAAATACCCACGGGAAATTGTAGATATCATACAAGAAAAGGATAAAGTTTGAATAAAGTTTCGAGTTGAAAAGCCATATAAATAAATAGCTGCAGAACTGTAGCTCTCCGAAAAAAATATTTTGACAGACCGGTCTGTCAATATATTTTTTTTTGGAGAGCTACAGTTCTGCAGCTAATAAATAAACATCCATACTTGAAAAAAAACCTGTTTTGTATAACTCTTCCTTTAAAATACACAAAATTAAAATTAAAATTTTACAACCATTATCTATATAAAATGTCTGGACGTAGTAGATCGTTACCTCAGCCATTCCTCTTCGTTTTCCTCGTCGCTGTCATTGATGATAAAGTTTAGATCTATTCCATCACACACCGTGTGTTCATACACCATAATGATAGCTCAGGCATACCGGTTACAGCAGCCGTCCAAAAGTCCTTACTCCCAATTAATTTTTAATCCCTGCAATAAAAGTCAGTGCCTTGGCGTAAATCGTCCAGAAATGTGTTTATTATTTTGTTTTCTCTCATGATAATTAATACATCACATGTTACGACGAAGAGGTTCAACTTTTTTCACCTATGATGACACACAATTGTCAAAAGACGCAAATTCATTGCATAATTTTCATTTTTTATTACGGAAGACGCTCTCTGCTGACTGGTCACTATGTCCAGATGTGCGGCGATTTTAATGGTCGTTTGTCTCGTTTGCTTGATGCAGCGCCCGTGGGGACAGACGGGCGTCTGGTAATCATATACAAAATTTCCGAGATAAATTACCAGCCCATAATCTTGTGCAGAATAGGTAAAATAGGTGTTATTTCCGCGAGTTGGTTAATAGTTACGTAACTTGCTTCAACTTTGACAGGACGAAAAATTAATTCGAAAAAATTGTTTGTATAATCTGATGTTACCTATGAAAATATTTAAGACTAAGGTAAAGTATACACGAAAACGTACGGAAAGATAGATAAGCGGGTATTTTATTACGGTGTTTTCGAAGAAAAACAATATAATCTCCGTAAAAAGTGGTCAGAATTTAAATGTTTGAACATAGCTTAATTCATGCACCTTCATCTTTTGCAGCACACATTAATTACTTTTCTTTTCTATTGACATGGTAAGGGGCTGGTAAGGTTATCTGCATGTCAGTCTATTTATAAAATAAATTACACGTGCTACCGCGAGATATTTATGTTTGATATATATGTTAATTCACTACATATAATATTATATATTACTGTTATTATGCATTTGTAAGTAGTATATACTTGTAGGTCCCGGAAGTGTAATTTGAGAGAACAGATTATTTAACTACTACACACACGATGAACATAAACAAGACTTGATCATTGTTTATTACAAATTATTTAATTTGTAATTCAAATTTTATGAGAGAAAATTGTTTGATGTCCATGATTTCAACAACGAATTTCATTGTTGCTGACGATCTATACAACGTAAAACGTAATTCTCGGTTAATGTCGAGTTTTTACTTTTCATGTAAACATCTTAATTCACAGACAAAGTTGTTAAAAAATCTTGAAACAAGTAATTCGAAAAACGTTTAGAAATCCTTGCATTGACGTCTTTTGTTCAGCGCGTAACAGTGTCAATACGTTCTATATAGTTTGTAACACGGTAGGTATATCTTACATCTCATTATAACCCCGAAGACATGACTGCGCATAAAGTATCGGATATACAACACAACACATATATCGTTTTCATTCTTACTTACGCTTGGTTTCTGCTACATTGAGAGCTGTATCCTTTGTAATATTCCAGAATTATTCTCTAGTCTCCTTTGTTGAATAAAATAACAATAATCCCATGGACAAAAAAAATCTCTCGCGATCGTTGAACCGAGAAAAAAAATCTAAAATTCGATGATAACACCAGAAGTTGAACTTCTCAAAAGAACCTACCCATTTTACTTTCTGTTTTCCCTTTAAAACGCACGTGGTTATGTTGACCGAATGCACCGATTTCCTTGTGTATGTAGTTATTGACAAGTAAAGTCTGTTTCACTTTCGGCGACACAGCAGGATGCTTGGCTCATGTGCGTGTCCGCTGAATTACATAGAATAAACTTAACGGATGTGTGAAAAAAAACTCCATATAAACTGATCATATCTGTAGACAATCGCAATACTGAACCATACTAAATAAAGTTTAATTTAGAATTATGAGATATTGAATATGACAGTCATTTAATTATTACTGTGAATTTATTTTGAGGAAAAGTCCTGCCAACACATTCAACACTTCATGGTTAATTTAATGTCTGGCCGCTGATGTGTTGAGTTAAGCTGTGACATGATAAAATGCTTATAAACTTGTATAAATATACAAGGATGTATGTTGATGATAAAAACATATTAAAATGACTGCCATAGATCTATGTTGAGGGGGAATTAAAATATAAGTAATTTAAATGACTGCAATGAAAAAGATGAAGATAAGGAACATTATGATCGACCTAAAGTAATCTATAAACAATAAGAATCGACGAAGAGGGCATCAAGGCATAAAACACGGACCCCTGGGAATCCCAGAGGTGGGATCAGGTGACCAGGAGGAGTAAGCATCCTCTGTTATATCCAGTCACACCTGCAGTCCGTAGTCAAATTCAGTATAAAAACAAAGGCTTATATATAGCAATTGATATGAAACAAATCAGACAAAATACTACCCAATGGTAGGTTATGACAAAGAGACTGGAAACAGTGAAACAACACGTCTGCTTTAAATTTTGACCGATGTTAACGTTGTAGGAGAAATACCAGATATTTTCTTAAATTATTGTCCCTCTCACCCCCACAGTTCTTGAAAGGTTTTAGTAATGTCAATAATAATTATATATCTGCAACACAGTCGTGCTCCGAATTTTATTTGACAAAGTAAAAATGTCAGAAAGAACACAACCACGTGATAAATCCATATATCACTGGGAACTGCTTCGACTTGGACACATAAAATCCGATCAAAATGACGAAAAAGGACGATTTAATGGACTGGATTTAATCATCGGCGTTTCTAGGTTTTTACTGATGACCCACTTTTACTCATCACCTCTATCCTGTCTTTATCTAGGCGTAGGACATTTTATAATGACCCTAAATCCTAATACATGTACAGCGTATACTACAAAACATATCAAAAGTTGCTATATCATATATAATTTATTATATAAACAATTATAAGGTTACACTGCTAAAAAATTCCAAGGGAATGAATGTACATGTAATAATAAGGTGCTGCAAACTTAATATGCTGTCAAACTTGAATAATAAAGATTTTCTTCAAATTAAAAAAAAAGCAAATTGATTTGAATTTCAGTATATACTGGAAACTTAAAAAGATTTGGCATTCATTCCTTACCCACCAAATTAACCTCACCTAAAGCATTAAATTAGCGTTTGAAATTGAATATATACAGTTGAAATTTTGAAATACACATGGAATAGAACTTAAAGTTGCAGATGTTATTAAATTCTTAACCAATGAGAATTTGAGAGACGTTAGTTATTTAGCTTCGAGAATGCCACGCGTCAATGAAAATCCAAGGATGACGGAGAATTGCACTATTATAACTATACTGTATTAAAACAGCAAGGAAATATATTATTCAACAACACATATTCAGAAATGATGCTCATCAAATGTGTTTACCAAAAAAAACTTAAAGTAAATTTTCGCGCGATCACTTTAATTTGCCTTATTCAAATAACGAAAATAAAAACTTTCTACACTTTATACTTCTTTAAAAACATTCTGATTCTACCCACAGGTAATATGAAATCAATATTAGACAGATGCTTAATTTTATCATTGACAACATAGTAATTGGTCCAATCCTCTGTGGAAGTCCCATGGAAACGAATTGTGCCCCTTTATTAGCATGCTTTAAACATCTACTTTGTTAAAAGTCTCTTGTATTTTTATTTATTTAACATTTTGATATACTGGCGAAGTTTTATCTGTTAACAATATACATATTCTCTTGTTTCGACATATACAATATGAGTTGGAATAAGAAACACCAGAGTCTGTCTCTGACATTGTTTCATAAATGTTTGTGTACTCTGTATACTGTATGATAAAATGAATATGTTTCTGTCGCCAACTTTTCTGATTCTTGTACATAGCAGTATAGCAAGTACATGTATACCATAATCATCGGTCTTTGGTATTCCAATTGAATCGCTCTACGTAAGAACAATTTTAAACCGAGGTAGTCTACGAACAAATAAGTTGCTGATACAATACTTACATTAAAATTTGAAGTCAACTTTTGGCAAATTCTGTGGTCGACATGATGACCTTGTTGTCAGATAAAGTTTTCGTTGGGTTGATCAAATATACAAATTGTTAGGTCAATCTAGTAGGATCGCTCGCTTGAAAGACAGGGTACAGTTCTTTAAAAAACTAATTTGTTGAATCCTTTGGAAATACCACGGCTATATTTTTGTATCGATATATGGTATCCTAACTTTATGAGAAACGTGATTACTTTAACTCATCAATCGTCAACTTCTCTTACTTAATGCAGTATATACCCTTGACAGTTGCCACCTGCATGTGGATTTAAAAATCTCTCATTTGATTCAACCTGCAAAAGCATGCTTCTAACAATTTCTAAAACGAAGTAAGTTGATGAAACAAGCTCGTTTTGAATAACAATTTCTTAAGTTTTTTGGTCGATACAACGACCGTGCCAGAAAAAACAATCAAGTCAAATGCTGACAGAAGTTTTTCATGCTAATTGTTAGACCATTATTTAAAAAAAAACATCAGAAGGAGCAGAAGGCGGGTGTGACCGGTTGGCAGGGGATGCTCACTCCTCCATGGCACCCGATTCCACCTCTGATGTTTTGGAGCTGGGTTCGCGATTGCTCTGCTCCTGATTTGTGTTGTTTGAATGCATGGACTTTTGAGCTTGAGTAGTGTTTGTTATCTACATAAATTTCATTCACGGCGGGCTTTACCGGTTAACAAAGCATTTTTATAATCGCATTTTATCATTAATTCTTCGACTGAAACGATTTAGACAATTTAAACATGCGCATCTAAACCAGCGACACCAAGATCCAGACACAGTCATTTATTTTGCTATTTTAGAAAGATCGGAGAGAAGATAATATGAAGTCGACATCCACTTAAAGCAATATGAGCTGCATGTTTGACATCGGAAAAAAATGTTGCAAATTTGTAATCAACTATCTCAATGACAGAGAAATAGAACATTTATAAACTTCTGTTGTTCATAATTGCTATGAAAGAACTTTTAATACGCTTTGATTGAAGCAAAATTGAATTATTGTCGTCCTGTACAATACTGATTTCTTATATAAATCATATCTTCTGAAACATTTTTAAAATTTATTTTGGTTTTATTGAACATAAGGGTTTAGATTACATACAAATTAATCATAATAACACATTTTACCAGCAAAATAAAATTCTAAAAAATGCAGCTCATATTGCTTTAAATTAATGAAATATAACAGGGGTCAGTCCATGCAGTAATTATATACTGACCACACTCTTTAATCATAAACCCCGAGAGATATCAATGGAATCAAACACTATAGCTCATATATAATAGACTGTATTTCTTACACTGATATGTGTAGAGGATTTGCAGTTTTTATTTGAGTTCCGATGCTACTTTGTCGGAGCAAGGGTCCATTAAATGTAACAAACATTCATCAATCTCATAATTTTGTGAACAATACAAATACTGAACAGGGTAAAAATTGGAATCCATGAAAACACCTGGCCTGAGATTGGTTCAGGTGCGTAAGACTAGCAATCACGCCTTTGGCCGGTGGACTGGTCAAAATTGCCCAGAGTTTACAGTATAACACCAGTCGTGCGCCCTCCGTATTAACAAGGAAAAAAGAGTATTTCCGAGGTCAGTATCACAGAATGCAAAAATTTTACAATTAGTAAGAAACAAGTCAGTTAAAATTAGACGCAACGAAAGGTGAAAGAGGCAACGGGTTACACTCAAAGAAGAAAGATCAATGAACGATCATGAGAAATGGAATCGGTTCGATAACGATCTGGACTAAATCTTACTCTTAATCTTGCTTTGTGGATCTTACTCTAAAATCCACAAAGCAAGGAGGCGTAAAAAGGAATGTCCAGAAATCGTATTTACGAGGGCTGTTCAATAAATATTGTCCTGAACTGTATAACATACAATACAGATATTATATGACATTAAGCTTGACTTTTTCGCATTATTGAATCTTTAATAAACTTATAACAATTTATGTGAACACTTTTCGTCACATAGTTTCATTGTGAGAGGCTGGAAAACAAGGGCTATTTGAGACACTGCATTAAAAATGAATGGTAAAGAATCAGTAAACTTGAGTGAAATTTAACGCTTCATTAAAGCTGCTGTAAAACTCCTGAAGAATCTCAAAGAAATATTCACTGAACTAAGTAAAATTTACGGTAACCAATGTCTGTTTTATAGACAAATGAGCAAGTGAATTTCAATGATGAAAAATTATATAATGTGCATTAAAAATGGGTATAGTCCTTGCCAACAAAAAATATAACAACTAATGTACTGTTTGCAAAATTTCAACAAATAATCACTGATGATGTATGATCGACTTTATGACACATAGCAAATTTGATAGACATCATATCGGGAGTAGTTCACACTGTTTCAAAGAAACGTTTGACAGTTAAAAAGCTTAGTACTCAAAGGTCATCCTATGTTTTGATATATGAGTGAAAACGACAGCGTGTAAGAATATCTAAACAATCATTTTAAATTACCCCTGTATCAGTACTGAGTAATTGTAGTTATCCACGTTTGTTTGAAATTCAAACAGATAATGAAACTTGAATCTATAGCTCAAAACCCTCAAAACAAAATTTATAATAAGATATACTTGACAAAAACAGCAAAGGTCTGAGAAGAGCAAAGAATTGCAAGAGCACAAAGACAGATTTGTCTTGTTGTTCAAATTCGTATTCGAGGAGGCAGTTTAATTTCTGGAGGAGTCTAGAAAACATTTTTTTGCAAATAAAGGCTAATGAGAGGAAGGAACCAGAATCAGGAATCCACTACTTTCTTCATGACAGCGTCCAAACCCGCACGCCATTAAGAGTAAAGGAGTTTTGGGGATAAACAGAGAGTTAATTTTTTCACATTAGCAATATTCGCCCGATATTTCGCCTTTTGACTTGTTTCATTTTCCAAACCTGAAAGAACACCTTTCAGAAGGAAGAAACGAGTCCAGAAAATCATAAGATCTGTCATTTTCATAGTAAGGGTCATACCCCAAAATGAGTTCTAAAACAATCAGAAATGGGATAAAACATTTTACGGACATGTGTTTTAATGAAAAGAGAATATGAAGTTAAATCATCAAGACCAAATCGCTGAAAAGCGTCTTTTGCTTCTTTCCGAGCACCGCGAGGACATTTATTGAACAGCCCTCGTACATTGACAAGTGAGGAATCGATGAAGCATGCAGAGGAAATTTCAGCAAAATTGGTCACAAAACAGTAAAATTACAATTAAGAAAAGGATTTAGGGCTCTTAGGAAACAACACAAACAGTAACCAAAATGGAGAGAGGACAACGGTAACTAAGGTAAAGAATATACATGAAATCTCACTATAAAAAGTATAAATCCCTTCAGAATGCTGAAAATTGAAGCAAATAGGGGACAAAGAATTGTGGCACAGCTTTCATTAAAAAACCCATCTAGGATAACTTTTGTAGGGAGAGGGTCTGGGTTACTGGGGACTAGAGGAGTATTTAAAGGGTTGAATTCGAAAGACAATTAAACCATTTAGACTATTTGCTAAAAAGGAAATAAAGTAGAAAAACAACAGAAAAGATTTGACAAGAACAGGGAAGATCCTGAATAGTAGTGGCGAGCTGTGGGCTTCCAATACAATTACTTGTATGTAAGAGGTGCCAAAAATGTTTAAGTTACGACTCTAGAAGCTTTCAAAATTTAAATGGGCCTTAAATATGAATGGTCCATGATACCAAAAGAGAAAGACATCAGCATGATCAGATTCAGAACCATACCACGTCTTAGTGTTTAGTGTTGCAGGGCTTGTAAGGACTTTAGGAGTCTACAACATCTAGACACTTCGATGCAGAATGTAGGATTCTGGATTTGATTATATTACTCATAGGAGAAGCCAGAATAAACCAAAGAAACCAATTTTGGCTATAGACCTAGAAAACGCACATGGCTCTTTGTCTCACTCGATGTTCATAAATGCACTGCAGCACTAAGATCCTAAAAATCATCATAAGCTACTACGAAAGTACCTAGTTATATATATAGGAAAATATACATGAGAGAAGGCCGAAGGCTCAGGGTGTATGGTAAACAGAGTAAATCACACCCTTGATTGGAAATGATAACGAATTTATTTCCTTTGTACCCATAACAATTTATTTAATCAAGTCGGGTGCACGTGATTTCATGATTACTTTCGACTTTGTCAATCAAAGCTCGTGTTACAAGCTAGATAGGAAATAATCATTTTTACATAGGGCAATTTACAACAGAAAATTTGGGTTGGAAGAAAAGAAATAGTAAGTGGCTGTATACCATATCATCAGTCATTTGCTTTATGCTGGGGATGAATTTCATCACCAACGAAGAAGACCTAGAAAAGGGCCCCAAACACCTAAAGATATCACATAATCGTTAAATAAAGGACTTTTGGACGATACAACCATAATAACCCACAATTGGTATGTCAGACTCTTTCCGACACAGTAAGGTGTGCAAAAATGAAGTTCAAATCTATGAACTTCAGAAGAAAGGCAAAAGACAGAAAGGTTCACACTAAAGATGTTTGAGAAAATATCCATACAGAAAAGAAATAATTGTCAGGAGAAAATGAAGAACAGGAAAGAAAAGTGAAAGATGGACTAAAGAATACAGACTAAGTATGTAAGACGTACATATAAGAAGAAAACACTCTCGGTGGCCTTCATCTGGGTATCAAAGATATGTGTATCAGCATCCTATTATCAATTAACAATAGCAATTTCCACTTATATATTCACACGATATGTATCCCTGTGAGCTTGAAAGGAAAGATACCCTAGAGTCTGACACATCTGTTTCATATTTGGATGTCACAATTGGTAAACGTAGTGACTTAAACTTTTTTCAAATTTTTCAACTTCCAGTACTTATGTATAATTATACACTTATCACCTGCATAAGGGGTTATTATCTCTCTGTTGATTCGATTTACAACAGCATGTTCTTTTTACGAACAATTTCTAAAACGGCAAGGTTATTGAAAAACAAGTTGATGAAGCAAGTTTATTGAGTCTTAATCAACTGGTCAAATGATGGCTGACGCTTTTCATACTTATTGTATGGCCATTAAATTAATTATACACTGAATTGTCTGTGGATTTTTCAGTTAAATTCATGTGCAGATGATGTTAACTCATCCATGTCACCTGAACCCGCCTCTGTTGTTTTAGAAGCCCGTGTTTGCTCTGCTCTTCTGTGCCTTTTGAATGGTATTCTGAGTACATGTATTAATCCAGACATTTCAGTACAGACTATAAATTTGAAATCAATAGTCTTCATTCGATATTTTAATTTTACGATAGCAGTTTTGGCTGCTAAGCCTGCATTGTATGTCAGTGCTTGCCTAATTATCTTAGTACCTAATATATATAGGAAAATATAATGAGAGAATTTGGCTAGAACGTAAACAGGTAATCAGCCTTAAAATGATAAAACCTGTAAATCAATACTAAATGTTCAAAGAATCTGCACGTGATTACTTGATTACTTTCGACTTTTCAATGAATTATTTAAAAGATAATCCTATTCTACTGCATGCAAACGTTTATCACCGAGTCCTGTGTTACCTTCTACATAATGATAAATCAGGTGTTTAATGTATAGTGTCAACAAGGACATGTATAACATTCTTGTTTTGTCTTTTGTTTTTTTGCAGATGCAATAAATTGCTTACGTTTGCAGAACTTGCAAATGATGACTTTAAACGAGACTGTTGAAATTCTTGTTTCATCAACATGTTTGTCATTTACTTACCAAATTTAGAAATAATTGTTTGTATTGCGTATCGAATCAAATGAAAGATTTAAAACCTCATATGCAATTGATACATACCTGTATAAGGCACAGGCACCTGACGTTACTTATTTTTCTTTAAATAAAAAAATATATATCCATACCTAATAATAAACAAGTTTATTATTAGGTATGGGTATATTTTTTTTTATTAAAAGAAAAATAAGTAACGTCAGGTGCCTGTGATATAAGGATATATTGCTACATAAATAAGAGAAGTTGACGATTGCAAAGTTGAAGTCGTCATTATTTATCATAAAGCTTTGTTGTTACTCGTAGGTTACCATTAATTTAACGTTTTTTTTTTCTAATGAAATATCCAAATACTAGTATGAAACAAATGTGTCAGACTTTTTGGTTCTTTTGTTTGAAGCTCACCGAGATATATCGCGTCAGCTTGTGAATGAAATTAACTACAGTGCTGTTAATTGATGCAATACTAGAATATCGTCGATATACTGAGTATCTAAATGTCGAGTTGGAGGCCACAGTAACTGTTTACATTTCATGTATAAAATTTTGAGCAAATCGGCTACATATGCATAAATAAATGTTTGCTTTAAAAGGGGGTGGGGTGGGGGCGGATTCAGTACCCATGGGAATTCCGATAGATTGTTGGTAAACTTGGCCCCAGGATCATGAAACAGACTTAGACTTAATATAAAAGTCGAATTTTCAATCGTCTCGAAAATGTTAATTATTGGATATCAAAATTAGCAATAACAATACTTGTAACTTAGTATTGAAGCATATTTTAATTTTGGTCTGCATGACTACAACATTTAAGCAAAATATTAAGAATTTGACTCAAGCTTAAAATGTTTCATGATCCTTGTGCCTGGTCTCCACCACTTTTTCCTATTGAAAATGTTCATTGAAAGGCTGGTTGGCCCCCACTTTTGTTGAAGTTAAGTCAAATAAGGTTTATGTATTAATGTATGAATAAAATTTAGTACTGAAAAAAGTTTCAAACTAACATCTCCATACACATACACAAAATGGATTTTTGAGCATGAACAATTTTTCAGTCTTTTTTTTTTAAGAAATAGTCACTTTTATTTCTCTGGGTCCCCCTTTCAACAAGATGCCCATGGGCCACATCACTCACCTGAGTAACTTTGTTCTTTACCAGATTCCCCCCTTTATAATATATGTGGCCCCGCCCTACCCCCAGGGGTCATGATTTAAACAATTTAGAATCTACACTTCCCCTGAATGCTTCCACTTAAGTTTAAGCTCATATAAGCTTAAAAATATCTCCCCTGACATCCATCACTTGTATGCTGCAACATGTCAGTACCATTTAGTGTCCATAACAGGAACTCACAGTTGCACTTCAATTTTGCATGCTAATTAGGAAGTATTGATGTTGTTTTAAATAATTAGATTATTACCTGACTGTATTCCAAGGTAACATTGATAAATCAAATTCTGCAATTAGACGTACAAAATGCAATATGTAAAGTGCTACATGTATCAGGTGGATAGACAGTCAAAATGACTTAAACTTTGGTCCCCCTTGTTTCCTGAATAAGTAAGTGCTTAAAGATAAAAAAAATCATTCTTTTGTTGATATTTTATTTCATTGTAATCAAAAGAAAACTAGCTCAATCACATATATCACATTTGTTGCTAAAGCTCTGGCAAGACTTGCAGGTAACTGTACATGTTTTATTGTTCTTTAAGTAGCAAACTCGTATTATATTTTAGCCAGTACAAGTGCATTAAAATATTTTCTTTCAATTTTTTAAAGATGTCTTACATCTGTATGTTGAAAAAACAATGATATTGGGAGTAAATTCATTTGAAAAATTTATGCACTTCATTATGGTCTTTGTTCCAATAAACATTTTGATCTCAAAATCTCAAAATTAATATAAAAAATTGATACATGTATATCCTTAATACTTACAAAATTTTCCCTTGTGCTTGTAATGAAATGAATTACAAAAGACAGTAAGTACATCTACCCTTAAAAAACGCAATCTAAAAGAATACTATTTTAATCTTTAATGGATTAAAAATTCCACTGTAATGGAAACTTGTTTATATTGATGGCTTGAAAATTTGACTATTCATGTTTGTGAGGGACACTTTGGCAGTCTATTTCAATTTTTCCTTTCATACAATGAGATTTCTGAGTCAGTATATCAATGATCATAGGTTTTAATTTTTTAACAGGTTTGTTACTGTTCCTCATCATCAACAATTCCATGTTTACAGAAACATCATGATCAGGAATTAGGAAAAACCATATTGCATGCAATATCATATGAACACATAATAAAACATAGAGGTACTTTGGCAGAAAACAAACTTTGGCAATACAAGTATTCAGATGCACCAAATAAAAAAAATTTTTTTGATATTGTCTACTTACAATGCACTTTTAGATAAAAAATAAAACGAAAAATACCTCTTAATTTTAGAGTGAAAAAAAAAGAGAGAGCAGACTTTGATAATTAGCAGATATGACATTTTCATTACATTTACCAAAATCTTTAGCATTTGTTCCAGTAGAATTTAAAAAAAAATAGCTTAGATTAACAACAAAGTATGACTCACTGCCCAAATTTAAAACTGTTTGTTTCCAACATTGTGAAAATTTAAGCAGCACACTCACTGAGTATGTGACTAGAGGAGTATTATGACATACACTGACAAAGACTGAAATAACATCAATTATACAAACATCAAACACTGTACATGTAAGTGTAATGCAACAAAAATACACACACACAGCTGTCTATAAAACAGAAATATATCAGCAGGTTCTAGAAGATCTTTTATAACTTGTGAGATCCTAAAGCATCAAAAATTGACAGGTAAACAATGTGAAACAGTTTATAATAGACTGGTAATTTACAAATAGATATAAAAGTACTAAAGCCATTGTTCATTTGGTACAATTGCAATATGTAAAAAAAGATCTCTTTTAATACAGTACTTCATAAAAAAAACATGTATTAAGAATCATTGTCAAATGTCTATTATGAACACAATTTACTGGATTTTTCCTTGCATGGTGCTACCATTTTCTGTTATTTTTTAGTTACAGAGTTGTATTACAAACATGGCTAACTTGCATTCCACATAAAATAATAAAATGAAAATTTTACTAAGTAACCTTTGGGAATTTCATGTGGAAAAACAGTCAATGAGATAATAAAGTAAACAGTTTCACATAAAATTTATGTAATTTCCTATGAAACTCTTCCTTTCCATATAAAAATACATGAAAGACCCAACTGGTTGTGTTACATGTAAAACGTAAAAAAGAAACTTGACCAGACTTTAAAATTGACTATAAAAAAAATCATTCAGACTGAAATACTGGCCATAATGTAAGTTAAATCTCTAATTAGAAACAAAAAATGGTGAATATATCCATGTATATGACTATATGAAGAGTTGTCAAAACATCAGGAACACACCAGATTCAAAATGAATGAAAATTTACAAACATCCAGTCTTAGACCCCTACCAATATAAGTTACTAATAATTAATGATTATCATTTTGCCATCTTTACTTCACAACTATGTCAATACTAATTAGCAATGTACAGAAAATAATACTTTAAATACAAATAAATAACAAATACTACTTATCAATACTTCATAGAAGATTGTTTTATACTTATAGTGGACATTTCCTGGCTGTTATGACTTGGCCAGTCACAGTTAAATGTCCCATTATAAAAAATGCTTATCATGCACACAATGTGTAATACAGTACATAAATGACTAGAAAATCACATATAACAAAAAACCTCTCATAAAAAGATCCTCCACACTTCAGCACCTTACAAGTTCTTATTCACAGCTTTCATTATGAAAGAACAAGAGGCCCAAGGGCCTTGAATCGCTCTTCGGATAAATTGTACAACCTATCACTTGTATTTGAAGCCTCTAACCCTAAGTATCCTATTAAAGACCCAAGTTGCATCACCTGACAAAGTTTGATGATTCTTAGCCAATTAGAACTACTTTTTGGTCTACATTCTTGGAAATCACAAAATGCATCAACTGACCAAGTTTGATGATTCTAAGCCAATAAATACCTAAGATACTTAAATATAGCCATAAAATGTCGAAAGTAGGTCATCCTGACCTAAATTTTGGCTGACATTTTTCAAAGTCCCAAGATGCAACTGCTGACCAAGTTTGATAATTCTAAGCCAATAAATACCTGAAATATTCAAAAATAGGTCACCATGACCTACTTTTAGGTGGACATTCTCCGAAAATCCAAGAAACATCAACTGACAAAGTATGATGATTCTAAATCGATAAGTACTAGAGATAGATAAATATAGCCATAAAATGTCAAAAAGTAGGTCACCGTGACCTACTTTTTGGTTAACATTCTCCGAAAAACCCAAGATGCATCAACTGACAAAGTTTGATGATTCTAAGCCAATAAGTACCGGAGAATACTTAAATATAGCCATAAAATGTCGAAAGTAGGTCATCGTGACCTACATTTTGGTTGACATTATTTAGAGTCCCAAGATGCATCTGCTGACCAAGTTTGATAAATTCCTGAGTTATTCAAAAGTAGGTCACAAATTCTCCGAAAACCAAAGATGCATCAACTGACAAAATATTATGATTCTAAACCAAAAAGTACTAGAGATACTTAAATATACCCATAAAATGTCAAAAGTAGGTCACCGTGACCTACATCTGGGTCGACATTTTCCGAACACCTGATGCTGACAAAGTTTGATGATTCTAAGCCAATAAGTACCGGAGAATACTTAAATATAGCCATAAAATTTTGAAAGTAGGTCACCGTGACCTACATTTTGGTCGACATTTTTCAGAGTCCCAAGATGCATCTCCTGACCAAGTTTGATGATCATGGGTTTGAAGGTAATCAAAATATGCCTTTTAAACAATTTGAAAACAAATGCCTGCAAAACTCTAAAAGTAGGTCACAGTGACCTAAAAATGTTTTAAGGTCCCATGATGCAGCAACTTACAAGATTTGATGATTCTAACCCTTTCAGTGCCTGAAATAATGGGATTAAATGTTTTGAAAAGGATAAGTCATAAAGTTCAAAAAGTAGGTCACGGTGACCTAATTTTAAGTTGACGTTGTTCAAGGACCCAAGATGCATCAACTGACTAAGTTTGATGATCATAGGCCTTAAAGTATCCAAAATATGCCTTTAAATCAATTTGAAAACAAATGCCCGCAAAATTTAAAAAGTAGGTCACCGTGACCTACTTTTGAGTTAACATGATGTGAAGTCCTAAGATGCATCAACTTACAAGATTTGATGATCCTAGTCCTTATAGTAAGCAAAATATGAACATTTTTAATAATTGTAAATTTAGGTCAACTTTAAAGTTTGAAAGTGACCTGATCCTTGTATGTAAGTTTGGTGAAAATCTGCCTGGTGGTTCTGGAGAAGAAGATTTTTTAGCAAAATGTCAATGGCCAAATTTCAAAAGAAATATTCTTAAAATTCTTCAAAAATCAAAGTTTTTTTAAAAAAATCTCTGAATATTTTTTTTTTTACATAGATGGAAAATTAAAAACATATCTGAACATGATACTTATCAAGAAGTTGAAAGGAACCAAATATAAATTCACTGATAGAGACTCAAAAAGGGAGAGAACCTGAGTCACCATTGTCTGCTAAAATATCCATAATTTTGAACCAAAACTGGTGGATTATCTCCCTTAGTGGGCGTGTCCATTTCTAACATCCTTATTATTTCTGTCTGGACTAGAAGAATCCAAATTTTTTTCACAGCTGGTCAGACGTTTTACTGGCTAACCAGTACTTTTTGTTTTGTTTAAATACCAATTATGATGTTTTTAGTCCTATCCAGTGTTCTATATTAGACATTCTATCAAAAATAAATATATTAGATTTAATCATACAAGTGTGATTACCTTATTGCATGAAGTTTAGTCATAAACATGCTTTTATCCTTGGTAGCCTAATTTTTGAGAAGAAACAAGATGTGTTTGTGAAACACAATGCTGGGACTGGAGCAGTTATACACTTGTAAGGTTTTATGGGTTTCAAATGTAGGTCAAAGGTCACAACTGAGGTTACCTGTGACAAATTTAAACACTTGATTGACAAAAACAATTTACCCAAGGGGTTCTGCCTGTTATCAAGCAGGCAAAGATACTTTTTTATCTAATGGCTTTTTCCATGTTTTCATTCTTTTTTTCTAAATTCATATATAATTTTGCAGGTCTTCCAACGCACACCGTTTCAATCTTTAATATGCACAGCATTCATGTTACGATGTACATGAACATGTATTAATTAAACTACATTCTTCAGAGCCAAAAAAAACCAAAACATTTTCATCAGCACTGTTTTCAAAATGGTCTTGCATAGAATTTTACTGCTTTTTTATTCTCTCTCTGAAAAATGATTTAGTACATAAGGTATCTTTTTTTCAAACTACCATATATTCCTTTTGGCAAAGGCAGGGTGCCATTTAATACATTCTACAGAAAAATAAGAGCTTTTCATGGAAGTAAAAAAGAAATCACATATATTTAAAAATGCTTCAAAAGAAAAAAATAAAGATTCTTAGATAAATTCTTCAAAAAAAACTGCTTCCATGGTTTACGGACAAACATTTTTTTTAAAAAAATCTCTGAATATTTTTTTTTTTTACATAGATGTAAAATTAAAAACATATCTTAACATGATACTTATCAAGAAGTTGAAAGGAACCAAATATAAATTCACTGATAATCAAAAAGGGAGAGAACCTGAGTACCATTGTCTGCTAAAATATCCATAATTTTGAACCAAAACTGGTGGATTATCTCCCTTAGTGGGTGTGTCCATTTCTAACATCCTTATTATTTCTGTGACGTAGATTATACGGAGTATGACTAGAAGAGAATCCATTCAGTCTGCCTGCTGGGTGGGTGCCATTTTTTGTCACAGACACACTGTTATTGTCTGTCTGGTCAGACGTTTTACTGGCTAATCTTTCTGCCTCTTTCTCTGCTTCAGTCATAAAAAATCCATCCTCAAGTGTCTACAATTGATAAATTAATACCTTACATGCATTATAAAACTTGTTTTGTCTTTAAATACACAATTATGATGTTTTAAAATAGTCCTATCTTTAATATCAGTGTTCTATATTAGACAGGTAGTCCCTATCAAAAATAAATATATTAGATTTAATCAATAGGCAAGTGTGATTACCTGAAACTCAACTGATTGCATGAAGTGCTTAGGTAATCTTTATCTCACTTTTTTAATCACATGCTTTTATCCTTGAGTAATAAGAAACAATTATTAATACATTCGGTCTCTAATTTTTGAGAAGAAACAAGATGTGTTTGTGAAACACAATGCCCCCTATGTTAACACAATTCTGGAGTGGGGCGTAGACTGGAGCAGTTATACACTTGTAAGATGTTTTATGGGTTTCAAATGTAGGTCAAAGGTCACAACTGAGGTTACATGATCAAAAATTTCTGTAACAATGGAAAGGTCTTGTCATAGTGAACACTCGTGTCAAATATTAAAGCCTTACCCTTGACAGCGCAATAGTTATGGGCTAGGTTAAAGTTGACAACAGACAGACAAACAGACAGAAAGGACAAAAACAATTTACCCCTGAAATCTTTCGATCCGGGGCATAAAAAAAGCGAAATCATAACATATACATACAGACAACAAACAGACAGACATGCAAAATTAACAAGTTATCAAGCAGGCAAAGATACTTTTTTATCTAATGCACAGCATTTATGTAGAAGGTTACATTCTACAGAGCAAAACATACTGGAGGGGCTTTTTCATGCATTGTTTTCATTCTTTTTTTCTAAATTCATATATATTTATTCTACCACTTATTTTTATGCAGGTCTTCCAACAGTCAGTCAATAAATATAATCATGTAGCAAAGTTGCGTTTCAATCTTTAATATGCACAGCATTCATGTTACGATGTACATGAACATGTATTAATTAAACTACATTCTTCAGAGCCAAAAAAAACCAAAACATTTTCATCAAGCACTGTTTTCAAGTTTTCTTCATGCTAAACTACTGTCTTGCATAGAATTTTACTGCTTTTTTATTCTCTCTCTGAAAAATGATTTGAACTGGGTACATTGTATAAGGTATCTTTTTTTTCAAACTACCATATATTCCAATGTTTATATGGATTTTAAGGTGGCATTTGGCAAAGGCAGGGTGCACACATTCTTTTTCATTTAATACATTGAAAATGATATATTATTCCATCATTCCTACCAAGAAAAAGGAAAAATAGTTTTTTAGAGTCTGGATAAACACTTGGACTTTAATAATTCATTCATGGAAGTAAAAAAGAAATCAGCATATATTTAAAACTTTTTTGCATTCTGTTTTTGCTTGCAGACATTGTAGGAAAAACAAGTCTTGTTTAAAGAATTAAAACTAGTTTTAGATAAATTTGCTCCATTTAGAAACTAAATTAACAATGACAATTACTGCTTCCATGGTTTACGGACAAACATCATTCTTCAAAAGGATAAGCAGCCATGGGATGAATATGAGAAATTTTTCTTTGCATAGAAATTATTAAATGTATCTGGTGCTTTTGTCTTCATCATTGCAGTTGATATCACTGTTAATTATTGCAGTGGTAAATAAAGGCCATGCATATATATTTACAGCTCAATTAATGCATAAGAACACAGCATGCAATTCTACTATACTTTTGACTTTGAATTTCCGTCTTATTCACCACAGTAGTTTAACACACTAGTTTAGAATACTAAATAGAATCTTACCGTCCATTTCCAGTTCCTGGCATAAATAGCACAGAGGTACACACACACTATACTCCCCA